ATAAATGCCTCTCTGCGAGGAAATATTGTATACTTTAACATAAGGGTATCAAATAAGCATGAATTCTTCAAAAGCTGTCGTATTAAAATAAAAGTATATAATGTTTCTTTGAACTATTGAATGATTTACTTATATCTTATATTGTTTTAGAGACAAGTTGTCTCGTGAAATAATACAATATTTAAGGTAAATTATATTTGCTGGCAAGCGAAAGTAGTAGAGATATTTATACAAGCTTGATGCAACGCATTATTTATTATTGTTTTTGTTCGCCTATTCTCTTGAATGTAGCAATGAGATTCGATGCAAAGTTAGATAAATAAGTATTCAAGGTTTCAAGGTTTATTTGAATACGTCAGGGCCCATATGGGCATGTGACAACATAAAACAGTACATACATACAAAATAATACAGAATGGCAAATAATATGTAAAAACAAAATACTACAAAATGGCAAATTATAAATAGTCATACAAGTCCATGATGTAATAAAATTACAGTAATAATTGCAACATAAATGTGAAACAATGAAATATTTTAAAGTTTGGAATAATTTAATGCGTAACTTATCATTCTCGTGGCGGTATAGTTGTTAGTCCTTAGACAAATATTCCTATGTGAATATTTAGTGAATGTTCAATGAAATTCATTAAGAATACATTATCACTGTATTTAGTAACAAACATTTCATCACTTTATGCCTTTTTGAGCATTCCCACGACGACGCTAATGTATTCTCTACATTTATAATACACATGTGCTACTTTTAATTTTATGTATAATAATTTTCAACAACTTTTGGCACCATTTTAAATGTAGAATGATGTAAAACAATTTTACAACCATCCCCTCTTTCATTATTTTTTTATAATATATTGGGGTCTGTTTTGTGTATATTTAAACCAAGACAACATACTTTATTTCCCAAAATGATACTAGTTATTTTCAAAACAGATAAGGAAATAGTTTTGTGCTTTATTTTGAAAGAAGATAAGATTAATTTTTAGAATAATATAATAGGATTGGAGTTTTCATAAATGGTATATGAGCCTTAAAATGAAATAAGATGTATCATATATTTTTGGATCGTGTTATTACATTTAGTTATCTACACATTATGAAATCAAAATCAAGTAAAATATTTTATTACAAAATACAACCACGATTCGTTTTGAATCAGTCCAGACTCAAATTAATGAAATGAAACGTATATAAGATGTATGAAACGAATGACAAATGTCAAGAAACGTCTAGAAAACAAAAGAAAAATGTTAATTTATCGATGGGATGACAGCATTTCATTTTCATTTTTCCATGACGTCATTATATGAAGTACCCGTAAGTACATTGTAATATAATAAAGACAAACACTATTTGTTCAAAGAGTGTGAACGACATTGTGATTTGATAAGAATTTGATAATCAAATTTAATAGCCGAAAATATTGTTTATCGTACAACAACAATCACTAGTTTTCACAAAGTTCTCACTTCAGCATTGTATGTTCAGATAATAAACAGAAAAATCTCGTGAACGAAAAATGAACCGAAAATTTTTCAAACTCTTTCGCACAATAATTGTATCACAGACAATTCTGGCACAATATTTGAATGGCATGACAAATAATTACCTTTTCAAATAGTCTCAAAAATTTCAATTAAAAGGTGAGATAAAATGAAATATGATGAAAAGGACTAAACATACATCAAATTCTGTACGCAAGCGATAACGTCATTCCCTGTGAGGAGGAATGCCTAGCATTAGGGTATCAAATAGGCAAGATTTCTTGAAAAAATGTCATATTAAAATATAGCTGTCATATTAAAATATAAGTATAAACTTTCTATGAACTTTTTCATGATTGACTTATATTTAATATTGTTTGAGATACCGATTGTCTACTGAAACAAAATAATATTAAAGGTAACAAATTATTTATAACAAATTATTTATATGCAAGCTAGAATTGAGATGTTTATACAAGCTTGATGCAACACATAATTCATAAGTATGCCCGTCAGTCTAATTTTTAGACAAAAAGGGGCAATGATCAGCTTCCATTTTTATATTTATTTTATCTGCATTAATTACACAACTTACAGATTAAGTTCTTTAAAATGGAGAATGTAAAAGAACACTAATTTGACATCTTTAGCTGTGTCAGGGCCGTAAAAGACGCCCCATATATTAGATCGTTTAATCAAACCGAGCCTGCATCATCATTTTCAACTTTGTCGTTTTCAACGTTCTTTAGGGATTCCGTTCTTTATAATGCACGTATATTGATATATTTCTTTTTCATTTTGACTTAAGTAATGAATGAGTAATATATCATTTCTTATAATTAATGTTTGCGACGGCTCAATGGTTGCTCCCTAGACAATTATTGTAATGTCGATATGGAATTAATTGGTTCCATGAAATTCATTAAGACTACATTATCATTGTGTAATATAACAAAAGTTTCGTCGAATGATGTCTTTTTACGTACTCCCACGATGTCAATGTACTCTTCTATTTAAAGAAACATAGACCGTTGAATAATAGTGGTATTTTTATTTCATGTATTATTGCGCACAGTTGAATATGCTATGTTCAATGTGGAACGATAAAAAAAACAATGAAGCGACCATATATAGTTTGTTTTTTTGTTATATACTTTTCCGAAGTATATTTATTGTGTTCACAAGTTATGGTAAAAGATTACTGTGACAAAAATAATATATGACTCAAAATGCTTCTACGTGATCTATGTTGCAACATGGTATAAAAAGATGTTTTGTGAAGGTTTGTAACTAGTATGTAGGGACTCTATTATGATGATATTTTGAAATACACATCACAGTCAGTACTCCTGACTATGACTATATTAATGACTAAACTCCAATTGCTGCTAACCAATTTATACGTCACTTAATGTGATTTTTTATTATCATATTATTTAATATTTTATCATATATTATAACTATTACAGCAATCTATCTTGGCACAGTCTGCATAATGCGGTCAGAGAGGTCCCCAAGTGTTTAAGATGTCTGTCTATCTACAATCCACAAAAGTATTGCTTGTTACTCAGATCACGAACATGTTTGATTTTAAGATAATTACAATAATTGTGTCAAGAAAGATGTCTCAAACTAAATTCAAACAAGTAAATACTAGGTTGAAACTAATATTTAATACTGAAGTAACAAATTAAAAGCCAGTGCCTATCTTGCTTACAGGGTTACACTTGCGTGTTATAAATTTATCAAATAGGCATTCATAATGTCAAATTCGGAAATATTTATTAAATACTTCTGCAAAATGTGCATGGGGAAATAATATTTGATATTATTTCATTCAAATATCGGGACTGATTGTCTGGTCGAACAGCAAGCCAGTATTTATCATATTTACAAGTAAACTAAAGTATATCAAGAGATTATCGAGAAAGGAATACCTTATTATTGTAATATACAGATTATTCTTTAGAAAAAGTAACACTTTGAAAATTCAATTTAATCATTCAGATCTATACTTTGTGTAAGCTTGCAAAAGTCTTGTTTTGAGTAACCGATAAACTTAATTTTTAACAAACATTAGAATAGTCAATAACATTGTAACGTATTTCCATACTTACTGTTTAACGTTCATATACAACATATTATCGCAAGAAATGTTTCTAAAACCGACGTTGTGTAACATGATTGACTTTAAAATTAAGTTAAAACTATTGATGAGGAACTCAAAAATTCAGGGTAGCGGGGGCCTTAGGACTTTAGATGTTTGCACTTCTACATAGGGGTCATAAGTTTGAGGGTTTAAGGTTCCAGCCTTACTTATTTACGACGCTTTTTTCTTATCTGATATCAGTATTGGTTAGTTAAAAAAAAGGCTGTAAGCTTTTTGCACTGTCAAACTTTAAAATAAAATTATATCTGAGTTTTATAATATATATTTATTTCTTTAAAACACGAAACTATGTTTTCATTGAAAAAATTCATGTCTGAGTTATGGTTATCAGACAATGAAGGTTTTGATATGGTTAGATAGGGTCTCCCCAGGCAAGTTTTCAAATACTCGTATCAAGTGAATTTGTGTCATGAAATTCAGGGTTGATATATCTTTATTTCGTAACTTAACAAAAAATTCATCAATTCATGCACTTTACGTTCTCCCACGACAACAGTGTATTTTCTTTATTTGAGTAATATGGACGTAAAAGGAAATATGGCGCCTTTTTATTTGATATTGTTTTCTACACAATGAAAATGCTTTTCAATAGTGAATTATTAGTTGTAACCTTGAAAGTGTTTTTAAACGCGTAGTGATTCATTTCTATCATAGCACAAACGTATATATTTTGTTCTTTGTTATCCTATTGTAATATCAAAATTTCCTCTATAATATATCTTATGTATATTAACTTCTTCCTCATACAAAATTAATCATTTGATAGAAGATAATAATTAACAAGTATGTCATTCATCCCGTTTCTTTTGTTTGGGATGTTTTTGCAATATAACCTTACATTGTACACCGACGTAATTGTTACTGATTAAACATGTAAATCAGTTTATAACCCATAACTATCTTTGCAATTTTAATTTCCCATAGGCCAATGGGAGTTATTCTGTTCAGTCAAGTGTGTCATGTCACTAAAAATTTCGTACTGTTACCTATTTCACAGTGAACAATCTAAAAATTAAAAAAACCCATAGAGACAGTGTCACAATGAAGTATTTGTTCGGCGGAATAAAATAAAAAAAACATAACGACTTGGGTAACAGTTTTTTCCTCGGGATGATATTTTTGCTATTAGTCACATACCTAAGTGTTATTTAATGTTTAGCCGTACTAACATCAATTCTAAAGCTCAGCTGCAAGTCAGTACATACATAATTTCGTTCCTTTTATGTCTTTAAGTTTTCTATTGAAATTAAGCACACGCTTTGGTTTATTAATGTAGAAATGCTAGCTTTCATTTGTCTTAAATTTTGTTCTCTTATTTCTTTCAGTTCGGTTCACAGTCAAGTTTACATCTACAGAAATCAGGATAAAGATAAGCCATCAAAGGTACCATGTGCCCCAAGGTAATTTTCAGTTCATTTATTGTATAGTATAGTACAGTTTTTATTAATTTAGACTTAGTATAGATTCGTTGTTTTATTGTCTGATAGACATTTGTTTCATATCATATCTAAGGTTATATTTGTAAATGAAAAATTAATGAAATGTACGGTACGGTATCAATTTCAACAGAAATGGAAATTATTAAGCAAATGCTTTTAAATTTCAGAAATCAAAATTTAAATTCAAAAGTTTAATCTAAAACACGCAAAACATTCGTCTATATATCTTCTGCTAATTTACTATTCGAAAACCAACTTAACCATTATGGGCATTTGATACATGCTGCATTTATACTATCACAAATACCAATTATTCTATATTGACAAAGGTTTAATCTATTTTTGATTAAATCCATCTGTTTTTCATCAATTCCAGTTTAAATCCGTTAATTTAGGTATCTGTTAATCGTCATTTTATACCAAAAGCAGCCGACAAAATGTCAAATGCAAATTGTACATGCTTATACGCTCTTTTATTTTAAATATTTATCCGTTTGTCCAAGATAAACTCGAAAACATTATTCGTAGAGAACGAATCTTTCCAAAACAAAATAGATCGCATCTATTAGTAAAAATAGTAAAATGCCGTTTTTTCGTTCTTTAAAAGGGTATCATTAATTTTCCAAATGATATTGTTACATGAAGACACAGAATATATAGACAATACTTATGCAGTGAAGAATATTTTTTACCAGAAATATTGAGAAATGGAGAAAATGTGTGTTTCTTTCATTTTCAATCAAACAAACAAACAAATAGTTATGTTAAAACATTTGAATGATTAATTAAACATTTAATCAGAATTTCCAGAGGAAAAGGTTTAAAATTCCTTGAGGGTACGTATACATAAAAAACCGATTACATTGGAACTGAAATGGACAATTACCTTTTAGATTGAAGAAGAAAATCGATTAAAATTGTGTTACACGCCTACCAAAATTCAAGTTATGGCATGTCAATATATTCTAAAAAAGACTGTAGTTTGAATTACTTTAAAATTCTTTAAGGTATTGGCCTGTTTTGCAAATATTGACAGAAAATGTTACATGAAAACGCACGAACATACATCAAAGATTAATACAATCAGTTTGAGATTACTGACCCTATTTCCCATTGACAACTGAATCTCAATACCAGAACAAATATGTGCATTGCCAACAAGAGAGCAAAGCGTTATTGCATCTCATCGTAGTTTTCTTCCGTGACAGAATTTGTACAGAAAAGACTTGAGTTGACTTAAGGGAAAAATGAAATTGCTTAATCGATCAACACATTGATGACGAAATGGCATGACGTTTTACAAAACATAACGATTTTTATAAATCTAATAATCCTTCACGAGTTTAAAAATGATGCAATTCATTAATTATAGTCAAAGTGTGCATTTGGCTTGAGATAAAAGAGCTCTTATATTTGAATTTCCATAATTACAGGAAAGGAAACTGAAAGAGACTTGAAAAACTACAACAGAAAACGTAGTTAGATATTGCGATATTTATCTAAGAAAAAAAACCATCATTCTCATCTTTTACTATTAACACATTTAAACACGACAATACTAATTGTTTTAAATGAGGCCATTTTTTTAATTTTCAGAAAATATCACAAGAAGCAAAACAAATAATGTTGATCTTAAACGTTTGTGAAAACTAAATTCGATAACAAGTATAGAATCAATTAAATAATTTTCAGATATAAATGGTTTCTTTAGATACTTAATAGGGAAACTATAACGTAATGTTTTAGTGTTGTTCTCACAGGACGAGGTTTATGGACAGAACTGATAAATTGAAGCTACTGTCATTGTCTTACATTACTGGATGATGCAGAACTCGGATTTTAAACATGAAATGATGACGACATGGTGTTGGATTAAAAACTCTACATTTGTCCTGTATACTTAATTGGCATAACATGTTAAGATATTAAAGAGAAATACATTAAATATACGTTCAATTGAGATATATTGATGAGAATGCAGAATTCATCTACAGTATCTGCAGAGCGGCCCTTTTCAGTGCAATTTCCTGTTTACATCAACAGTAATAGTTCATTTCAATTTAAACATTCATTTAAAATCAAACCTCTCTAGAACAACACTTCACAGGAGCAACTTAAATATTTGTCTCCCATAGAGTTTAAATGAACTTTTAGGGTGATAATTTATTTAGCTCACTTTTGAAAAAACAAATAATTTTTTTTTCACATGATTATTATATGTAGGTATACTTGAATTTGTAAGTTGTTTCCTCTATTGATAATGTTGACATTTGAAGATATTGGTTATGATTTAATGTGAATGCAGCATGAAACTCTGTCTATATGACTGTAACCTTCAAATATTCCAGCAAGAGCGAAAATGATTTGATATACTTTAAAGATATAAGTTTCGTTGAAACCATTCTTTCAGATGATACATTTTGTTGAAAAAGAAACGTTTAGTAATAATATTTGCAAACTTTTTAAATTCACATTTGAAATATTTTATAGAATCAAACTAACAATAATATTATGCTATCCATGACTTTCCTGAAATGCATTTATTTCATTAAAAGTGCTATACATGTCTTGGGAGCAAAGATAAAAAAGCTATAATAATACTAATTGGCAAAGAATTGTATCTGTTTTAAAGCTTGAACAATAAATAAGCCCTAGGTTATGGCCGCGTTTTTCAATATCGCACTTAAACAAGAATGCATTTCATTTGTTAAACATGATTCTCATTTAATCGCCAAAACCTACGATATTTTAAATTCATCAATAAACTATATCATTATGCGTGGTACGGTGGTATAATTGTATTATTCTTATGTCAAAGGAATCCAAAAAAATATATTGAGCTATTTATATTTAAAATAAAACGTATGAAAAATTCGTTTATGATTAAGGCTTTTCTTGATGACATTACATCAAATTCAAGGCAAAATCGTAAATTTGTACAGTATGGAGTAGACATTTAGAATTTTATTTTCATTTAAGACGAAAGTGTAAAAATACGTTTCTAAAATTTGAAGAATAACATGGGCAGAAAGTATATTCCATGTCTTAAACATTGCATGTTCGTTTTATCACTGTAAAGTAACTCATTATATTAAGAAAGTCTTGTAATTTCTGTAAGGCAATGCTCTATTGAATAAGATATATACAACTAATATCACATATACAGGAGTTTTAACTACATGCAGTTTGAGATGATAGATTGTTTTGTTGACCTTGTTTGCCATTGACAACTATATCTCAAAACCAAAACAAATATGTGCGCACGGGAAACATGATAGTCTTGCGTCGATGCATCTAATCGTAGTTTTGTTCCTTGACAGAATTCGCATAGAAAAACCTAACGACGACTTATGGAAAAACGAAATTGATTAATCGATCATCATCTTCATGAAGAAATGGCATGTCGTTTACAAAACATAACAGTTTTTTATAAATCTAATAATCTTATATGTAATTTGAAACTATTACAATCCATTCATGTTGCTCAAAATGATAACTTTTCTAGAAGTAAAATAGATTCAAGGAATGTGTGCGCGTAATTATGTAAAGGGAAACTAATACTGAACGTAATAATAACCAAAAAATTATAATACACATTTTGAGTTAATGTTGTATCAATTCATCTGCAGTAAAAAGCATATCGGTGCATCTCTAGGTATCAAAACATTTGAAATAAGACAAAACGAATTTTATCAAATGAGGAATAGTTTACTTAACTTTCAGTTATATCTCGATAATGAATAGATCAAAATAAGGATCAAGTAAAGGTTTATTTGTACTCTCTTTAAACAAGTTGTTTGGCTTATTTTTAGTAAAATATATCTTTATACTAGTAGAAAGATATATTGTGTGTCGTATTCTCACTAAAAATAACCGCATTTGGTTCTAGTGTAAAACCTTCCATTTTAAGTAGACATGTTTTACCACAGATAAATTTGAATGTAGTCATTAATTAGTAATAATAAAAAGACAATTATTGGTATTTAGAAAATAAAGTACTCCGATGGCTTTGTTATTTTATTAAATGAAAGTTCATTAAGTTTGAAACCAGTATTAAACCAATTGAAATTCATTATTCTCAATAAAATTAAAACCTACATCTTTGCAAGTTATTTGTTACACTGTCTTAAAACGCTTATGGAAAGTAAAGCATATATTTATAGACAATTATTTTCAATAATTGTACAAAAAAACAACGTACAACGGATCTTTAACGTAAACACTATTATCTGCATGAAGAGATAGTTTTCTGTTTTAATACTTGTAATAAACATTGATTAGAACAACAAATGCGTATTACCCTAAAGTGGCAAACCTTAATCTAAATAGAACATCTTACTTCTTAGCGGAAACAAATAGGAATAATTCAGGCCAATCATGCTTGCGTATTAAATGATAAGATCGAATTGGCTTATGATCAAATACAGAAAAAAACTAAAGAAACATTATATTTCCTATTATTTGTTCTAATGTACCATAAAAACTGTCCTTATTCAAAACTAATAATACTAATGGAGTTTGATCTGGTAAAATGTTAAAGTACTTTACAGAGAGTGATAAAATATCAAACATCTGGAACACAGGCATACATATCTGAAAAAAGAAAAGGAGAAGATCACATGATATTTGATAATTCTAGGAATGAAAAAAAGTCGTTACAAGAAATAAAAACTCCAATTGAAGCAAAACTTGAATACCCTTGATATTATAAAATGTATTATTCCTAGAGTCAAGTCAGCCCACGCACAATTTTCTAGGTAGTACGAGCTTTCATATTTAATATTTTGAACTTTTGCGTGACTGAATTATACGTATAGTAACTGAGAAAGTTTTATGAAAACTTATTGCATAAAAGTCTTCTTGTAAATTGTTGAAATTAAAGTAGAAGAAAAACAGAAAACCTTTAATATCAACATAAAAAATGTAAAAAGTGGTGTAAATGCAATAATAACATCCCATTACAATTCAAAACAGTTGATATAATATTTCAAATATTGCTCATTGGCATCTATTTCTAGTTCATAATTATATTTTGGAAACACGTTTTCCAACTAATGCACCAATTCAACTGAACAATATGCACTGGAATAATTTGATATACATTTATCAATTTATTCTGGTTCAATTTTCATTTTAGAATGAAGAGTTTCATATTTAACCAGTCATGTTCCGTAAATGAGCCGCGTCAAGACTAAACCAACATAATGGGTTTGCTTTGCGACCAGCATGGATCCAGACCAGCCTGCGCATCAGTCTGATCAGGATCCATGCTGTTCGCTATCAGTTTCTCTACTTGTAATAGGGTTGGTAAGCGAACAGCATGGATCCTGATCAGACTGCGCGGATGCGCAGGCTGGTCTGGAGCCATGCTGGTCGCAAACCCACTATGTTGGTTTTATCGTGACACGGCTCAAATGTATCTTACGCGTTCTTTTTCTAATGACCGTGTTTGTTTGGGTGTTTGTAAATAATCCTCATTATTATGTAATAAGCAAGCACCCTGGTTTACTCCGACATCGTATCAATTACGTTTTAAGAAACCATTTAGGAGAAATGAACTTAAAAGCCAAAAATACCGAAAACGGAAGGAGAAAAATAAACATTTCAGCAGAAACATTTTGAACTTAATGCAATGCCTTATAATGTTACTAACTATTCATAAAATCATTCAACTGTTATAGTAATGGTGCAGATACTTGTTCGTTTTTACAACAAAAAACTTCATCAATTAGCTAATTTTATAATAACTTTCAAATCTCTTTAATACAACCACTTGAATACATTTTCTTATAAGATCTCAAAGTTTAATATTTCGAAAAGAAGAAAACCGTTTTAAAACTTTTCACATTTGTGTTTGATGTTCATTTAGACAACACGCCATTGTTCAAACTAACGTTAACATTACATTTAACGTGATATAAATGTTTCTTGATGAACATTTGTACATGTTTGTTAAAAGTTCAACAAAAAAAATCATCAAATGCCTTTATCCCTAACCACGCCTACCATCTTAAATTGATTTGTCCATTATTCAATCTGGACATAATCATTAATCGGTTTTGTAGTGGTGTTGGCAGTTTTCACTCCGAATCACGACAGTAAGCCACATTGAATTTAACACAGTACAGTTCAGCGACCGCTGTGCAGGTTGTCAAGCAGTTTACCAGCACTAGTGGCCTTCACTTTCGCAAGGAACTGATAACTTTTGTACATTTCAGAGCAGAGGTACAATGCGAATGAAAGTGACTTGCACCGTCCGGGAACAGAACCCGGCTCGCCCGGTTCATAGTCCAACGCTTTACTTACTGAGCTATTCGGAGGGTGCTAAATCGTTTTTAGGGATATATTTCAAAATAAATACTGACGAAATAGCGTACAGTGTAGTGTCGGTTGATCTTGGCCTGCCTAGTCGCATGGTTTTAATCTGTTGCAACCAGCAGGATAAAGGCTAATGACTGTAAACGACAAGACAATTACTATCTTCCATTTGTATTTTCAGCATGCGTTTTCCAAGTGTGTATCCAGAATCGCTACAAGTTGAACAAGAAATACCGAAAGTATTTATCACAAGCTAATTCAAGTGGGAATCTCCTTGAGGCAAATAATGTACTACAGCAGCACAAGGTTAACACATTCAAATTACCCAAATCAAATTTCAAATTTTGTGTTTCATTAAAATGATATATTGCTGATATCTGCTTTCTTTGTTTAAATAGAATAATTTTCGTTTGAAAGTAAACATCTGTTCTTATATTTCAACAAGAACAGAATGTTTTATTTTGAAAACAATTGTTATTTTACAGTAAAAACGAATGAAAAACGTTTGAAACATTTACCTTTGTTTTGTATTTGATGTTTTAGTAAAAACCAAACCAAGTCAAGAAAATAGTATTTGATAAAAAAGGTATATGCCAGAAAGCAGTAAGAGAAAACTCTTACATGTTTATTCTTTTTTTTCACTAATTGCTCATTTACATTTCTTATGGTTTGATCTTGATATTATAAGGCAAAGCGCGTGATCAGATGCTACATTTCACTAATGATCTAATCACTTTATCCGATACCAAAAGACACTTTAACCACTGAAGTGGTAATGTATTTGGAACTGTTATTCAATTACTGAAAAGATAACTATCTTTTACATCAAATAGTTGTATCAGAAAGACAGAAACTTGAAGTAAACATATTTTACCATGTTCTTATGCCTAAGTTTCACATCTGCAACAAAAAACTGTTTCAAGCATTGGCATCTTCTCGTGCATTGACATTAACGGAAAAATTTTAAAAGCTGTAAAATATTGGTGTGTTTTCTGTACAATTGTTGTCAAAGCACATGCCATGTCGTGACTGGCAGCACCAGTAACTTGTAATTTAATTACAAAGATAAATAATTAATTTTCACAATCTGGTCATCAAGATAAAACACCACATTTCATTACATTGAGTGGTTTATTTATTTGTATCCTGCAAATTTAATTAACTTTTAATTTCGCAAATGTTTCGATTGGTGAATGCCTAACTTTAATATTGCTTCTGCAGATGAAATTGGTTTTCTCTGCTAACACGTGTTTCCTTCATTCTCTTCATTTTTTGGATATTTTTATCATGTTGCTCATTTTTTCCATGTAACTTGTTGTTATATCGCTGAAATGTACTTTACAGGAAAAGGGACCGTTAAGTTATTATATGTTACACTTTGACTTATAGACAAATACTAGTAATATATGTAGCATAATATACATTTATATGATTAGCAAAGATGTATGTTATGTTTATATTCCCCAGTACGAACGAGGCCCTCACATTTGCCATATTCATCGTTAAACTTTCAATTATTTCAAGGTAAAGTGATACGATTTTATTTTGATTTGCTCACTTATTTAAAGAATGACTTCTTCAGGAATTTCATTCATAACGAAATTTACATTACTTGATAAAGGAAAATTCGAACGAATTTTTTTTAGATACGTTGGTATTGTAATAGATGTAAGAGAACTATTTTTGATATAAATATGTAAATTGTCTGTACAGCTTGCTGCCGAAGCGGAGAACAGCGACAATGCTCAGGAGCAAAAGAGACAGATGGGGAAAAGGGTCAGATATGGTGAAATAATTCAGGTATTTCTATATATGCAAATGTCGATTATTTGCGTAAACGATTACTTGTATTGTGTTTGTGTAATATTATGATTTATGTTAGATTTTGATAAGCAACATATGGAGTCATGATTACTTTGGCATGTAATGAACGATTTTATAGTGAACCTGAAGAGTGAGTTAATCTACAATAAAACACACTATAATATAAAGGAAAATATGATATTTATTTCATTCTCAACTGATGAATGAAGTTGAGTTAGATAAAATATTTTGAAGTATTTTTTATCAGAAATTAATTTTGTTAAATATCATTAAGTGTATTGACGTCATATGACGTGTATATGTTGTTTTCTTTTATTAGACGCTTTTAATTGAACCTGCGTTTCACAAGAATACAACGCAAATCCATAAATAATTGAAAATTTTATTGTTTTTATTCTTAAGTTTAATCATAAGCTTGTTCAGGAACTAAGTTTGTTTACTAACATGATATCTGTATTACAAATGTCAAATAAAACGTAAAAACATTTTTGCGGTTAGATAACCACTCATCTATTGACAGGTTATATAGCTTTAAAAAAAGTTCAATACTGTTGATAACAATTATAATATTTCTGATAAATATTTAATTTTATTATATACTTATAAATGAAATATTGAGAAATATTTATGAAATAAAATGCGTATTTTCATTTTCCGTATTTTCACTGTAAAAATTTATTTTTCACTGCAGTGAAACATATTTTCCGTAATATTTTTCACTGGTGTCTTGCCGGACTACTTTCTTTTAAATTCTGCCAGTACACAAAATTTAAGGGAAAGTCTTTCAAATTTTATCGCAAAAAAGGGAAAAATGTATATAATAAACAGAAAATTCAATTTTTTTTCTATAAATACATGATTTATTTTCATCTTGTGGCATGAAAATTACCATATTTCACTCTTGGCTACCGCCACTCGTGAAATATTTATTTTCATGCCACTCGATGAAAATAAATCATGTATTTATAGAAAAAACTTGAATATCCTCTATATATAATATTTCTAAACAATATATGGGCAAAAATATACTTTGTATAAATTACATTATTGTGTTATAACAATACATTATTTTTGCATTCTACAGCTAAAGCATGTGTTCACCAACAAATTTGTGCACATGTGCACGTCACAAACATCACAAGTGGACAAAAACAACATGGTGGTAAGACCCTTATATATGTTTTCTTAATTGAATAGGTTTGTGCGATTTTCTAATAAATATTCATTATCTATAAATTGTTATTAAATTAAATTGTACTGAACTCGAACATTTACGACTGGCTATTATTTGTATACAGAACTTGTTTCAAGATTTATTCCATATAAAAACGACAGAAATGAACATTACTTATAAGTGAAATACTTCGAAAATCGATTCGGATTGGACAGTTTGAAATACATCAATTTTAAATCAATTTGTCCGATCCGAATTGATATAAAATGATGTATATACTATTTGTATCAGTTCAACAAAGTGCAACATGGAATTTTTTATTTGGTCCTCAACAACAAGAATTTCATCCAATGAATATATCTTTCCTATAACGATGCTATCTTGCCATTTGATCATACACATCATCGACATAGGCAAATATATTGCGACTAGAGATGTCGAACTGAGATGCTTTTTATATAGAATGCTTTAGCGTGTGTATAAAGTATATAACAATATATAATTACCACGTGCTGTCTACGGGGGATATCTGTTTCATTGTAGCTTTGCCAGTTTACAATATAATCATACCTTAATATGTCATTTTGGTGGCACTTGTGCAGCTGTGAGATATAGCATTGGTGTTAACCTTGCTACAATTTATTAATGATGATATGATACTTTTATTCTTTGCATATTATATATTAGGCATAGACAAACTGATATAAAGTCCAGACATATATGATGATATTTCCCTGCTTTTATTTATCTTTGAAATTTTTGACAGGGATTTCTGCTATCAAAACGTTTTTGATCCCAAAATTTTTTTATCATTAAAACCCTAAAATTACTTAAAAGGGTTTTGTTTTTTTGGGAACGATATCACAAAAATTTTTTGCTTTTATAATTAAAGACCCAATTTTAAAAAATTTTCAAAACATTTAAAAAATGGAAAAAATGTTAATAACTAAAAAAACGCTTTTCTATTTTGGGGCAAAAAAAATTCCCTTTTTGAAAATGTATTAATCCTATGATAACTTCAACTTATACTTATTTTGCAATGAAGGAACTCATTATGCATTATCATAACTCTTCTTCTTATTTTATCAAAATATGTGGATAGTATTACATTACGTATCTATAATTCTTATAGAATTTAGAAATATCAAAATGCAAAACTACAATGACATCTTCGATGTATTTCAATTGAAGCAAAATACAACATTTGATATATAATATTAGAAATGATCCTAAATAACGATTGCAGAGATATATCCATACCCTAAGATTTGTCATTGCAATAAATCTTCAGCTCAAAATTTGATAATTCTTCCTCAGTGATTCGATCTCTCGGTTTGTTTATACTATGAACAAATTATGTCTTAAATGTTTTCTTCGGTTTGATTAATGTGTTTGCATAATCGATAACGTGGCCCTGAAGTAAAACAGTTCTTGTTTTGGTTTATATCTTCATTCGTTTTGGTATTCAGTATTTCTTATGCAATTTCTTATTTTCTATTAGATTTAGGTAACATTTGACCAGCGATTAATGTTTAATTTCGTTAAAATTAAATTTATTGAACAATTTTTAGCGAAATTATTTTTTTTGATTAAAATAGCTGTAAAGTCATAAATAAAATGATAAGGAAAATATGTGTTTCAGTTCCATTATGTGTTTAATTAGTCTATGATTAGTTTCAAGTGATATTTTTATTTTTCAATGATGAACACTGCTTCCTACATAATTGCTTTATAATTTATCTAACTAAAAACATTCATGGCAACAACATTTAAATAACATAGATATAAATATAGTAATTTACTGTAAGACAATGCGAAAAATGTTCCGTTCATTGTTGTTATTAATATTTTATTACTGTTATATTATCATTATCATTATTATTATTATCTTTAATATTATAAAAAAGACACATTATAGAACATTATAGAATTGATTTTCAATACTTAATTTTTTTTTCCTTCCTGGGCTAGGTCATGTTACAAGAATTCAATGCAAAGAATGCTCAGTTTAGATTATTGCCTCAATACAAGGTCAAGTCCGAGGGAGAAGTGGTAAGTGTAACATCATCAGCCTCATTATAATGAACGTCACAAAAATAATCACCGAGAGAATCATTAGTATATATTTCTCGAGTAGCTAGTGTGCGTGATGCTAGCAGTTTCGGTTCCAAACAACAGTACTTTACTAGGGATATTATGGAAATAAATTTGACAGAAAATCATCTTAAAAATTTAAAACATCCTATTCCGTTTCACATGTTGCAATGTTCAAAATGCTGTATTGCATGAGAATAATTGAAAATCGATCATTGAGTTACAAGTTTCACAAATTTAAGTAATTTACTAAAAACTGTATATAGTTTCTGACCCGATGGATCTGTTAGGATTTGGTAAAAGATATCTTCTTAAATTACATCATTCTAAATGATCCCGGTCGTACCTGAAATTAAACTGAAAGAGAAAACCATCCTCCATTTTAGCCCTACTATCAGATAATGGGTGTGTATTAATAGTTAATTTATTGTATTTTAGTATTACGTCAATAATTTTAAAAGATAAAATTATTATTTGCATGAAAATTAGTTTGATTTTTCAGTCCATTTATATTGTAATGTCTTAACTTTCAGGTTCAAATCTATGACCAGATTGTGTTCGAAAGTATAAAGTCCCCTGGGCATTTCTTACATGCCAGTTCTGGATTTCAGATCGACCATTTCACATTTGGGTAAACACTGATTTTGTAGTTTTTCCGATATCAAAACTTTATACATTGTATTATGAACATGTGTGTACATTTATTATTGTATAAAGTAACTGTTGTTATACAGAATATGAAAACAAGATCAAAAAGGAAGGGCGGCATTCTATGAAAGTGTTTGATACTAACACAACTTCATTATAACTACAAGTATTCTTTAGTTAGTAAAACAATTTATTTTATTCTCTTCATTTTTAAAAGAAACACTAGTATAGCTTTTAAGTAAAGTGGTAGGGTAGTATCATTTTAGTACACTTAGGATTGATCTTTTTTAAAGGCCATCCCTATCATGTGGTCCCATGTTTCACCAATTTCATTTATTCGAATAGATGATATAAAATAAACTGATTACTTTTGTCATAATTTGGTAAAATAAATTAGGAAATCAACTAAATGAAACAATATAAATTGTTTCCGATTGTATTGCCCTTTTTGTCATACTAAAGGGGGATCAAAAATTGCCTGATGTTTAGTTGAATGATATCTTTCTAATCCTCATGTGCTCATGACAGTTACCAGAACAATACATGACAGATCATTGTCTGCCCAATATCCAATTGTTGTTTTATAATCAGTGAATACAATAAATCTGTCATACAAAATAGCAAAGCGCGCTCGTAGATTATCGAAGCATACTGTTTCCCTCAGGTTTGTCATCTACAAAAATGTGTGTTTCCTATTATAGATATTGTGAACAACAGACTGCCCGTGTTCCTTATACAGAAAATGAATGTGTTGGTGAAATTAACTATAAAGATATTCCATATAATTATTAACTAGAGCACTGCAATGATTTTTAGCATTACTCACCCCTCCCTACATTTGATATACTTGGCATTTTCTTTGTTCTTTTAGGCATAAATCCAACGTTCACTTTTATTTTTTTTATATTTTAAGTAATCATTTATATATGAGTAATAGTTAATTGGTTTAATGTATGCACACTCTTGCAATATCTTTTGACTATTTTGTCTTTTTCAACACGATTAAAATTCTTAACTAAATTTTGACATATATATAGAGACTAAAGAATACAAGTTTTAATTATAGTATAATATGAATAAATAGTTCCATCTTGAAATAATAATCTTTAATTTAAGTTAGACTAAAAAAACTTTATATTAACATACATACAACTTATAAATGATTTTATGACATTTCTACCCTGAATATTTGAGTTTGTACCTTGGTTCAATTTATTCCATTTTCTTAAAACAGATCTGAGATTAATCTTGGAGTTGAGAGGTCCGGCTTCACGCTCATCCGCTTTAGGAAGCAGGGAACCACGGACATGGAACTATTTGTCAGGGTATTATTACCTGTTTTGAATAACCTTTACATTTAACATTCTCTTACCTGTGTCTTTATTGTTGGCAGCTTGATTTCTGTATTTGAAATCCATTAAATGCTGTAAGAATTGTTTTATCAAAGCAGAGCAAATCCGTTACAAAAATACATTATTCATCTACATTTTTATAGCCTCTTAAAAAAAGATTTTCAATGAAAGAACAACTCAAAATAACCTCATTTTTGAATCACATAATTATAATTTATGTGTGTTAATTAAATATAATTCTACAAAAAAAATTGTATGTATTATTATTATATGTAGTGTGAATATTTTCTAGTGAAGCATTTTCTATATATGCTGGCAATCTGATATAGAAGAAGCCATTAACATGACACAAGTTGTTAATTGGTTACTTTAATAGCTTACGGAAGAAACCATTTCAATCCAGTGTAACAGACAAAAATGCTTTCTTCGTTGCAGGGTGGAAGTATTATTCGACTATTTCACAAAGAGCTCGAAGCATATATGGTCGCTGAAGGACTCTTTGACGATGAGGTCACTGAAGACGGTATGAGTGGTTGTTGTTGTTGTTGTCGTTGTTTAAATGTGAAATAAATCAATTCTTAATAAAATATATAACATTCTCTTATTATTTCGTCAAGGATACATTTGTAACAACAGACATTACAATAATCATTTAAATAAATACTTATGTGGGTAACAAATAGAAAAGAGTTGCATTCTTTACTTTTGGTATAGGCTAGAATCAACTAGAAACAAAATATATTTTATTTTTGACCTTGATATACAATCAAGTATTGGGACAGCGATATTTAACTAACTACTTTCTATCTGAGATCAGCTGAAGCACGTGGAAAGCGTGTGATAAAAATATGGACATGGTTTATCAAATAAATTCCAAATATAAGTGTCTGATTGCCAACAGTAACAAAATCTGATTGCTAATTTATATACTTTGTATTCTGTCTGATATCTATCATTATATAGTCTATATAAATTATATATATTCATATATATTCTAGCAAACTTATGCGTAAATTTACGCAGACATTACAAGTATTTTTTTCTCGCATTTTTTATGTCATACAATCTAAACAAAATGTATAAATGTGAAATAGAAATAAATCTCTTTGATTAATATCTTCGAAACGGGCCCTTTAAAGAGGTTTTCCTGTGCCAGAATATCATCAAATTACCGACGATTAACAAGGAAAGATGTGTATAATATATCAACAAAATACTGGCAACATTTCAGTTCATTTCCGGATCCGTGTAATGGATCAGCATAAACCACGAACGCTGTCACCCCCAACTTCCGGTAACTCATTTTGGGTAATAGAAGCGGAAAATGGAATTTTTAATGGTAAGAATATGAGATAAAAGATAAATGATAGCCATGTGAGTTTAATCTGATTGACGCGGCATGAAATATGCGTCTGCGTTTTAAAATATCACGTGATGTTAAACGCGTGCGAGAAATCCCAAAAGAATAAAGCAGTCAATAATAATGTATTTGTACTTTAACATATCATGTTTTAGATGCAATGTAAGTAATTTGTTTCATATCTTGCTTAATTTTCTTTGATATCGAATACTTTATATACAATTACAAAACAGCAACCTCAAGGTTGCAATTACAGTTATGTTACACAATTTTGAATCTTAAATAGTACTGGTGGTATATATTCTCTATGTTACAAATATTTCTTGCGGTTATTGATTATCATTCTTCATAATCATAACTGATATAAATGTATACCTTCTTTACTTTCGAAAGCCTCATCATGCCTTTGAATATAATGGATAAATTACGTCAATGGTCCGACAATATAGAAATACAGTGGCTGTCTGTAGGTGTATGCAGTCCACTATGGTTGTCAATATAAATGATTGACTATTGGCATTTTCTGTATCTTTGATTTGAAAAGTTTGTAAAAGCAATAATATTATTATCATAACGATTATGTTATTTATTTAACATTTTAGGAATGGTTTCTGTTTATGTTGTAGTATATTTTTGTACTATTTCTTAAATATTATTTAAACATTTAATTTACATTCTACAGGGGACATTCTACAGTGGGAGCAGCAGATACGCTTACGTCACATGACCACGCGGAAATATCTGTGTATAGATTCTACACACGAGATAATGTTGACAGACGACAATGAAGACCCGAGAACTGTCTTCAGACTACATAGCGTTATCAATGTACGTTAATTTACATGTATATGATTAAAGGTTTCAAGTAACTTGAAAAGAAGATAATTGTAAGGTCACCTTTTATATGTACACAATAACGCAAAGGTACAATATTGCCTCTTGTTATGTTGTGTTGTGATTAAAGCAAACACCGAACCTGTGATATTGATGCTTGTTATGCTTCAATATTTTAAACGCTGCTGTAAATTTTTATTTCTTGATATTTTTGCAACCAAGCAAATTCCATTAGTTTATCAATTTGTATTATGCAACCATTTGTACACAATAAAATTATAATTATTATGAATACACTACCAATAAATGAAGTACTAAAATACTAATAAAATGCTTCCAACCAAAGGATTTTCTTTTGAAAACGGATATGAAAACAGCGAAACAAATGTATCATCAGAGCCATGGAACTCGTAGTCATAAAGATCTATCAAATATCAATAACATTTCATTCATCTTTGACCTTATTTCGATCTGTCGAGCATAAACTTGTAGAAGACTTGCTGCTTTGCCAAAACAGATAATAAACAAAAATGTCAATGCATTCATCATTATCAATTATTACGCTATTTCATGACCGCCAAACTTTGGCAGGGTCGCTAGGGGTGGTCGCTTTGATTAATTCCAGTCCGGGGAAATCTATTAATGAGCTAATCTTACTCTTATGAAAGCACGTGAAACAGCCCTAGCTAGAATTGTTTCCCCAACTGGAAACAGTTGTTCAATAGCCGTATGAAATAACTGTATTTTATATCCCGTGTAGGTAAAATATCTCTACACGGAATACATTAGTTAATGTATTTTATGACAATTTATTACATATATTATATGAATAATAAAGTTCTCAACGGACCTACTTACTGTTACCTCTGATATATTGTTTGGATTAGTCAGTATTAAATCACTTAATCATAGTTCCTCAATTATCATCATGGAACAAATAATTCATCGTATTGTCCTGGAGGTTTATAAAGGTACTTAGTTGATCCGTGTTTTCCAGAATTGCTGACACTAGCGTAATTCGCCTCATATTCTCATTTGTATTTATTTGAATATCTTTTGCCAAACAGTTGTAATCCTACCTAAAATACGGTATTTTATAATTACAATTTATGTTTGTGAATAAGTTAACTTTAGAAATACGATATGATATGACCTCCTCTATAACCGGCATTTTGAGTTTATTTATTTAAGTTTTTAAAAAGCAAAGAATGTATCAACAGCATTAGAGATATGCACGGGATGTATGCAATCGCAACATCACAATGTCAATCAAATGTCTTGTTACACACACACTTTTTCCATGCAATCAAAAGTGACTGCAAGCTTACAATGTTTTATTTTTTTAAATGTTCTTGTCCTTCATTTGTGTTTTTCTTTAATAATTGACTTTGTATAAATGAAATAGTGTTTTAATCCCGTGAAAGTGCGTGAATGGTTATTCGCGGTGAATTGTCACTAATTTATTTTTTTCTTATTTTTGTCATTTTCATTGATACCGAATGGACCTATGCTAGTGTATTTATTTAATAACTGTTAATTTATCTTATTCTATGAAACAATATAATAGTTTAGCTTAGATTTAAATCATTAATTAAGGTTAATATACGGTCTTATCATTTCAGGAAAGAGATGAGATCAGATTTGAAAGTTATTGCAGAATAGAACATGTCCTAACTGGCTTCTGGCTACATGCTTTAAAAGGTAGAACTTTCCGTTCCGTTCCGTTTACCGTTTAGTTAATTACTGTGACCTTTAAAAAGCATTTGCCGAGCAAAACACTTAATTTCCTTATTTTCTTGAAAAAAATTGCTCTTTGAAACAAAACACACGAGTTGCTAATTTAATCGATAAAACTGTTTGTTAAATATTTAGTTGCATCACGCATTGGTTCATTTATATTTTAGATGAAGATTACATACGTAAGAAGTTCCGAGACGTTGAAAATGTCAACGATCAGACGCTGAAGGGTCTTCGGTGGGATAGTGCAATGGTCAGACAGGTAAGTAATGCCGGATATCATCAATTCTTCCACACAATTCCTCATAAACATTACAACATTTGAGCCGCGTCATGACAAAACCAACATAATGGGTTTGCGACCAGCATGGATCCAGACCAGCCTGCGCATCCGCGCAGTCTGATCAGGATCCATGCTGTTCGCTTACCAACTCTTTTACAAGTAGAGAAACTGATAGCGAACAGCATGGATCCTGATCAGACTGCGCGGATGCGCAGGCTGGTCTGGATCCATGCTGATCGCAAACCCATTAAGTTGGTTTTGTCATGACACGGCTCATTTTTGAAAATACTCGTTTTTTTATGTAAATTCATGTACTGCATAAGAGTAATCCTGTGTCCAGTGTATATATTAAATTAATAAAGTGCATTATTGTTATCTATGTTCGTTTTTAACTGTTCCTCCTTTAATTTGAAGTCTATTGTCCGTGCATATTGTGCTGAATGAAATGTTTGTGTATTTGTAAGTGTTTAGACTAGAAGCCCTGTTCACCATCTCCATATACAAATGTATACTGAATATTTTGTATTATTTTAATAACTATTTGCTGCGTTACATACGTTTTATATATGTGTAGGGCGGCGAGAGCATGAAGGTCAGTGTAATGTATGTGAGGTAATTTATTCATAAACTGTCAATGTCACGGTGCTTATTCGTGCAAAGGAATAATATCTGAGTGTTTCAGACGAAATACAAGAAATTAGTCAGTTGAATATATTTCCACACGAGAGTTTGCATCTTAAATATAATTTAGAGAATTTCTTTGTTTATTTGAGCCCAAATCATTTTGTAGTTCTTCAATAATATATGAAGCATTGCAATGCTAGTTTCGAGTATAATAGCGCCGAACTTTATACACTTTTAATTTACGATTAGTAAACCTGTTTGACTTTTGAAATAAATACTACTATTTCAAAGAAAAATTTCAGAAAAATATCAATAATTAATGACAGGCGTTTAATCTTTTAAAACCTTTATAAATTAATATTGATGTTTTTTTTTTTTTATCTCAGATAGACCTTTTACACGACATGGACCGTTGACAGTTTGATATGAAAATGTAAATGTTACATTTAGCATGACATGATACATTTCTTTCAATTTGCTGAAATGATTCTGAAGAATCTTAATTCCGTTCATTATTTAATAAAGGAGATTGAGAGACTTAATCTTATAACCGGTTGACTGTTATCCGTAACAATGGTTTTGTACTCAGTACAAATATTGAGATGTTCTCTGCAAATACAACTGACCTTTGCAGACAAATAAACTATAAAACTACTATTTATATACTTACTTCTATCCCTATTGCGTTCTAACTTTTGGGAAAATCATTATATTAATTAGTCTTCTTGTTTTATAATATTGCCCCTTTAAGATATATATTGAAAACACATCAAAATATATTAGATTATACCGTGTAAATTGAGTCAGAAACAAACTTTGAAAGTTTTTTTCTTATATTTTGAATTAAAAACTGCAAAAGGCCATCACTAATGAAGCTAATTGAAAAGTAGTAAAATTCATAAGCTGTTTACCGTAAAAATTGACCCATGTTTGCATTATGAAAAATGTTGTAAAATGTGAGCATAATTATATTTTATACGACAGCTATAAAGATTTTGACAAGTTATATGGTCCATTATAATTGATTTTAAGCTTATATAACCCAATTCACTAGGCACGGGTAAACAGCAAAGAACCATTTATACACGGTCATATAACAGGCCAAAATCTTTATAACGAATTTATAATGCTGCATTATTTCTTTATTTGAAAAAGTGTAAAATTTAATTCATACATTTGCAGCTATGGTCTGCATTGATAATATAAACGTCACGATTATGCAATAAAAATCGCCGTTACAAAGGGTGCAGTATTATAATTACCTTTATAAACTGGGAAATGTTTGTTGTTATTTGATTTTCAGATGTTGAAATCGAAATTTTTATATATTTTACTTTATGGTATAAATGCATGCTACAGAAATTCAAATTTTATTGTTTAATCTCTGTAATTGAATTTGACCTCCTTCAACGTTTCTATAAATAAGTTCGCTTGTTAAGAATTGAACAAAGATATCAAACCCTTTTTGTACATTCTGAGCCCAAAATGATCAGTGACCAGTCAATAAAGAATCTATTTCTTACTTAAAATTTTAAAAGTAACATTTTATAAATTTAAAGATGTTAACATGAACTTTGATAAGGCATTTGACGATAATTGCAAATGATTCTTTACAGTTTAACGCAGTGAAAACTTAAGTCCAACCTTTTCTATTTTCATTGCAAGTAAAATAAAAGCATGTGCGCTCTTGTGTAAACCAGGTCAACGGTTACCATATATTATCAATTGTAGTATTTGGTTAGCAAGTCAGCTAACTTGCATAAAGCTGTAAACACAGGAAAGGTCCTATTATGTATATGTGGATGGTTAAAAATTAAGGAAATCATTTTATGATTTTTGAACTATTGTTACTGCGAATAAAGTATCAAAAATAACCAATCATTTATTTGTCAAGCATGTTGGCATTATACGTGCATTTTCTTATATGTGTGCATTTCTAAGCATGTGCATCATATATGATAAAGCTGGTCGTATGTTTTATTAAAATCAAAGCCTAGGAAAAACAGTATTCATCTGTATATAATCAAAAATCACATAATGTAAAGAATGAATTATATTAGGAGAATGTAAATGTTAATAATTATTTGATTAAAGTGGCATAATCATGATAACCTTTATAGGCACAAGTTAAATAAAATTGTTTAATTCAATGACACACATTGTTGTCACAAAAGTTCTGAAGTTGTCTTTAATTCCAAGACTAAGCTGATTTTGAGATATAAAGATACAATGTTTGACTGGCTTGAATGTTCTTTCATATGGTGTTGATATTAACATTTTATTTATTTATTTCTTGATTTGATTAATAATATCTTTCTCAAATTTAATGGAAGTGTTGTTTTACATATAATTCTTTTGAGTTTTAATGTTACAAATGCAAAATTTCACCAAAAACCAAAAATGAATTACAAATTTGAATGTGGTCGCAATTTATTGGTAATTACAATATATACGCACAAAACAAAAGAAATGTTTGCTTTCGTTCTTAAAACTTTCTATTTCAGATGATATTGCTTTCTCTTGTATGTTTGCCTGTTGGATGCTTCTAGGAATGTTTTCAAGATGAATAGATTGCGTCATAAATTCCTAATAAAGCTATAAATTTACACAATACTGCACTTTAATTCTCGGCACTGATTCTTGTTATATTCTTACAACGTGTAATGCTCTTAATGATTATTTTTTGTCATGACAAAGGTGTCTGCGAGTGGAGAAAGCCAGTATGATGATGCCTTCACTATACAGATGGTGGAAGACATTCAAGTTGCCGAGTTCAACTACGTAGCTGGCATGGTACCATTTCTCCAGAACATCATCAAAGATGTAAGACCATCAATGCATCTGAAATTAATTTCAATTAAATTTCTTCGTATTTTCTATTATTTTAATACGTTTTGATACAATTAATTTAGAAACAATCAATTAAAAAAATATACTTTTATATAATTATTTAACTGTAGAGCTATGCAGTTTATATAATTTGGTGATAAATATTATTTATCCATTCTTTCAGAGACAATTAGGAGTCATCCTTAACTCAAAGAAAACCCACCAAATGCTTGTAGTAAGTATTTGCTATTTGCCATGAAAATCTGACTCTTTAATATCATCATTTCGTGTTTTTATTCTATATCTTTAATATTTCAATACAAAATAGGAGAAAATATTCTAATCTAGTTTCCTAATGTTTCACCATCGTTTTTAGTTATTAATAATTCGTTTCATTTTATTTCAATACATGTATTTCATGTCGGTGTTGAGGTGAAAATAATATTTTACCACGATTATGTTTACAGGCATTGGATGAATTGCAACATTTTATGCTGGTGAAAGACCTTCCAAGCAAAGATAGACAGAAACTCATGAGGAATCTGAGAGTAAAATATTTCTTTTTATGTGCTCTTCGTGTCTGAATGAAAGTTCTTACAAATTTAACTTTTATTTGTTACGTAATAGCATAAGAACATTTTTAAGGCGAAATTGTTTTGCCATTTACTTTTTTCTTTTTATGTGCTCTTTATGTCTGAATAAAAGTTCTTTCAATTTTAACTTGTTTTGTCTGTAATTGGATACTAACATTATTAGGCGAAATCACAATATCATTTTCTTTTTATTTCTTACTTAGATTTTTTTTATAGAAATGTCCTGTATAACTTTTATCATAAACTAATATGACTGTAACTTTGCTTCCTCTAAGGGTCTACATTTCAACAAGTAGTAACCAAGACAATAAAACAATAAAAACTGCCTTATTTTACAGGTCATAGATCTTTTGGTGAAGATCTTGCAGTTTCCGCTAGATGGCGTGCCAGATGAGCAAAACATTATTCTCATATTCAAAGAAGCATATGAGATCTTATACACATATATGATAGGCAAAAGTCGAAAGAATGCTCTGTACTTTGCCAAATATATCGAATTTTTCCAAACCCAATTCTCTCAAAAGGTTTGTTTGATAATATTTTATAGACCTTGAGGAAACTCTGATTTGTATATGCTAGAGCTAGAGAGTAACGTCAGTTTCTTTTTCCCGTTAATCTTAATATATTTTAATCTTAAGATCTTGACATAAAATAAAGAAATACGAATCCCTAAAAACGTCCAAAAAACGTCAAAATTAAAAATGTTGTACGCTCGGTTAAATTGAACATGAATGATACTGGAAAGTACAAGCTACCTTCCAGGCCTCTAGGGAACGGCGTAAACAAAATTCAACATCTAACATAAAATGATATAGATCAGTTTTGAAACATGAATTCATACAGCGATTTTCATGGAACCTTCAATGTGACACGTTAATGCCATTCCATGAAAAGCGGCCTATGGTTCCCATGAAAAAACATGTGTCTCTGTGTCCTAAACAAGAAAACAATCGGCGAAACTAAATAAAATTGAATAGAATTTTGAAAGGGGTCAGCGATTATGAAACCAACATATCACAGATAATAGAGCAATTCATTTTTGAATGTTTTCACTTTGTGTGAGCAGGCAAATTTAATACATCGGGTGTCTAGTACCGTTTGGCAGCTGTAAAAAGTTGCCCGTTCTTCATTCACTTCAGTGGTATTATGTTCTTCTGGTCCTTCGAGAACATTGATTCCAGCACTTTATAGTGATATGTGTTGAAATTGTGAACCGCCGAAGCCGGTGCTAGGGGATCTGATAGATACTGAGTATTGCACTTTTTAATTATCCCTCATGTGAAGACTCAATCAAACCGAGTCTGCATTTTTCATGTAATTTTGTTGTGATAAATGCTTCCGATGGATCACATTTTTATTCCAGATGCTCCTTACATGTAAAAGTGTGTTTTGATTGCGACAGACATCACCAATATATATTACTTTGAATATCCTTATCAAATGTGTACATTAACTAATATGTAACTTTTAGATGAACATAGAAGTGATAATTTTAAACAATCAGATACATGTACTTAAAAATTTATTATATATCTTTGAAATTAAAAAAGGTCTTTACTTTTAAAGCAATATTGTCCTTAAGAACACAGCCTGATTGGACATATATTTTTTAAATCATGGCTTTGGCATTTTGTTACAGGGAGGTATAGGTCTGAATGTTGCTCAGATGATTGTAGAGTTGATTAGAGACAAGAGAAAAATCGTGGACAGAATATCACATCAACAGATTGACGAGTTTGTTGCCTTGCTGCAATCAAGTCAGGTATAATTCTTTGACATTACTCTCCCTTGGTGGTCTTAACTTTTGCGTGAGACTGAAAAAAATTGTTTGAGCACAACATTACATACCATATTCCGGTATATAACGGGCAAGGCGCTTGGATGATTGGATGCTTACAGTCGCCAAAATGCACTTTTAGACGTCAAAGTCATCTCTTCAATACGAATAATATAAGTGAATGAATGAAAAATGTAAGACTAGGGAGAAAAAGCGATATTTTTCTACTTTGTGATCATGATTTCTGTAAGCGTCTAGAGGTACAACTCCAACACTGTAGTGAGTAAATACCTTGCGTGATTTCTTTCTTATTACACGAATCTAAAATTACAAGTGAGCCTTGTCTTTTATAGCTTAATGGCCATTTGTGATATTTTGCCATGAATAAGGCTAGTACTCTGTTTCCTTTTTGCCTTATTTGTTGTGAATAAATTTTATATCTGGTTTTCTAGACGATTTAGATTTATTTTCTCTTATGTATCTCTCTTAAGAGAATGTATATTTGGTAACATATTTTGAAAACCAAGTTGATGCAATGCTTGTTCGTCTAATGATTCTTATTAAACTTTCATGATACATCGGCTGGGATATATAAAACCACTATTGACATGTTGTTCTACAGATGCAATGCAAAGAGCGCGTTGTACAAAAAACTAAAATTACTAAAGTGGCATGAATTATTGACATTTCTAAACAAGTGATGCATTTATTGCCTAAATAACCTAATATTTTCATGGTAAAGTGACCTTTGTTACACCGTTACATAAAATGTAGATCTGTCACATTGATTGAATGTATAAAAAAATATTTGTAAAATGCATAGTGTAAACAATTGCCATTTCTCAAAATGTCATGCACTAATATTGTTTGTACATTTCTGTTACAGAATTACAGATTTCTTGACTTGCTGCATGTGCTGTGTGTTTGCGATGACGTAGCCATACCAAACAATCAAACATACATTGTGCAGCAGTGGATGCAATGTGAGCAGGTTAGAAAAGTACAATAGATTTATTTTTATTTATTTTATTGTTCGTTGCCAAAATATTTATTATGTAAAATCCATGTTATCAACACTGTAAAACATAGAAACATTCATCTATAAATTATGTTTTGTTTTCATTTATTGTCCATCACTAGAATGTATTGGTATATCTTTGTTTATAAGAAGTGTACTGAATAAACCTTGCTGAGTTGAACGGGAAAATAAATAATTATTTTACATCTTTTTTTAGTTGCCCCGATATATCTCTTAAACTAAAGCAACATTAAAGTAGCAGACGATAAGCAAAACTTTTCATTCATCTATTATTTTTAAATTATGAACAAACTGTTGACATAGCAGATATGAAAATGTAGTTTAAAAAATATTTTATTTACGCGCAATATAATTACAGTCAATACAAAAAAGGATTGGATTGAGTAGAAAGCTTTAATAGAAACTCTCTACTCGGAATGAAAAAATTGTCTTTAATGATAGCACTCATAAATATATGAAAATATAAATAAGCAATGAACTAGATGTAAAGAACTTACATGTACAAAATATTGAAAACTTTATATGTTACGTAAACTGAATGTTGTACAATATATACTGTACTGAATATTGAATTCTCTATTAAAACAGAAAGGAATCTATCTGACGGCACGTGGACAAGACATCAATAGACAGCCAAATATTCTGTATATCTCGGCAGATGATGCCAGATCCTGGATAGCTTTGCACGAGTTTGTTGATGTAAGAACAAAGAGATCAACTGAAAAAAAAATGAATATATTCTTCTTTTTTTTCAATTCAGCATCCATTTTAAATATTTTCTTTCCTTATCAAAATCTAAAAACTAGAGCAACAGCTTTCATGATAATGAAGATACGTCACCACAAAAGTGTAGAAACAGTTCAAGTCTGTAGTAATTGAAAACAGTTTTTTAAACCTTTAACCTGCTGTTTTCCCTTTGGGGGACTTGTGTTTTTTTCTTAAAATTCATTTATCTTTTTAAATAGGAAATACGGGAAGCGACAGTGAGATTATCAAGGTGAAACCCGCCAGATTCCGGGTATCTTATTTAGCACTGGCGCTTTGGTGCAATCGTTTGCCGTCAGCAGGTTCAATGTTAATCTTATTTATCAATGTTCTGAAAGCTTAAAACGAAATATGTTTCTTAATAGAGAACGAGATAGATTGCTTAAAAATAAGTTATTTAAACATATTAAGACATCACGTTACAGAAATGTTCTATATAGAGTGATTTTATGTACCATAATTGCGAAATCTATGTAAATCTTTAGGGTTATTTTAAGTGTTCTATGTTTAAATAATTGTTAAACAAATAAATGCTGTACTATTTTTTTTATCTTTTTACACAGGAATCACACGTTTCATATGACAAAGACAAACACGATTTTCTCTTGCATCAGCTAGACTTGTACATAGCGTTGTGTAAGGTAAACTAAATTTGTTAAGATGTATAAATCTTGGCCATTAGATTGAAAAAATTTTAAAATGTAAATTTTATGGCAACGATTATTTTGTTAAAGGCAGGGGGCATTGAGCTTCTTTACAAAAATTGGGTTTTATTAGTTTATAAAGGAATTTATTGAAAGTATTTGAAAATTTTAGTTTTTAATAATAACTTAAAAAACACTTAAAATTTTTAAAATTAAAGTAAATGTTTACCTTAATTGGCGTAGTTTTTTATCATTTAATTCTGGTTTTGTAATGTTGAATATGAAAGGCGTTCCGCCTAAAACATAAAATTTGAAATTCTTACATAGATCAAGTTATGCACCTAAAATGGAAAAGCCTGCAAAGTCACGTCATATAACACCGCTCAATGGAATTCCTTTAATTATCAAAATGTAAGTAAATCAACACACAAAAGCACATTTTTTGTAAACTTACAATTTAATCTTTTTATGTTTATGCAGGGTAGGAATGATTTTGCCATCAACATCATTACGAAAGAGTTACGGTACCTGACGTGGGAAGAAACGTTTTTAGCGTTACGTTCAGACATTTTACCTGACGCTATCCGGGCAAAGTATTGTGACATCACAACAAGTAATTACTTTATTCTTATAAAGCTTTTTATAAAATAGGTTGGTAAAAAAATTTTCATTAAATACTTTTTCATTTCCCCTTGTTATTTTTTTGGCAATTCTTAACCAAAGGCCCTTAAATTTAAACCAATTTGGTTTTTTCAACGGGTATATTTACTTTAATTTTTTATTTTGTTGTTAATTTTCCTTTTTGAATATTTAAACTGTTTTTTTTATTTTTTTTCTTATTCTGACAGGATTAAAAAAATTGCCTGTAATTTATTTTATAAGTCAAAGTTTGTAATGTTTTTAAATATAAAAAAGTTTTTGAACTATAAACTTCAAAATGGTTTTGATTTTTTAAAAGTTTTGATATTTGCAATGTTTTTGTTTCGTAATATGTTGTTTCAAAATTCAGGATCAATTGTTTTACTTTTCATATACATTTCACATCAATTTAGCTCTCATTTAATTTTACAGGCTTGTTTGTTGATATCGGAAACAATTATTCTGTGCTCGCGCATCCTAATATTTGTTTCGTGTATGACTATGTTGGGTCAAAAGACGAAGAAAAAAGTCAGGGTGATTTTGTAAGTAAACTTGACCAAATCATATTATGAATTTTTTGTATTTAAACCCAATTCCATTGAAATAAATATGTACATGAATAAGATATAAATAAATGTTTGTTTGCTTGTTTGTTTGTTTCGTTTTACGCCTTTTTCCAACAGTATTTCAGTCATATAGGCGGGTAGTTTCCTAACCATCGTTCCTGGAGAGTTACACCAGTACTAGACTACCTTCCTCCGCGGGTAGTTTCCTAACCATCGTTCCTGGAGAGTTACACCAGTACTAGACTACCTTCCTCCGCGCTAAACTACCAACCAGAGAGGTAATTGGATTAGAAGTCATCGACTCTAACCCCTCGACCACGGAGGCGGTATATAAATAAATAACGAATAAGATATTTACATACCACTACTTATAGGAAAATTGTACATTGTGTTTTCGGGATTTCTTCTTATGCTCCGTGGGGCGCCAGACGAAAATAAGACAAATTGATCACTTTGTCATGGTTTCGTTAGGCGCCTCGCGGAGCAAAACTACGACATGGCACCGATCAGCCACCATACTAATGGAATCTTTCGATATTGAAATGTTTGTTTCAGTCTTCTTTTAATAATTGATAATTTTTCATTACGTTTTATATTATAGATTGTGAAAGAACTAGTTGCCATATTTCCTGTATTGAGGGACTGGATTGCAGAGTTTCTGTCGGAGAATAAATGTATGTATGCATCCGAGGTTGGACACAATATGCTGATAGAACAGGTAAGTGCGACTCTCTAAAAGTTGCGTGCATCACGCGCTAATATTAAGTTTTTGTTTAAAGTTTCATAGTGCCCTATTTCATTCACAAATGAATCACTTAAATTCCAGATATCTAAAATCAATGCATATCAAATATAAATGATAAAAATAAATAAATCTACCCGCAAAATAAAACACAATACAGTGTAATCTTCACAAAGCGGCCACCCGTTCAACAACATGTCCAATACTACCTACAGTAAAACTGCTTAATAAATCTAACTTCTTCAGAGCAAGATCTATAATTATTTTTTATGGAATAAAATGTTTCATGTAGGTTTATATGAATCTTACACAATGCTTTAACGGCATTGTTCAGCCATCGTTAAATGGTCGTAATTTTGGAAACTTAATTATCATAAAATTGTATATATTTGAAAATTGACAGCATTGCTATATAGCATTTTTAAAAGCTTTGACGCTAGCAGTATGCTTACCTCTTACCTCTAAGTTAATAAATAAAAAATGTATCGTTGATTCTCGATTAAGTAGAATAAATAAATATTTTCCCGCCTTTTTTAGGTTGTTAGGCTTCTATACTACCTGGTTATGTTCGGATATTACATGGACGCTGAAGATGTGGAGAACTTATTACCACCCTTGTTGAATCTTCTAGATGGAAGACACGATTACCCGTTCCTGAAAGAAAAAGATAAAAGTAAGCATGCTGTTGAAGCAATTGAGATAATTTGAGCCGCGTCACGACAAAACCAACATAATGGGTTTGCGATCAGCATGGATCCAGACCAGCCTGCGCATCCGCGCAGTCTGATCAGGATCCATGCTGTTCGCTTACCAACCCTATTACAAGTACAGGAACTGATAGCGAACAGCATGGATCCTGATCAGACTGCGCGGATCCGCAGGCTGGTCTGGATCCATGCTGGTCGCAAACCCATTATGTTGGTTTTGTCGTGACGCGGCTCATTTATACACTACATGTATTCACTATTTTCGATATCTTATCAAAATTAATGATGAAATATTTTTCTACTTTTAAGTTGTTATTTTGGATCATCCCTCTGTGTGACTTTTATAATTTATCTAAAAATGCCAAGGTTGTTGCAATACGAGAAATCATTAATGACAATGTGGGGATCGTCTAGAGATAATTTGTCAAATAATAATATTAATAAGTTTCTAGCAATCTCTGAAAATATAAACTGATAAGTTCATCAATTTCTACGGATAGAAATCTTCGATAGTCTAGGCTGTTTTTGGTTAAAGAATGTAAATATAGATAAGTCAATGAATTGATGTCTGTAGAATTATGACATTTGACAAAATTGATTCAAATAAAGTCGAAAAAAGATATAAATGAAATCCATATCCATGTAGTACAAAGATATGAAATGCTATTAGTTCATTCAATGAATTAGTCAAAAATACATGCATAAGCATATAAAAATGCATTATTCAAATACGTTTAACAGTTATGAGTTAAATGGTCTTGAACTATTTCGTATAGCTGCTTCATACACACATCTTAATACCATCTCAAATTGGCTTCATTTCAAAGTACGGAACATAAAACTCCATGTCACTGACCCCAAATTGAAAAAAAACTTGGCCCAAAAAACTCTTAAAAATCTATTGTCAATTTAGTACCGAGTATATTTACACATTATCTATTGCATAGTTTACTATTTTAAGGGAATCAGTTTATTATGAAAGAATTTCAAATTTTATTAATAAAGGCTATTATACTGCAGTCGAGTTCCTTTAATATAAAATCATTCCACGATGAATTTGCTAAATTGGTACAAAGCCTGAATAACTATTAAATATAACAGCTATAAGTAAAGTGTACGTATACAAAGACGTGTATCAAAATGTAAGAATTACCTCAATTATTATAGGGTGACCCGCTGTTCTATATGCTTATCAAAATTGCATTTCAAATATCTGAAGTCATAATTGAAAGAGCGTATCCTCTCAGCACGCTGAGCGCATTGCTATAAGTAATATATTTACCCTTGAGAAAATAAAGATCTCGTTTTAAAACATGATCACGACTATCTTAGCTATGACCGGAAGTGATTAACCCGTGCCACCAGTATTAGAGTCAGACCAGTCTGTGCATCCGTGCATTCTAAACTGTTGGTGGCTCGAATGTTTTGTATTCCGAAATAGAAATCCATTCAACTACTAATGGACTGTTCCAAATTCAAAGCAGGGCAAATCCATTTGCATATGGTGGCTGAGTTATGCCATTTCGTGTTTTTGACCCTTAAAAGTCGAATACGAAGACACGATAATATGCTCACTTGTAATGTCTTCGGGTCGGCGCCCTCAGAAGTCCAGTGTTCGTGTCGTCGTGTATTCGCCCCGAAAGTCGAAGACACGATAAATTGGCCAATTATCGTGTCTTCGCCTTCGCATTTTGAGGCGATACACGGCGACACGACAAATATAGGGCGCTGATACGAAGATTACTACCGCCGACACGATAATTCTGCAGATTTTTCACCTATTAAAATATGGTTATTTCGCCTAAAAAATATCGTATCTTGGTGTCGGCAAGCGAAGACACGATAAGTTAGCAGAAATCAGCCACCATAATTGCCTAAAAAATGTAGCAGGGTAAGGGATAAACATCATTTTGAATGTCGGTTTGTATTTGTAGGCTCTTCCAAAGAGGAAAGAAAACGTATACAACAGTACCAGCAAACGGAGAGATACGAGAAATCGAGGGAGACCGAGGCCATAGTTAATGCCAAGTTTCAGTAAGTGTCATGTCTTTAAATCTCTAAAGTTATTTAACGGTCCATACTATTAGTATTTAGTTATAGGAAAGTAAGCTCTCAATGTCATATCAAAATTTATACCCTGGTCATACAAATGTGTGTTATGGTCACGTGGGGACTTTTTATCGGTTCTGTTTGTGGTTGAATTTTGATTTATTGTTAAAAAGTAGTATTATTAAACCGTACTTGAAATGGAACAAAAATAAGAAAGAAATAATATGCTTGTATATAAAGTACTGGTCAAACATGGTTTTTATCAATAAAATCCTTTGATATATAACTTCAATACGGGACAATGTTCGCCATATGTCTTATCCTCAGGATGACTGTTTCAATTAATGCATTATAGTTTCCATTAATGACTGACTGCCTTTTTTAAAATATATCATATACCATAATATATGAAATCATTGGATGATAAAGAATTAAGATAGATACATCTCGGTGACTATTTTCTTAATCGGTTACGAGTTTTAGCCAATAATTGAATTTGAAATCATATTAATATATGGTATAAATACATTTAGTATATTAAATAATTATGCAACTGTTGCACATAACGAAAGGGGAATTATATGATGGATCGAAAAGGAGAGAATTTGGTGAAATATCTTATTATTAGAATTAAAACTTTAACATGCAATGTTTGTTTAAAGATATACGATGCTTAAATTTGATATTAAAAAATATTGACAATGGATACACAGTCTCATTATAAATATAAAATAAACACGTTTTGACTTCACAAAAAGTAAATATGTTATGTTTAAAACTTTTACCACAATAGGTGGTCATAATAAGAATGTATAGTCTCATTAAAAAACTGGTAAACAAAAACAGCTTTTTTTTTAAAGAAAAGACCAGCTTGTCTTGACCTGTTATAGGGAACGCAGCTTCCCATTCATAGTTTATTCATTATTTTATCCAAATTAGACATATTTAGTAAGAATTTCATAGATTTCAATAAATTTCGATGATAAGAATATCTTACTCAAGGATGAGCATGGCCCGGTATACGTATCTTTAAAATAAATTGTAATATTATAATTTCTTCAATAATCAATTGATTCAATGCAAAACTCAGATAAAAATATTTTTCAGTAATTTGTAAACGTTTTCATCTCAATAAAGTAAAATAAAAAAAATCATTTTGTATACAAGTATTTAATGTATTGCCATATGAAGTATTTTTTCGAATTTTAATCATTTGATTTAACACCGTAGCTATATATTAAATAAACTGACATGTTGCCTAAACTGAAATCATGAGTTCATGCAGTGACGAAATATGTTTTATTTTATAAATAAACGATTATTATAAGACAATAAATACAGTATTAAAGCAGTTATTTGATATCGTTTTATTTATTTTTTATGTTAAATGTTAAATGGCTTAAATATAAAATTTTAATTTTAGATTTAGAATCATTAGTTGAACCACTTAAAAAGATAGTTGTAGAACATAATTAAAAAATGTACTTTGAAATGAATTGAAAATCGTATTTTTGAGATATTTTCCTATTCCGATTTAAGTCGTTTTTCACAATTAAAAAAATTGGCGCGAAACCAGAGTAACTTTTGCACACAATTTATTATCAAATAGAACATTAATCAAGAAAAGATATGTTCAGTCCCGTCATATCAAACATATCCTCGGTAGAGGAAATGAAGTTAAATTTTGCTGTTTTAATATATGAACTGTATATCATTTATACAAATTTGATTTTTTGACAGTTTTCAACATAATCGGATAACATTATCGTTAGCCTAAGGTATAATGAAAAATGACGAACAGTGTAAAGTGATAAACTAGAACTTATTAAAATATTATCATCGAACATCTGGTAGCGTGGCCGAGCGGTCTAAGGCGCTGGTTTAAGGCACCAGTCTCTTCGGAGGCGTGGGTTCGAATCCCACCGCTGCCAATATTTTTTAACTTCCCATTCCGTTTAGATATTTACATAGATTTTAAATTATCAAAATTCAAAAATGATATATTGTTTGCATCGTTACTGACGTTAAGTATCTTACTGACGTTAAGTAGTAGGTTAAATTTCATTGAGTTTATCCTGTTATAGTTAACCGGTTTGATGAGTTTTTGTGGCTATTTTCCAATATCATTGATATAATATGAAGTTTTACACGCAAACTATATTATAAATAAATGGTAAAAAAGTTGATGCTTTAAACATATTAATAATATTCGAATCAAGAGAATAAATGAACGGAAATGTTAAAAACTTTAGAAACTTTTTCTTTCGTATACATCTGGTAGCGTGGCCGAGCGGTCTAAGGCGCTGGTTTTAGGCACCAGTCTCTTCGGAGGCGTGGGTTCGAATCCCACCGCTGCCATATATTTTTTTCTCTATAATATACGTTTATTCATGGGTGGCCATGATGACTTAATATATCGCTTAATGATCATGAAAACTGTCTATTTTGAAGAAATGTAACAGGTACAGGAAATATACTTCGATGTTTAAAAAACATTCTGTGCATTTTACAAGAATTTGTGACATAAACAGAAATGGTGTTGACTCTAGGACAGGGACGAATTGAGGGCACCGGACAATACATTTTGTAAATGCAAAATTAAGAAAACAGCAAAATTAGTTTCCTGTTACACGGATGTTTAAGGTTTTTGAGCACGCGTTTAAATGAAATTTATACAAAATGATATTTACTGACAATAAATGTCGACATTTCAACAATATATTTGCTGGCCCTCCCGGGCGCTTCCCATCTTAATCCCTGCCACAAAAGTTATCTATTATAAAAAAGACCATACACGTATGCGGCTTATAGAGCCAATGGGTATAATATACTTATGAAACATATGCTAGGATTTTCAAGATCGTCGGTAGAACGGTCCAACGGTTTAAGGCGCTGGTTTAAGGCACCAGTCTCGCCGGAGGCATGGGTTCGAATCCCCCCACTGTCCAATTTTTTTGTATTTGCTTTGAATTTGTTGAGTTTGTGCCTTACCAAAACGAATCGTTTTACTAAGAGTCCTCTAATTCAATACTGTATTAATTTTGAAAAGAAGGTACATATTATTTGAGGTTTATCGCCTACAAAAAAAAAGCAAAATCATTTCACTTCACACCGTCGTTATTCAGTAATGAATCTAATTTACTTAAAGTACACGAACGATATAAGATATGTCAAGATCTTTCTAATGGCAAAAGTAATAATATAAGACCAAAGATTTCCAAAGTGACTAGCGGGCTTCTGGGTGATTCTCAAAGTGTAGAACGGCTGTTAAAACTGCATTTTATATAAATAAAAATTCATAAATTTATACATGAAAAATAAAGCTAAGAGTTCATTCGTGTTAACATTTAAATGTTATGTATTTAAGAAATAATCGTGCTTAAGATAAAATGGGAGATAAACGAAAGTTTAACAATAGTTTAAATATAAGAGTGGCCGAGCGGTTTAATGCGCTGGTTTTAGGCACCGGTCTCTTCTGAGGCGTGGGTTCGAATTCCATCGCTGCCAAATCTTTATATTTAATCTTTTGTCCTCGTACTTTTCGTATATTTCAATATCAAATAGTTTTATTTTAACCTTATTCAGAACGGAAGAGCATTTGTGCCAGGTGTGTGTTTTTTTAAACTCGAAATTTGAGTTTACATATCTGTAATTTTCGATTTAATAAAAACACACACTAATGCTCTTCCGTATAAAACCCTTAGTTCCGTACAAATTTGAAAAATAAGTAATTTCAACCATCAATATGACCTATAATTTTAATATTTTACGTGTAAACTTAAAATGTTTAGTTTCAACGTTTAACATTGAATTTTAAAGAAAGAAAAGTGTTTAACACAATGAAACACAAAGATAAAAAAAGGATTTCAGATTTTATCAAAATAAAACCTTACAGAACCAATACGCATGAAACTTTATAAAAATTAAAAATTATGTTCCTTTAATCACAGTTATACGTCATTTGACAATTTGAATTAGCTAGATAAGAGTTAAGTCCTCACTTTCATATATTAATGATTATTACAGTTGGTAGTGTGGCCGAGCGGTCTAAGGCGCTGGTTTTAGGCACCAGTCTCTTCGGAGGCGTGGGTTCGAATCCCACCGCTGCCAGAAAATTTTGTTTTAAAATGAAGTTTCAATACGTTGTTAAAACCATAAAAACTCGAGAACGGGACCGCAGATTGCGGCGCATATTTTCGATCGTGTAACGGTTTTTAAAAACGTTTCTGCTACATCTAAATATCTTTAATTATTATCCGAGTATGTGGCCTCAAAAATATATTATCAATTGAACCCAATCTGTCTGTTTTAAGACTGGTCAAATTTTACGGTATTATAATATTTATTTCAATATACCGTAAATTTGATTGATTTTTAAATTAGCAGATTATATTAAATTGAGATTAGATAATTTAAGACCACCCGCTCGCATAATATGAAAAGATATTCAAAGGACAAACAATATGTAAAGCCGGTACGGATTCGGAGTTATGTGCCGCAATATGCGTCCCAGAGTTCCTATGGTTGAAACGCTTCTCATGCCAAAAAACGTTACTGTTGATATGTTATTAAATTGTGTATATAGGATAAGGAGCGTATACAAATACCTCTTTCATAGGATCTATTTAAAAAAAACCCGAACCGTCATAATTATCTTTGTTTAATACTTGTCGGAAGTTTTGGTTCGAATTCCAATGCTGCAATAAATAAGTGTACCATAGGTTATTATAAATCAACCGAATCGTACTGATGTTTTATTCTATGTTAAACCCCTGTCACACTAGGACGGCGTTCTCACGGCGTCCAAAGAAAATTCAGAACGCCAAGGTGAGCGCAGTAAGATCGCAAACATCGCCACAGCATCGCCGTAGCATCGTAGTGGCATCGCATAGAACGCCGACCAACGGCGCGCATTTTGAACATGCTCAAAACAAACGCCGTCACTCGGCGTTCTAAAATGAGCGCACTAGCATCGCAGTAGGGACGCAGTAGCAACTCAGTAGCATCTCCTACAACGCAACAGGAGCGCCGCGAAAGCGCAAACGAAACGCCGAATGAACGCCGTGGTTATCCACGCCGCTTGTACGGCGGTTGTGCGACGTTCTACCTTAAACTGCGTGTGCACGGCGCTTTTACGATGCTTTACGATTTCAACGCAGTGTGAGCGCCGCGAGAGCGTCGTATGAGCGCCGTAAATGCGCAGTGAAAGCGCAATGAACGTCATAGAAGCGCAGTCCTAACGTAGACAATCGCCAACGAAAACGCCGTCGAAGCTCCGTAGCATCGCCATTATCGCCGTGAGGACGCCGTGAAAACGCCGTGAAGTGTTCATGACATCAACAATATCACATTTTTTATTGCGATCTCGCGGCGCTTTGTTAAATTTAACAACGCCGTGCAAACGCAGTGAAAGCGCATTCTAGTGTGACAGGGCCTTTAACAAATAAGGTCTGGTAAAATCTTCAAACCCTGATTCTTTGCGAGAATAATATACGGAAACAATTCATTACTTATTGATACCTGCCTATACTACCACCGTGTAAAAATTTTTTCCGACGGCGACGTTTATTTTTGTTAGTTATTAAGGTGTAATTAGTAGCAAATCTTGAATCGTCATATACCAATAACCTGATCACTCAAGTATGACCTTCTGTGACAGAGTGGCTGAAGTCACCTGTTTCGAACCACTTAGCCGTTAACTACTATAAGTTCAAATCCCTTCATGGACTTCGGATTCTTTCATGTGAGGAAGTTAACCAGTTAGCTTTTGTTATATTTGTTGTGTATGTTATTGGTGTAAACTTGTGCTGAAATAAATGTACATAAATAATCGGGTGAACTTGAAGACTTCCTCCACCGGTACAACTTAAAATTCACCATATGACCTGTGAATTAAAACTCAAGGGAAATCCGAAGCGCTTCTTATTGAAACTAAATGAGATGTTAAAACACTTGACTGTTTTTAACAAGACTTCAATTTTCTGTATATCGATGTTTATTACAATTTGCAATAGAGAGAAAAATTGAAAGACAAATATAAATATATTTTACCATTGAAGTAAAGCTGTTAAACTGATGAAATGTACTTATTTATTCGTATACTGAAAGTGTAAAATAATTGATGAGTGAAAATAATTGATTAAAGTGAAAAATGTCAAAAAATAAAAACAAAATAATTATATCAAATAAATAAGTAAAAACAGAAAATCCTCTTTTTTCCCTTTAAAAAAAACATCACTAGAGGGAATGAAAATGACTTATGACTAAGTTTGACAGTTGAACTGCTCATTTCCAAACCTAATGTTATAAATGGGTGATGATAGCGATATAGATATCAGTTGGTAGCGTGGCCGAGCGGTCTAAGGCGCTGGTTTAAGGCACCAGTCTCTTCGGAGGCGTGGGTTCGAATCCCACCGCTGCCATTTCTCTTTACTTCACTGTTTTTTGTTTTTGTCCTTTTGTCTAAATTAACATTTAAGATATAGATATTTAATAGACTACTGTTTACAGGGTATTTATCGCAAGAGAATAGAGTGAAGTTTTTACACACACCATTCATTTCTTTTCTTTTTTTTAAAAGTTTATATTCACGAGGACAGTTTAATAAGTTAATTAGACGGAATAAAAACTATTGTGGCATATTTCTGCCACCAGATAACCATATAACTAACTAGTTAATTAAGAGGTTAACTAGTTACGTAACTAGTTAACCTCTTAATTAACTAGTTAGGTATCAGGTTATCTGGTGGCAGAAATATGCCACCATAAAAAACAATTGAAAATATTGATATTGATAATATAGGTAATTATCCTACAGCAGTTATAAAGGTCATTCTATCATGTGATGATAATTTTCTATTTTTATAATTTCAGAGTACTAGAGGTGCTGGACCTACTGTTGACTTACCAGAGGAACTCCAGGCTACAGGTATGTGCATGCCACATGGGTACAAAACAAAAATATTAGCAAACCTGAAAACCCTAATTTAGTGTTATTTAATCGGTTTATTATAGTAAAAGAGAGCTTTTTTTTTCAGGATTAAAAAAAACTGAACTTCAGACAAAAGCCTGAAAATGTGTGCCCATAATGTATCAGTAGTTAATTAATAATTAATTGAATGTATATACATTGTATATATTTAATTATACGAATTATTTTTTAATAGATAATAAAACTATAAAAAAAATAACGAATTTATATATGTATTACAATAATCTAATTTTTATTCATTTATTTATGCCATGCAGATGTTATTTGATTGATTGATTACTATTAGTATTAGTGTTATTGTTATCAAATAATTAATTAATATTTATTATAACCATTATCTATTTTTTCTTCATTTATGTATTTTTCTATTTTTATTATCATTAATATTATTATTATTATTATCACTATTATTATTATCATTATTATTATTATTATTATTATTATTATTATTATTATTATTATGATAAAAAAAACACATCCAGTAAGATGGATTCTGATATATTTTTGTAACACAATTATCACAATACAAAGTCTAACAACAATTTTTACATGATAATATCAGTAACAAACGCTTGCTGTAGATAAGATTTGACTAGATAAACATATTCTCATCAAAACCACATGTCAGCGTACATATCAATTACCGTGTTATCAACAAACATAAGATGAGTACATTAGATGTATCTGGGGGAAAAGGTTGTTTTTTTGTCCCAGATGAATGCAATCTATCCATAGAAGCAGAAATATTAAAATGTATGAAGTAGTAGTAATAATAGTAGTTTATTCTTTATTCCATTAGATAATATACCCATGACCGTATTACAAACATATTGTATAAATGTATTTCATTACAAATGTATGTACGTTTTCTTAGATGGGAGAAGGGTTATTAGAAGATTTCCTCTTACTTTAAAATGTAAAAAAAATATGTTTTAAGTTATGTATAGAAGTGAAATACTATGACATGTAAAATTCGAAAAAGTTACTTTTATAGAATTCATGTTTTTCAAATTATATTATTTTCTTTTTAATTTAACAAAATCAGAGACACTTTTGATGAAGTGAAGAACATGGATGTTACAGATGTTTTAATTCAATGAAAACAATACTATGAATATTGTCTAATTGGTAAAACATTACAAAATGTATATAATTTGGATGAACAATAATATTTTGGCAATTTCAATCTAAAACTACGAGAAAGATAAATGAAATTTTCTGATTTTTTTGGTTATTTCCTTATGTATGAACATTATTATTGTAATATTTTGTTAGGTAACATTTTGACAGGTTCAACATATTCAAAAAGAAAATAACTAGCCTTGGGTATAATGAATATACCTGTAGGTGAACAGGTATAATACAAAATGACTGATTATTTTCGTGAAGATATCAGTTGGTAGCGTGGCCGAGCGGTCTAAGGCGCTGGTTTAAGGCACCAGTCTCTCCGGAGGCGTGGGTTCGAATCCCACCGCTGCCATGTATTTTTTATGCAAAATTATAATGCATAGACTAAATGTAATTATTTATCGTGCTATCTACAGGAATACATTAGCATATCTTATTCTATACATATTCTTCTACAATGGAGGTTATAGAATAAAGCGTATCCTTAAAATATATGGCGTCTCTAGACTCTCTAACATTACATGTCATTTTTTCTCAATTGCTCTTCCACACTCCCAGTTGGCCTAAGCGAGGAACATTTTTTGTAAAAAATATAATAGGTCAAAACTGATGGGAAAAAAGAATGGCTAGAAAGCAGAATTATCTTTCATAACGTGTGGTTGTCTTTAGCAAGTGTTATTTCTTTCAGAGTTTTGTGGGCAAGTTCAAGGTTGCGGAGCAGTTAGCAGCACAGGGTCGGGGCTTGACTATCATGTGCTCGTTGCTGTACGACTCGTTCGATCCCCATGACCAATCACAGTACGTTCAAATGTTATTATTAGAATCATTAATTATTCTGATAAAATGCCTGAAATCGTTATGTATTGTCGTTATAGTATAATTGGGATTTAAAAGTTATTAAGTCGTTATTATTGTATTATCTGAAGTGTTTCTTTTCATACAATCTTAAATCTGAAAACTTTTCAAAGATTTGATAAACACTTTTATCTTAAAATTCTTATAAAGCAAACAGTAATTAAATATACATGTCTAAACACAATAACCAATGTATTAATTCTGAATATAATTATGTTCTTTATTTTTATAGAGAATTCTAAAAACACAAAACGCTTATTCGACGTACTGAATTTAATTGCTGTCCTACAGATACTGAAAATGAATGAATGAATGAATGAATGAATGAATGAATGAATGAATGAATGAATGAATGAATGAATGAATGAATGAATGAATGAATGAATGAATGAATGATATTAATCACATTAACAATAACTTGTTTTGAGCTTATATAAAAATTAATGTTTTACAGAAAAGGACTTGGTGTGCAGAAAAAAGTCAATCGAGAGCTTAGAGATATGTTTAACTTGTCAGCCATATTTGATGTAGAATTTCTCACAAAAGTGCTCATGGTAATGTGTGAAAGAAATGATTTAATTAATTAATGTACTGTATGTTAAAAGAAAATATAAAAATATACAAAGAAATATGAAAGCAATCTTTGCTGTATACTTTGTATTGAAATGAGTTATTCTTTTAATGTGTATGGCAGAAAAGTGTTTTTATTTAATAATATAATTTAAAATGATGTTTAAAAAATTTATGCCCTATGTTTTGCATTGATAATAAATCAACGAAAGCAAGGAATGTTTAGAAAATAAAATCTTTCTACACATTTTTCCTTTGATTATGTTTTAACTTATAACTGTTCACTTTAATCATAACATAGCAATTCCTGTTTGATTGTTTGAATGAATAAAAACCAAGTGCAACTTATTAATATAACATTCATTTGTTTTCAATCAGGATCTGACAATGTACAAGTATAACAAGATGATCATCAAGTCTTTAAATATCCTGAATAAACTTTACTCTTCCAAGATGAACATGTTCAATATTGCCAGCAAGGCTCAGGTAATCTTCTAGTGTATTTAATTAATCGTTAATCATTTATTCTGTTTTCCGGAAAAAGAAAATTTCACATCACGAGAGCAGAATGATCTTCCAAAATTGCACTGAAAGAAAAAGATATATAATTATTGGATCCACTAGGGCCAAAAATCTTAAAAACATAAAATTGTATATTATTAATGATATCAACTGCGGCACTTAAAGCTAGAAACATTATATTTTACATTCTTAAAATATACCAACTTTGACATTTAAAAAAGAATTCTAAGGTACTCTAGAGCTGATACAATGATTACCTCTTCCATGTCCATTTCAGATTCTTTTGACGCAAGATTCCGCACGTGTACATCGAGAGGTACTAAAGAATATGCCGATACTGAGAAGATTATCACGTGCCAAACTTGACGATCAACAAGTAAAACTGATGGGGAACATCCTTGATGATTTGGCTGAGTAAGACGTTTTGCCTTAAGCTGATTAAAATATTTTTCATTTTGTCAAATTTCAAAATAATAATTTAAGGTTAATACCCTAATATGACTATCAGTGTTCGGTCTTAATTGATGCTTCAAGTAGCACTACTTGGTAGCGTACTGTTTTGTAGTAAAAAACCAAAAACCGATTTTTTTAAGGAAATTTATCTATGAAACATTTACCTTTGTCGTTTATTATGGTTGAATCTTAAAATCACATTTAAATAAAATGATAAAAATGTCATAAAAGTCTTGCCAGAAAAGGGCAAGAATATGATATTTTATAACCATCTATATCTTTGATGCAATGAAACAGTAAACTATGCAATAAGGAATATCTTGATGTACGTGTAAATTATACGTCGTCTATTCAAGCAAATATTATATTATGTAAATCATAATTAAATTTTGCTTTTCTTTTCTTTTTTTTCCCCGTTAATTTCAGATTCTGCCATCTACCTATGACCCCTGACGAACCTCATCCTATGAACCAGAATATAATGATTAGTAACGGTACTGTAACTATAAAATATTACATGAATATAATTTGAGTTTTATACAACACTGTACATTTTATACATACACTTTATTTAATGGCATATTATGTGTATATGAGGTTATTCATCGTTACTTTTGTAGAACAATTATCCGTCTTTATCATATTGGAGCAATATTTTATTTTGGATCAAGTCAATTCTAAGTCATTCCTATCCATACCCTTTCATAAGCAAAATTACTATACATATGTATGAATTAATTAATGTTTTTATTACAATACATTGTCAATGACATAGTAACGACCTGGATTATGATAGTGATGATAGTGTCTTTAACTTGTAATATTAACTCTGTATACACCATGACAGGAATTTTGGATGTGCTGTTTGACATACTGGTCCAAGAAATCGATGCAAAGTTACTGGTAAGCATTACTGTTATATCTTCTTTCTTACACATTTTCCCTATAAAGTTATTGTACAAATTTATTCAGTTAAAAAATGATATAAAAGCAGTATTGTCCAACGTTATACAGTTGACACAATTTATTCAATGTTATACAATTCTATTGAACTTTGGTTTCAGTAAGATTCCATCCAATGTATTTGCTATATCTTATGCTGTTAAAACATAACGGTAACCATTAATTTGACCTGTTTCACTGTCAGAGAATATATGGTGGAATGACTGACATCTTCAAGAAGGCATTTTACTTGCTGAAGCTTCTAGCGAGAGAAAACTTCCGTGTTCAACATCATATTATGGAACGCCTCGATATCATGCTTGATGTCAGAGTCGTAGAATCTGATTTGGCTATTGCCCTAAAGGAGGTAAATATTTGATTATTTTTATCAGAATTTGATTTTACTTCGTGTTTTATATTAAGAGTAGATAATTAGTGTATTTTTTAAAACCTCTGTCATTTCAAAGAGTTAGATTTTATGATACCCAGTATGCATGGTATTAAAACCGCTGCTCCATAATCAAAACCGATAATAAATAAGTCTTACAATCTATAGATGTATCAGTACTGTGAAAAGTGTTATCCTTTACATATTATTGCTATTTTATCAATTAGTTTTAACTATCAATCATTTAGCTGGCAATTTATATACTAGTTGTATGATACTTACAAATTACATCATTAAAATACTACAACCGTTGTTACCTTCTGAAAAGATGAATCAATGACTATGATATACTCATTATTCCCAGGTTTTCTGCGGCAATCAGGCAACATGTTTAAAAGTCAGTCCCCGTCAAATACAGAAAATTGTAAACCGTGCAGCTGCCCTACAAGACCGGGCACCAGAATTCCTGGATCTTCTTGGCATGATTGTCAAGGTGGTGGGAACCAATCTGACACTGAAAAGAAACCAGGCCTATGTTATGAAATACATCATGCAGAACTACAAGAAAGTCGCGTTTGTTCTAGACATGTCCCGGGAAGAAAGGTGACATGACGATATTTAAATAATGATGATTTATTAGTCACTTACCATCATTTAGGAACTTTTTTTTGCATGCAGAACCATTTTTTGCACAGTTTATATATTATCATTTTCATTCTTAACGTATAATATTAGATCATTATTGATGATGCCAAACTGAGAAGTTATTTGACATTTATTTAGAATATTCACATCCACCTTTACATCATTAATACAATGGGTTTCAGAGGCATTTTTCATTGATGATATTTCACGGTATCATTGCAGTTAAGCGGGTTTTAAGGATGACAATAGTGACAGTATATCTATGCATCTCCTTTTAGGAAGTGGCTTGTCTGTCAGCATCAATACACCTTGCATTAAGTAAATATGTCAGACCGACACTTCCAAAATCTTATGATGACTTGCAAGCTTTACTGGAGGAGGCTCATAATAGAACCGCTGATGTAAACTGGATAGCTTCGTCCTATGGAGGAATCTAAATTATTTAATGGATATGAAAAGATTTCTTTGTATCATAAGTATAAGAACGTTATTTGAAATGTAAAGTGTGTTGTTCCTTGTGTAGGATATTGTTTTTATTTGTTTTAGAGCCAAGATATTGACTGATCCGAGTGAGATATCCAGATTGAGGTATTACATAAGTCTTCTAGATCTTCTAGCAGCTTGTGCCGAGGTAATTGTATCTTATTTATCTGAACATGAAGAAAATGCAAAATGGACAAAAATGAAACAAATATGTATTTTTGTTCAACATTATCAAAAATCTTTCGTGAAAGGCCCATTAGGCCCAAAAAGGATATTACTTTTATTTTTTCTTAAACATGTTTACTTTTAGTGTATAATGTCAGTTTAAAAAAAAGACAAGTGGCCAATTATCTTAACCATCTTTTGCTTCTTTATTTGATGTATGTGACACGTCCTTAATATTTTCTTTACGGTCTGTAAACATTTTATGTTTTTGAGGATTTATTATACGTGGACTATGGAATATGCTTCAATGCTTGAACAGTCCTTATCATTTGGCATTTTATGTTTATATGTTAAGTATATTTGAATTATGATTTTACATTGCTTATTTCCAGGGCGAGAACATGTTCATTGAATCGTTGTGCCAGACCATTCTGCCCATTGATGATTTACTTTGGGTGTTAAACAACGACAAAGTGGATAACGTTTATAAGAAACCATTCCTGAAATGTCTACATCACGTGTACATGAAAAACGGGGATGTTGCCATGGAATCAGGGGCCTCTGAGATGTCACACTTCGGGTAAGTTGATGTTTTGCAAAATATGTTCAGTACTGTGACGATTTACGCTTCAGTATGATGTAGATATACAACGAAAAAAAGAAATATTTTCACCAGATATATCCCGCTTTGCTTTGAGCACTTGATGTTTAGGATACAAAAGTTTCAGAAACGCTTTTGTTATATTTGTAAATGAACTTACCAGTGAATTATTTCAAAAGGATAAAACTCTGTTGTTAAATTTCCAATGGTAACCGATCACTTGGAGAGAATTTTGTAAAATGAAAAAAGATTTAAATGTTATTATACCAATAATCAATCAAATACTAGTATATCCGTGTTTGTTTCACGATACAAAATTATGTATATATGATTTACAGTGAACGTTAATGTTATTGAATTTAAGATTACTTTTGAATCTGACTTAAGAAATACAAAATTATGAAATCACTAATCGATACTGATTTGTAACAAATTTTATTGCCATTTTATTGTGTTTTTTTTTCGTATGTGTTGTGATGTTTAAAGTATTTTCATGTTTTTTATCTTTACAATTGTTATTTCCTAATTGTATTTATATAAGATATTAACAGTGGTCAACAATTTGTTTGTCATTGTGTGTTTGTGTTATACTTGTGAATTAAAATGTAGTTTTATTAAAAATCTAGAAATGTTAGAACTTTATTGTATATATGCCTTCTTCAGTGAAATATCAAGGGGACAGTGCAATATTTATTCTCGGTAAAACTGTCCGTCCATACGTGTGAATGTATAGATTAATAACTGCAACCAAAAGCATGCTATATACCAGGATTATTTCATCTTATTCGGGCTTTTGAAACTTCTCCAAATATGAATGGACAAATGATTTACATTCAGCGAAATATTTTAAAACTGTTTTCAAGTCTGAATAAATGTTTAATTATGCTTTTACGGAAGACATGGAAGACCTATAATATGTTCGTCTTCGGTGGATTTCCCAAAATTAAAATATCGATTACGAGTAAAGGAATTTATTATGTTCTTCAGAAAATATTTTTTCTTAAAATGATGATCAGTGTAATAGGAAATATGATAAGGAACTGAAACTATAATCTAAATTCTATTATATTCAAGAGTGACTCATAATGAAAATTTAAAACTGAATTCTGGCCAGTTTTTCGACACTATTGAAAACTGGGGAATAGAATCAGATGAAATAAATCTGGGGAAAAATAAACATTAGAGGTAGTGTGCAGAAGTGTAACACTGTAGACAAACAAGAGCAAATTCAGTTGCATATTATTAAAAGGAATGCAAAGCTTTGCAGCATTTGAAGTAAGTAAGCTCTTGTAAATATAAATGATAAGTAGTATTAGATGTTGTCAGTCTTGTAACTTTATTGTTAAGCAATTTATGTGTATATTGAACTCGATGGGCATTATAAATATATTAATTAATTGCTGTATCATTAATTGATACAAATCAATCCTTGCATAATCAATAGCTTTCTCCTATTACAGCCGACATTTTAATGTTTGCATGTTTTTTATGTTTTTCTTTGTGAAACTAAATGTAAAAACATAATTAATTTATTATATGATATTATGGAAGCAAAAAAGAATGTAGACTCATTATTCCTCAAAACGCTTTTTTAAATAAATTATTTTATCAAAAAAATACCATTAAACTTCAGATCAACTACAATTAAGTATTTTTGTTACTTATAATTAGAATTAGCAACAGTTAAAGAGTTAAGAATTTAGAAATCAACAATATCAGGCATTAATTTGTTATGTAATGTTATTAGAGACTTATGGGACTTCATGTCGACGGTGTCAGTTGAGATGAACAGACTGACGGACAGTGTTAAAGAAGATCCTGATAAGATAGCGGTCTATATAAAGACAGCACCAGAGAAAAGGTAAATAAGTAATACGTTTATTTACTTTCTTCCCTTTGTTTTTTTGAGAAAATGATGTCTTATCTAGACATTTTTTGTTAAACGAAAGATCTTCCGGCAGAAGTTAAATACTCGAGTCATAAAGAAACTTTGCAATAATTGCTAAAAGAGAAAATACACATTTTAAATGAGATAAATAGGATAATATCAATACAGTCAGATTTGTGTGAGACTTATTTCATTAAAAATGTCTACGTCACAATTCTCATTCTCATGATTCATTCTCTATTGAACAATATACGTTATATGTTATATGTAATCTTGAAATGTTTCTGGTTTGTTTGATTTTATCTAAGTGGTCCGTGGTATGTTTAGTTGTTAGTTTGATAGTATCCAAGTGGTCCTAAAATGTTTATTGGTTGCTTTGATATATCCAAGTGGTTCTTGGTATGTTTAGTGGTTTGATATATGTCACCCAAGTGATTCTTAATAAAATTAGTGTTTGGTTTGACATTATCCAAGTGTTTCTTGGTATATTCAGTGTTTGGTTTGATATTATCCAGGTGTTTCTTGGTATATTTAGTGGTTAGTTTGATATTATCCAAGTTTTTCTTGGTATATTTAGTGCTTGGTTTGATATTATCCAAGTTTTTCTTGGTATATTTCGTGGTTTGTTTGATATTATCTTAGATGTTAATGGTATATTAAGTGCTTGGTTTGGTATTAGCAAAGTGGGTCCTGCTATGCTGTAGTGGTTGGTGTGCTATAATCTAACTTATTATTTGTGTGTTCAGTGGTCAAGCAGCTGCCCCAGACTTTGAATCATCGTCATATGGAACATTGTTGTTCTTCTTGGAAGGCGTATTGCCCTTCTTGGAGTCGTTCTACAGGGACTTTTACTTCCCGGACAGCTCAGCGCATCCGAACGAACTTGACGAAACGGATCATATTGCAAAAGCTATTGTGGTAAAGTGATCTATTGAAATCTATTTTGCATCTGTTAAATGTTCCATATTGAAATAATGCATCACGTCGTCACATAATTCCGTTAAATGTTTCTTTGTTGTTGTTTCCTTTGGTATATATCAAGATAAGTTCTGGTGGTATAAACAATATATTGCCTTTAATGTAGTTAAGATACTGTGAACTATTAAATGTAGTTGTTAAATACCTGTATCATCACCTGCTGACGTAAAACATGTTACGATCACTACTCCTTTAGGAAGTGAATATGCTTTTATAGTAAATTTCAATACATGTACATACTATAAGTCAATTTACATACAAATGTATTTGTTCTTTGGCAGTTTCGAATCATTATATTTTTGTATTTGAAAATGTTTCATTGTAGATGTTTGGTGAAGTTTTGGGACCATTGGTATTCAAGGCATCACACATGAAGAACCTTGTTCAATGTGTTAGTGTGATAGTTCCAATATCAAACATGCCGAACTCCGTAAGTAACAATTTTAATTAGTTTTTGTCTTATATTTGTGTTTAGTGAGATTTAAAAGAATGCACTGCTTATTATATATTCAGTATGAACAGTTTGGGTTTAATTACTTTTTGCACGGACTAGAAGCTTTAAAGCGAATAAATGTATCACAATTATTATTCATTTTCGCTGTACTTTTTTTAAAATGAATCAAATTGGAATTATCATTTCTCGTTTTTCAGAATCTAGACCATGTTTTGAACAGATTTGCCTCTGGCATAACTGCTGAGGATACATCAAGTGCAATACGAAGGGTAAGATACATATAACTTTTCTCATTAATTCTCACCACGTGAACTTGTCCAGCTTCCAGTTTGGACTTTCTTTTTATTTCTTTTTTGTTTTTGTTTTGTTGCCGTGTTTGTTTTGCAAGCGATTTTTGAATACGTTGATTATTACAATACCTAGACAATTTAAAGACAGCTCTGTGGACGTAAAACTTAAAATGGAATGATTCTGAAAATAAGATAGTTTTATAAACTTAATGTTGATTCTTTTTGTATCATAGGGAAACATCGAATACTACTCAGATGAAGTGGAGATAAACGCCAAATTTCGGACGTTTACTAAGGGTTGCTCTATCGTGTTTGCTGGACATAATACTGTCACTGCACAGCTTAAATACAAATCAAAACGGGGTAAGCTTTTTTCCATAAGTAAATTGTTTTTTATATCATTGCCTCAGTGCTATTAGATTGATAATAGAAATGTAAGACAGTAACATCTACTGGAAGGGCATCGTTATTGAAACTAATGTGCGTAGTGTGTGGAATATGTGAAAGTATCTTTAATTTCATAAAAGACTATGCTTTTTAACTCTACCTTGCTGGTGTATGTTTTCTTGATGCAAAATACGTTCCGGTCTTGAGTGTATCATCATTTATATATAATTTACCTTTGCAAGAGTGTTGTAAAATCAAACTATAATGCATGCAAGATGGATGGGAAATATTTGTTTTTCCGTTTCCAGAGTACACTGACCTGGGTGGAGACGAAGAACTTCCATTGGGAGAAGAATTCCAAAGCCTCGTCAGATGTTTCATCATTCAGTCAGAGAAGAAGATCATTAAGAAATACGAGTGGACAGCAAAATTGATAGAACAGCTTCAGTAAGACTCATACACTGTTGTCTTTGCAACTGTGACCAGTTTCTTAAAAACATTGATTTCATATAATAAAAATCTGGAAATAAATTGATCCCTCGGAAGCACTAATCACAACAAAATTACAAGAGAATTGCAGACTCGGTTTGATTGAGTCTGTACATGAGGGATAATGAATACGTGCAACATCCCTCACGCCCCCTAGCACCGGCTTGAGCGGTACTCAATTCTCAACACTTAATAGTGCTGGCATCAATGATCCCGAAGGACAAGAAAAATATAACAAAACATATAATTACGCATCTATTAGTAAAGTGATATCGTAATTGCATTGCAATTTAAACTCAATAAATATACATGTATTGTCTTACATGATTGCGCAGAATAATAAAGCTTTAATCAGATTAAAGCTCAAGATAAATAATTAATAATTGGTATTATTTTATCCTAATGAGAAATTGTGTAGACATTGTTTAAATGACATTAATATAGAAGATACATTTTTTTCTCATAAAATTGAACACATTTTCGAAAAATATTATTATGGTCACTTAGTTGTTTTATAATATTTATAATCTTATAATTATGCTCTTTTCACTTAGCATTTCTTTGGAACGGAGACGAATGACTGAGCATGCGCGACTTGAGATGGATGAACTGAACATAAAATGTCTACAGATTCTTAGGGCTATGATTCATAATGAGGAGAGGAAATTACCGGAAGACTGGGCAACACGGACAACAGAAACAAAAATTGCTAAGTCAGCTATAATTATTGATTATATTTTTTATTCAGTTTCAAACATTTTCCCATTTTCAGGGTAGTGGTTTCTTAGAACGTATCATAAATATTATACGGTTTTGATAAATTTTCATAACTTAAAGCTTGTTAGAAAATAATTAATTCAGAAGTAATTCGATGACAAATATTTTAGAGTAAAGTGGTGACGAAGAACATCAGTTTTGCCAGTGTATTAAATATTATACAATATACAATTATTGACTAGTGATCCTATGGACTACAAGTCAGTTGCAAGAAATACATATCTAGTTGGATAAATGGATCATATTATGTATGATTATTTTAAAATAATTCAAAAGAGTAGGCTGTTACATTTTCATTTTAACAATTACATTCCACAGGGGCTTGAAAGTAATAAACGAGATACAGAACTATTACGACTCACGGAAAGCGATGATGAAAGTTCTTCCTCATCTAGCCACAAGGAATGAAGAAGTCGCAAAAGAGGTTCTTGGCTATCTTTGTGTCATGCTGTTCAATGCCAACCATACAGTACAGGTAATAACTTTTTCTTATCTCTCATATGTTTCTGGTTTGTCTGTTTGGAAATGAAACATATCTTGCAATATATTGAATAAAATAGTTGTTAAAAATTCCCACTAAATCATCATTTGCATTATATAATGTGTAAAATACTTTATTATATTTTATATTTTGTGATATAAAAATTTTTTACTTTATATTTCTGTCAAACTATTAATTTTCACTTTAATGTAAAATTAGCCATAACAAATATTTTTGAAAAAAAAAGATACCGTATTATGAAATGATATAACAAACTTTATTTTAGAAATCAATGTTGGACTACTTTTTATCCACAAGAGAAGAAGTTTTCTTCATGGCTGTAAGAGACCGAATGGCACTGTCGACAAACACAATAAAGGAAAAGTATGTTTCTAAGATATAACAAATATAACATGAAGTTTGGACGGTATACATTGATTCCTTATATAATGTAAGAAACTCTGACTAGAAAGAATATAAAAGTATATACAAAGTTTATACAAATTTAAGTCTAACATTCACTGACTTAATAGATCAAACACAAAAAATTAACTTCTAGACTTCTTAGATATCAGATATTGTTACGAATAATAAATACTATCAAAACCGTACCCTGTCGCCGTTCATTATATGTTTTATTGACATTTAATTGTCATTATTAACTTCACATAATACTGATATTGCATGCAGAAATATGCTCATGGAATTGATTTCAGACGATCTCTGCAAGCCCAGATGGATGCACAGAAGAAAAAAGATTCTACAAAATCAATTTCTAAAAGATCACAAAACACGTTTTCTGTTACAATCCATGCTCTCAAGGTATAGTCTTTTGGGTTTTTCTCTGCAGTAAACGAAAATTTATGGTGACAAAATCAAGTTTTAAATCAAATCATAATCAAATAATTAGAAAGTGTTTTGAAATTATCTGTTTATTTCTGTATTCTGTTTTCGTATTTATATCTTATTCACAAGCAATATCACGGTTACATTTTAGGTAAGTTTTCTTTTATTTCATCGTCAATTGATTCATTTATTATTTTATGAACTGTTACCAACAAATTCTCAGCGTCTGAATTATGTGATTTCTTATCACAAATAATCCAAGAGAGATCCAATTTTATTAATTTAGCATTGTTTCCTTTTTCCGAGTTAAAAATCACATTGCTTAAGAACCAGTTTTGTTGTCATATTTCAAGTCCTAAAGACTCCTATCAAATCCACATTGAATTCCATCTATCCTTTTTCAGCTTTATGTCCAAAAATACCTATTGTACTCTGAGCTACAAAATTCTGTTGAAATTTAGCAGTTTGTAATATTGTTGAGTTTAGTACATAATCTGTTGGACTCACACACAGCCGTAATGTACCATAGGTTTTACATTTGTGTATTCGTCCAAAATAATTCATATTTGTACTCAACAGTGTGAGGCGACTTCATATTATATTCCTTTTGTCTTTTTATACACACTTACAATTCATTCCTTTACACTATAAACTATATAATTATGCAAGTGCGCTCCATTTGCTTAAACTAGCAAATAACATTTTTCTTTAACATGATACATATATTGAACATGAATACTATGAAGTAGAATATGTTCATTAAATATTAAATACACAATAGAGTATTTTTCTATTGTGTTTCGCAACGGAAACGAAATTTATCGGCGCTTAGTTCTATTCCATGGCCGAAAATTATTCGACGAGAGTTGTCTACATGTGACAAAGTTAAATTAATTAAAGACAGTGAAACTTTGCCGAAACCTACTTTAAAAATCTGACCAATATGTTATTATTATAAACAAACAAAGTAAACTAAATTCGTTAAATCATTACCCATTACCCAAATGTAAACATATGCGGATGTACTCAGACTTGATCGTTATGAGGTAACTGCTGTTCATTTTTATCCAAACTTTTATGTCTTTATATGCAATAATGGGACAAAAACAATTAAAACATATTTTATATTTTTTTTTGTATTCTTATCATTTCTTTATTTAGCAATATACGTACACATTATCTTGAAATGCAAATATACAGCATCCTTAGTAAGTCATTGCTCGGTTATAATAATTATAAGATCCTGAACAGCTGAAGGGGACATTGAGAATACCGGACCGCTGAGAAAACCGGACAAAACCCTCAGTCCGAAAGCCGTCCGGTTTTCTCAACTTTCACTGTAATATGTTTGTTTGTTTTCTTGCACGGAAATGTACACATTGATAATAAATAATACATTAATTTGTATACAATTGTGTGATTGTATAAGATATTTTTTCACGTTTTTATTTTTAATTTAATTTTTTATATGTGTTATATGTGGCTGAAGAAATGTTTCAGTATGTTTAAATGCAACATTTTTTCTATGTAATTACAGCAAATTCAGGCGTATGAAGACGCGTTACGCCAACAGAGACTCAGCGGATGGGTAGGTTGTCTTAGTAATTAATGCTATCACTTGCTAACTTATTATACTGTTTTTCAATAATTTTTTGATAAAGGTCTTCATGTCCTTTTTTCTTCTTTTTTTTCATTTCAAATATTTGTATTACATCTGAAATAGTTATTTTTTAATTGAAATTTATGATGAAGTTTATGATGATATAAAATTATTTATGTTGAATTTATTTATATTTATAACTTGTTATTATCTATTATTATTATTATCGTATTTATTTGTTTCGTGCATTTTTCTTTTTACACCAGAAACCTAAAAGGGCTATAAATCCGAAGTTAGCTGGCAAGAAGAAGGCGAAAAAGAAAGGAACAACAAAGTCGAAGCCGGGAAAGAAAAACAAGGTGTCTGATAAAGTTGCTAAAGTTGCTAATGGTACTGCTAAAGAAGATCTAGCATTAATGGATAATGCTGGGTTTGAAGATACAGAAATGACCGAGATTAAAGTAGAAATACCTGAAGACGACGAGGATGATGAGGTGCCACATGCACGCATGCGCACTTCTCCACACTCAACACTGTAGATCTTCTGAGTATTTCAATGCGTCACTAAGTGTGCTTAATAGGTGTCTTGTGTATTGGTGGTAAATTAGAGTCTTTACTCGAGTGCTTTGACTGTATGTTCTAGAATTGTCGATGCTTCTTTTGCCTCTCAAAATTTATTTGAAACAAATAGATTTTTCTATTTAATGATTGATAATAATAATACGCCATAGAACGTGAGATGGATGTTTGAATAACTATTTACACTTTTTATACTATTTTATTGTAGCTGCACCAACAGAATCACTTAAACCAAAATTTAATGTACTATTTACACATATTTCACGATATAATCAACTATGAAAAGTAACATATTCACACCGCAAAAGGATAACATTTGTTACACCTATACTCTTTAGTTAAAGTTTTCTCTCATAACTGTTTAGATTACAATGCCTGTTCACATAGAGGCGAGATTTACTAATGTTGTGATGAAACAATGAATGGCTAAATTCTTACTGCTCCTGCTTGTTAACAATAAATATGAAAATGAATTTCTCACTAATTCTTGAGCTATGACTTGTATTTTTTTCTTCCTCTCTCTCTCTCTCTGTTTTTTTATATAGGGATTTTACTTAATACTCCTATTCAAAGTAAGGTAAGCTCACGTACACACGCTTGATAGAATACACTTCTCTAATGTTTAGCTTTATAACACAACAGATTAGAATAGTAGATTTAAAAATATGTCGTCTTTCCTTTCAGATAGTTTCTTCTGTGTAAGAAGCTTTTGGCACATTTATCAAATATTGCAGCTTGTAGAATTAGTCTCTGGTTAAAACAGTTAAAAACATTTCTAAAACTTACTTTCGAATATAAAGTTCTTATGTTGACTTCTTTTACAATCACAAACAATCTTAAATAACTGTTTATCTTTGTACATGTAACAGATCAGCGAACAGTATTTATGTATTTATCTTGTTTTTAGATATTTTGATGAATCTTTAGATTTTGTCATGTACTGTTACACTCTTTAATCAGTACACTATACTTTTGTCCTCTGTAACAGTAACTGTTATTAGTTAAAACACGTACTTAGAACTTTCGTGTATTCTGTAGCATGAAGAGGAAAACCAAGATGAAGAAGAAAGCGATAACGCGCAAGAACTTAGAAACGACGGCTATATAGAACTGGTCCTTAAAGTCATGGCTAGAATGTGTGATGGACAAAATCACACTTTGCAGGTAATGTTAAACTTTGTGTTTATATATATAATCCAATAACTGCAATGCCTACTTTATATCAACATTGTTTCAATGTTTTCACCATAGTTCAATGTATTCATGTCTATCGTTGTTAGATTGTAGATTTCTTGTAGATAGGAAAACAAACACATGTAAACAATCTTTGCTTCAAATCAATTCTTCTGTCAAATTTAAATTTATGTATAAATATATCTACATGTAATATCTTTCTGAAAAAATTCAATTTTGTCAACGTTGCTGGCTTAATACTTTTCAACATGTTAATAAGTATCCGAGTACACAATACGCTATCATTTGCTTGTTTATTCATGGTCATGATTCCAAGCTTTGAATCAAGGATTACTAACTGCAGCCTTTACTATGTCTTCTTCCATATTGTTGTCTTAAACACGAAGCTGCTTTCCGCTGCATATAGTTGGGATAGAAATTCTAAATTATATGTACCATAAGGTATAAAATGTTTGTTTTATGTAACTGAGAATTGTATTATTAGACTTGTTAACAATACAATATTTTGCATGATTAAAGTTCACAAAAGACAGCTTTCAAATTCATGCTTATCCCATGAACCTTTGTTTAGATAAGAAATGGACAATGTGCAAAAATATATAATACAAAATCTTTTGGTTGCAAATTTACAAACCGATAAGCAAACTTTTCTGAACGCTTGTACATAACAGTTTTTTTTATATTTTGAAAAAGAGCAGTGTGTTTTGTGAACTTTATCTTGGATTACTTTATTTTGTGATGATAAGACTATGTTGGAAAACAATTTCAGTTATATAATGTTTGCTAGTTTTTTAAAAGAATGATAATGTAACGAGGGGTTCCAAAATGTTTATAAAACAAAAATGTGATGTTTTAACAGTAATCATTTTATTTAAGCCGGTTTTCAGTCAAATTACCAATTAAACTAATATGAAAGATAAGCTATGTCCATCTATGCTTCATTATTAATTCACACTGCTTCTTTCTATCGACTTTCTGACGTCTTTCTGGCGTACTAAATATGTCTTTTCACGCATAAATTTCTTAGCTGTCGATGTTTGCTTTTAATAGATTTACTTAACTCAATGTTCGCATATCGTTCTATAATTTACTCTTGTTAATCTTAAGATGAAAATAACTGAAAGCCATTTTCAATTTTCAAAAAAAAAATCGTTTCAAATTGTTCAAAATTTGTTCATCATGAGATGGGCCGACTTTGTTGTTCCTTTCTTTCTGGCTTTCTTCTTGCCAGCTAACTTCGGAATTATAGCCGTTATACAGGTTTCTGGTGTAAAAAGAAATTTTGAAACAAATCCCGAGAAAGTAGACATAAATAAATGTATCAAGACGTTTCTTTCATTTCAGTACGCATTGTTCCCTTTGGCATATTTTATAAACATTTCTAACCCCTCGTATGTAAAACTTAATTAATAAAAGACGCAGAAAAAATATTGATATTCTATTAAAAGATTATAACAAATATTCGGACAAATTGTAAATGCGATTCTCAAAACTGACGATACAGTTAAATCATTTATTTTTTTCCTTTAAGTAAGCACTCTGTCGGTTTTGTTTATAATATGCAAACTTATATATCAGAACACCTTTCTTTTAATATTTGTCTCTGTCTCCTTAAACAAACAGAAAGTCGCACATTTTCATTTCTAAAAAATACATGATTTAACTGGTGCCTCGTCTTTGTTTCGTATGCCTTTATGCTTACATGTAACCGTTCACGTGCTGTCTGCTTATAGTGTCTATATATTTTAGATGTCACAAGATGCGGGTTCCAGTCCTGTTTCTACGAACAGTAAACTTCATTTTCAAACATCTACATATTCATTTCAATCAATAAATTATTTTGTACATATAGAAACATTCATTTTTTTCAATTTTCAAATTTTTTTTGTGTTCAAAATGTGATTTTTCTTTGTAAATTTATATATACAGAAATATAAGTGATGTTTTCAATGAAAAAGTTAAAAAGAAATTTTAGAAAAGAACATTGTATAAAAAATACTTTGGAAGCACTCATTCCTTCACCATCGTCTTGTTTTAATATTCAAACCGTATGATCTTAATAATACATTTATAAATTTTTCAACATTAGGTTTTTTTATATACTAACGAATCTTAATATTCATTTGAATATATTATGATTATATAATTACGCATGCCTGTAATCATTTACATTATTCATCCTACTAATAAATTCTGGGGTTCTGGTTTCCTCAACAGGCTTATCTTAGAGAGCAGCCGGACAACTTGAAGACGTTCAACATTATATTGGAGACAACGCAGTTTGTCACCGTTCTCTATTCAAACATAACCAACGAAAACATTGAACTATGCGTGCAACTTTTTGAGTGTATAAACGAGTTTACAGCTGTAAGTAGGGTCATTGTTGTAATATATGTGTTTGCCGTGTTTATCAATGCAGGATTACCTCAGAGAACAGCCGGATAATGTGAAGTCTTTCAACATTATAGGCGAGGTTACCCAATTTCTAAATGTGATTTATTCAAACATAAAAGCTAAAAGTATCGACTTGGTAATTCAACTCTTCGATACGATGACCGAGTTTACGGCAGTAAGTGTTCAAAATGATTGGTTTAAACAATATTTATTTCTTCTTCCATATTTTCAAACATAAATTTCAATCAAGAATTGAATAGAAAGCTTAAATCTTATAACTCTCTCCTTCAAAATGATTTTTACATTTTTGGTATTATAATAATCTCTGATACCCTTTCCATTTAAACAATCATTGTATTGTCATTCTAGGTGGGCACCAATAAAAGCTACATCATTTATGACACCAGTGTAGCGTTTTTTAGTTTTGATATATATATTAATATAGAAAGGTTTTGATAATGGACTCGTGATGTAGTCCTATTTGTTGTTTTGTCATATCTTTGTAAACACGTTGTACATACTTAAAACATAAATTCTCACTGTATCACGTACATTCACCTTTGATTACGGTAATAAATGATAAAGTACTGAAAATCATCGTAAAAGAATATCAATGTGGTGAAGCATACCAAACAGAAAACTTATTTTCTAAACATATTTATAATCATATTGAGATGCTGCCACTCAAAGTTTCTATCATATTCAACTTGGTGAACATCTAACAAGCAGCTATCATATCAAATAGATACAATTACCTTAAGTGTCTCAACCTAAGTAAATTACAAAAGCAAGTGTTTAATTGGGTATACTTGTAAATGAAATTATTTTGTAGGGAAATCAAGAAAATCGCGTGGTTATCTATGACAACAAGATTATTGACTACATCAACTTCATAATGAGAGCTGGGGATTTCGAGGATTGTTCTACTGATAAGGTAAATTGTTACAATTTAAAATTAAATTGCCTTTTCTCCTCACCACCTTGATAGTTTAGTAAAGTATCATACCGTATCATACAGCAGAGTACATTTTGCGTTTGATATTGCTATTTTTAATGTATAAAATATTTGTTGTATTATCGATTCCTATGAGATTATTTTAACAAAAATTCGTTTACAGCACCATTTTGTATTGTAGGTTCTAGCTTTGAGAGAAAGTATTTCCAACCTTGTGCTATCGCTGGTAGAAGAAAATGGACCAGGAAAAACACAAGTTGCTTTGGTAACCTATTTTATATCATTCTGTTGAGTTGAAATAATACACTTGTTTTATTATGTCACCATAAAATTTGGGTATATATTTTTTTGCTTTTCAGCATTTTTTCGCATACAGTTCAAGCTGGCATTGTAACAAAAATACAGACGGGGACGACGGAATGAGTAAAGTGTCACAGAGAAAGTGTCAAAAAAGTGAAACAAAAAAGTGTAAGAAATATTTACGATATATTTTTGCAAGAAATAAGTAAATGATTTTCTTTTGATTTATAATCTAATAGGAGGTCAAGGACACGTTGGACAAGAAAGCAGTTGTGACTTTAATGACCGAATGTTTTGAAAATCATGGCATTGACAAGAAAAAGTTAGAAGAAATGAAATATATACAATTGGAAGGAGCACTGCCGCCATCGAAAAACAAGGCATTGACTGGGGCAAAAGATAAGCTCATTAGGGGACTGAAGGTATGTTCTTTTCAACAATTTTTTTAAAGTGACTTTGTTTTTTAAACTATCAATAACAATTATTATTATATATTTGAGAATAATATCAATAATCAGTATTTTACAATTAATATAATTTAACTTAAATAAATACAGACAATGCTTTGTGTTTAACATATTGATTAACGATTTTACAAAAGTATTAAAGTATATTTAACACACCGTCTCTGTAAATATCGTTTTTTGTTTTGTTTTTGGTGGTTAAATAGTTATCGACTAAGAAAAAGAGAAAACTTTAAAAGTCGTGTTCAGTGTACAAAGTTGAATATATGAATATCATACAGTGTATAATATGTTCTGGAATAGAATATGTTTATTTGACTGTACTTTTGACCGCAGAAGAAGGAAAAGAATGAGTTTGCAGAGGAATATGAAGATGTTGGATACAGATTATATCTGATACTTGCAAGAATGATTGACATAGATCCTCATATTGTAGAGACACGTAAATATTTTCATGACATTGTTATTACTTCTTGTGTGAATGTAGTTTTAACACTTTGCCGCAGGGTCTTAAATATTTCGTTATAGTAATATTAATATTCATCTTATGTAGTATTGATGCTTTGTTGTGTTTTTTTAATATTTGGAGATAGAAACGAATGAATATGGTATAATGTAATTTGATGTTTGTTCATTCAAACAACTGGTTAAGTATAAATAAAATTGCTGTGACTCAATTTGTGCGGTATATTTGATTTTTGGTTGTCGCTGTTCCAATATTTGCATGACATTATACTTTGCAGGATCTTAAATGTTTGGACATAGTATTCTAAACAGATAATCGTATAATAGATATAATAACTATGATATATTGTACTTCGATGAATGCTTCAAATTAAACAACGGGTTTGCATAAAGTATAAAATTTAATAATTCAATAAGTATAAATACAGTTTTTTAAATTGTTTTAATTAAATTTGTACGGTCTATTTGATTTTTGTTGTAGCTGTTATATCATCATTGTTCCAGATTGTGTTCTAAAGTCTTATTTTCACTGTTTTAAAACAAGTATCTTCTTTGTATATAAATATTCGTATATATGAAATCTAATAAATGTCATATTGTTCAAGTTGATTTAAATGTTAAATTTCTTTAAAATCGAATGATTGGATCAAATTCCTGATAAACACTTATATTTTTCAGTTATCAATAAAATAAGGATATGCACGAAAATATGTATAGCACTAAACATTATAATTGTCATTATGAAGTGCATGTTCATGCTCCTAATATAGATGATGTTAAATGTTAACTTATCAAATTATTGGTTTTCTATTTTAATGTTATAGTGAAATTGACACCGCTGCAACAAAAGGCCTTCAATTTTTACAAGAAAAATTGTCAGTCTATAGAAATTGTGAAGGATGATGAACTACAAAAGGCCAACTTCAGGGTAAAAAGCAAGGTACGTTACATTATGTACAGTGTCTTCATTAAAGTGAAAATGGGCAACAAATATATCATTTCTGCCTGATTTATTGATCGCATAACATTGTTATCATTTAATTAAATGTCAATATATGCACAAATTGAAAAGCAGTTTCTAATGGCCCTGCACTAGAACATGGTTGGTTCAAATTATAGACGATCGTGCAATGGCTGAATGCGTCTATCCATTAAATCTTTAGAAAAATTCAGAAAATGTACCAGTAAACTGAATTGTAAATTTTTAATGCAAAGGAAAAATTCAAACATATAATTATTTATCATTAATTTTGTTTATATATTTTCATAGCGTGTGTTGCGCGAGGAGGTCAAGGAAATGTTGAAATGGAGCGTTGATAGGTCTTCGCCGAGTAACAAAATCAGAGACCTTATGGCATGGAGCGGAGATATAATGAAGGATATTGCTTATCAGCGGCGCATCCTTAGCAACTACGTGGCAATTGTTCTCACTAAGGGCTGGTACGTTTTCACTATATTTCGTAATATTTCAGTTTGACTTTCTCGGTAAAGTCAGAACTGCAATGTTAGTCGAATAAGATTAAAAGTTGTCTCCTCAGCAGTCTTAAAATATGTACATGTTTGTATGTTAACATGGCAATACACCTTAACCCTAAAGTGTATACGGCTATTTAGACAAGGATTTAGAGGTAAGTCATAATCATCATAAATTCATAAGAAACAAGCGAGTCTTTACAATGTTTTTTATGTTCACAAATTTCTATAAACGAACATAAGAGTTCGTCATTGTGAAAACATCACAGTCCAATAATGTAATGCATTTACCAGCCAAGAGGATTTATCAATCTATCCGTCTAGTATAGAAATTATGTTAAAATCTAGCTTCAATGACATGGAAATAATAGGGATAATTTTAACTTTACAATTAAACAAAACATCTAGCATACAGTTTACTGCATCTGGTTTCAGGTTAGGGTGGAATCATCTGGTCACAATACTATCCTTCGCTATAAACATTCTAATGTTGGTGACGTGGAATGCCAAAGGTTCGCTAGATACACCCGGATTGTTTAATAATACAACTGCTATCCCAGCCTCTGTAAATGAGTAAGTGATATAAATGTATGAGGAAGAACGTATCAAAGTTATGAAATTGATCTATAAGTACACTAACAAGTAATGATAAGATCACTAACAAGTAATTACCTGAATAAAAAAGGAGCATTAATCCGTACTTTCTTTTTCATGGTAAATGATGAAAAAATCTATTAGCTTGTTTAATAGAATAGAAAGGTTTCTCATCATTTATACGTTTTTTATGGAAAGGTTCCTCAATAATCATACGATTAGTGATATTTGATTTATAGCTTGCGGATTTCAATAATTTCTATGCATGATATTGCACGGCACGGGATCAGATGCGTAGTAATATAATCACGAATGTCGTGGGCAAGAAGAACATGAACGATAAATCGTGCAATATTGTCAAGATGAACAATTATTACTATATCCATTCTTATTATATCTCATAGAAAAAGAAAGATCTATAGATATATTGCATTTATCTACGATACTAGTCTGTTGTTTTTTGCCTTATTTGACGTCAACAACAGTGTAAACATTCCTTTCTTACATCGTGTATATATTGTATATTTAAGTTCGCACTTTGGTTTTGTCGTGACACGGCTCATTTATATTTTGACAACATAGCTATTTTAATTTTTTGTTACTTCTTTAAGCCCAATACCTGAAATCAGCAACCTTACAAATGAACAATATACAATGGCTATCTACATACTGGGAGGTTTGCACAATTTCTTCTGCCTTCTCGTATTTATAAGCTACTTTGTCGGCAATCATCCAAGGTTACCAAAGCCGAAGACGTGGCTTGCATCCATCAGGTAAGAAGAAATAAATGTTGATGACAGGTAATGTTTTATTGTGTAGGATAGATTAAGCTTGTATACTTGCTATTTTATTTACATATCCATTGTTTTTTACTCGAGTAATAATGCATTACATTTAAAATAACTATATAAGATTTTTTGTATGACAAATACAGAAATTCTACTGAGATTTTTTTTCACAGATCGGGCCTGGAAATATCTTTTCGAGATAATATTATGTTTAACATTTAGTGTAGGTCTATTTCGATAACTTTAGTGCGAATTAAAGAGACTCCACTAATGATATGTACATAACAAGACTGAAAATATGTTTTCAATATTTGTGTTCCATTTGATGTAAGTCTTTTCAAATAACTGGTGTGCAAAATTCAGACATTTCAGCTCACACTCTTTTTTCCAATGACATCAAATGTAAGGCACTAATGTAAGAATGAAATTTAATCTTTGGAAGAACGTTTTGACGGCTTTTAAACCTTAAAAGAGGTCATGATTTATGCTTTAAAAGTATTATGTTGACTTAATGTAATTACATTTCTTTTTGTCTACGATAAAATAATAACAATAGACTGAAAATCAATTCACTTTTATTAAATAATTTTCCATTCTGTAATAGAGTGAAGTATATATAATAAAACCGATTCATATGTATATATAATTTAGGGCTTTGTTCATCTCGAAGAAGAAGTTAGAAGAAGAAGCAGATGAAGACAAGAAGAAAAAGCACGTGTCTAAAATGGATGCGAAGTTGATGAGTTTTACTACATTCTACTACTTTGTAAGAGCGCAGTTACTGTATCGTTGTATACACGTGACTTGTTCTATATTACCATTAACATGCACACATCGAAGAAATTATCATACTATCGGTTGACCTGGCTTATACTTGTATATAACTTTTACTGTTTGATATGCGACAATTTACTAACAATAATTCTACTACAAATAAGTAGTATAAATAACAATCCGACAGTTATTGCTTCTTCGTAAGTTTTCAACAGTCTCAATGCAAAGGCTTTTCAGGATGGGTGAAAAAATATAATTATTTTTTTTTTTTAGAAAATATGTTTGGTTTTCAGTTTCATTTACTGTATATATTTTATCTTTTATTTTATGAATTTTTAGGCAATTCATTTGTTTTTAATAAAAGAACATCATTTAAATTATAGGCTTTTGTCGGCTTGTCTATTGGTGGAACATTATTTCATGGATATTTCTTTGCATTCCATCTTCTCAACATTGTCAACAACAATCAACTGCTGAGCGGAGTTATCAAGGCTGTAACACAAAATGGTAAGTAAGAAACCCACATTTTTTTTATTTTATTCATTTTCTTTATTTGAGAAACTTAACTAGCTAACTATTTATTAATTATTCCTAGAGGGGCATCTGGGGTCTACTCTACTAGACAGTAAAGTTGGAAAATCGCCATATGACATTAACTGATTACCATTGTGCTACTTTAAACTCAAACAAAACAAAGGAAACTGTTATGTGCACCAATTACAAAGAGTTATTGCGAAGATTACAGAGACAAATATGTGATAACTTACAAAGTTTCTTTTTTTGTACAATAATGGGGTTATTCCAATGTTGTCCTTTTGATAATTTTGATTAATTTTGGAACTGTTAGAAATAAAAATTGTTCCAGGAAAAGAATGTTGTTGACATATGCGAATTAATTGATATAAAACTGTTACTTATATAAAAGAAAAAAGTACTTTATATTGTCTGAAAGGTTTTCTTCACATTTTAATTTGATCAGTCTTGTAACTGGTTATTTCAATTATGTTTCAGAGACAAGATACGAATTTTATCTCTGTCCAACTAGAACAGTTATATTTTATAAAGCTACATTCAGACGTTCCATTTTATTATATAACATTTTTCCTTCTTCATTTTTTCATTTTTACGACTTTTTTTCTCCAGGAAAATCACTTGTGTGGGTAGGGATTCTTGGACTATGTGTGTTTTACCTGTATGCCATTATAAGTTTTGCCATGATGAGAAGTATGTTCAATCCCGATGACTATCTGTACTGTGCCACCCTTTGGCAGTGTACCCTGACTGTCATTAGATATGGACTGATTGGTGACCTGTTCGATGTAAGTGCATTTTGTTATTTACCTCATATATTTTACTTCTACGCTATCAAAATATAGATAATGTTAAAATTACTTGAGAAACAAAAGTAAAAATATGTACCGGCTATCGCAAGACAACACTATCTAAGGTTTTAATCTGATTAAAAACGTGAGCAGTCTTTCTATTTTAAATAAAAACTTTGTAATTTTTTACTAGGATTTTTAGAAATTTTCTTTAAAAAAAAATAACAAAGTAAGGTTTTAAAAAATGTTTTTAAAATTTTTAAATATAGAATAACATTTCTGATTTTACTTCTGCATGTTTATTCCAGAAAACAAAACGCACGATACGGAAAGATTTTCAAATGTTGGCTTTTGTTGTTTTCATTTTCCCCTTTTTCACCTCACCAAAGGGTTTTAATATACTTCGGGATATTTTGGACCCTTTTTCCCGAACTAAGGGCTTTAAGGAAAAAGCTAAGAATACCCCCTTTATGTTTTTAGGACCTAGGGTATTTAGGGGTAAAATTCGTAGAAACGTAATATCTTTTTAAAATTTTTTTTTCCCCCAAAGAGATATTTAAGTTTTATTTAATTTTTTCAACAAAAACCAAAATTTTTTAAAGTATTAAATGGTTTAAATTTGTGGTGGAAATTTGTTGAAATCTTTTTGTGTGCAACAATTAATAACATTTTTAAATACTTTTTTGGCAGCGAACCGGGCATGAGGGTATTGTTTTATTTTTCGAGAAAAAGTTATGACTTCGAGCTGCAAGGGAAGGGAAGTTGTTTTTAAGGTGTTTAGGGATTTACCTTAAAAGGTAAACCCTTAATTTTCATATGAGAAGAAAAAAGAAAGTCTATATCGATTTTTAAAAAAAAATATTTTGCTTAAGAGGCTATACATATTATTTATTAAATTAAAATGAAATATGAAAATAGATGAAAAAAAGGGATTTTTATTTTTCCCAAATTTCACTGCAAAATATTTCAGCAGGAAACAATTTTCGTATTTTACTGAGCTGCCGGACACTTTCTTCTAAATTTTACTAAAAAAAAATTTGGGGAAAATTTTTTAAAATTTTAAAATGCAAAAAAAAAAATGATTAAACTGATATATTGACGCCCTCAAAAAATATTTTTTACATACCCCCTCGGAAATAAAATGTATTTATAGAAAAAAAACTTTAAAAATCCCCCATTTTTACAATAATTGATGTTTTTAAAAACTGAATAAAATTTCGAAAAAGGGGTTTTGACAAATGTGCGCAGAAAACAACATTGGGCATTATACTTTCTTCATTCCTAAAGGACAAAGCAAACGCCTTAGAAATGGCCAAAACGGTATACCAACTAAAACATTTAAAAAGCGTACTTAAAAAGAAATCATTTAAAAAAATCATTTTAAAAATTTAAGTTTCTTGAATTTTTTTGAAACAAAGAATAAAAGATTAAAAGAGAGAAAACGAACGAAAAGCAAATAATTAGTTAATCAAAAACTAGAATTTTTGTTTTAAAAAAAAAAGTTAAACTTTCATTCAAATAATCAAACAAAACAAACACTCACTTTTTTACATTTTAGCTTCTTAAAGAAAACTACGATTTCTTTCCATTGGACCGGGCGCTGTCCCTTGCGGCAATGGGTCAGGATTCAACTGAAGTTAAGATTGACGATCTTTTGTATCAAGTAACATCAATTGTGGAGAAACAAAAGCGAGAGGTAAATTGCAACAGCGTATCTTTGTTGAGTTACAGCATTATTTTGTTTTTCTTCTGTCTTTCTTACAAGACTCTCCTCTTATATTTTAAACTGGCGAAGTTTTCTAGACAGCACCATATGTCATAATAAGTGGTTTTCTGATGTGTATATATGAATTTCAGGAACTAGAGAAGAAGCGTCTAGAGGAAAGAATGAGACAGAAAGCTTGGGAAGAAAAGCATCGGCTTGGTTCATTCCGTAAAAAGGCAAGTTTACAAACAAGGTCATCCGAGGATCTTCTATCGAGTGCACAGCAAGACGAACAATTCACTCACCAAGACACACTACAACTTGCAATTGAAAGTCCACCACAAGGTCTGTCGCCATCTTATTCAAGAAGACCAAGTATTTCTGCCCTTCAAAGACGCCCCAGTGGAGTAGGCCCTGGCTATCAGCCACCTGCTAATCGTCATGACAGATACCGCCGGCGACGCAGCGTAAGTCCGCTAGATCCAAGAGAAACCTTGTATCGCCGTTCATCCAGAGGCTTCGATGATGATCAGGAACCTCTTATAGGAGCCTTAGGGTATGAGGATCGTGCACAAAGCCCAACACTCTTCGGTGTTGACAATGACTTACTTGATATAACTCCTGTTCCGTTTAGTCGGCGGCAGTCATTAAGAAGTCCAAGACTCAGTTTGGCAACCTCGCCAAGAGAGCATACCTCTTTCTTTGCTGAGTCTGACCCGATGCCATACTTGAGACAATTATCACAACAATACTCACAAGAAAGGCGTCTTTCACAAACATACCCTGAAGGTAGACCACTGACATTACCACCAGATCGTGACCTTGACAGAGATGACGCTGATAGTATAACGTCAGACGGCGGAACACCTGAAACGCGCTTTTAGACCATGTTACCATCATTAAAATATCTAACAACGTCTAATTAAGAAGTTCAGATATATAATCCTAAATGCACAGCGTTTAAAATATATATACATATGAGTGGAGGACAAACTTATGCGATAATATGCAAAGCAATGTAGAGAAATTAGACGTAAATTCAGTGTTTTCTAAATGGTAGCAAATGTGGTTAGTTCGAAAACTAATTGCGATTTAAAGTCGTCCAACGTTAGCAACTGAGCTTTTTTTCAAAATGTATGCATTTTTTTAAAATTGTCGTTTTAAAAGTAAAAATAACATTTTTGGTAAAATTTTTTGTCATTTTGGATGCAAATTTATTCCATTTTTAAAATGTACAATAGTTGGTTTTTAAAAAGATATTTTTTTTACTTTAAAATGCACCCTTTGGGCCCTTTTTTCTCCCCTTTTTTTTATATCAATTTTTAAATATCTTTTAATATTGATGTTCATAAATTGTTGGGGCTGTTGAAAAAATCAATGGAATTTTTTATTGCTTTACGCTTAAAAAATTCTTTATAAATTTTGGCCCTTTAAAAATTTTTATGTTGTCATTATTGTGATTTTATTCTGTTCACATTATCCTTTCAAATACAGTGTTTCATTACCTATCGAGTTTTGTTTCAATTTAGCCAGACTTATTGCAGCTCGAAAAGGTTGTCTTGTACTTCATCAGTGTATTCAAGATAGAATACTGTTTAAGGCGGTACTTGGGGCGTGAAGAATGGTTAACCTATATATACATTGTGCAAAAAATAGTAATATCAGTCGAGGTGCTAGGTAACATTTCATCATTTGTTTACTTTGAAAACTGTAGAAATTCTTCGAATTGGTAGTGAAATAGATATGATGTGATCAGCAATAAAGATTTCCTTGTCTGTAGCTCTTTATTATTTCAGGTTTACATGAGTTCTATAAAACGTGTGTATGATATCATCTATGGAGTGACAATATCCACGTGTTACAGAATGCTTCGAGACATTCATTACAGAATGATATCAATTTGTTGGTCATCTTTTCAAAAATTAAGATCGGAAAAATTAATGACACGTGGTCATTTGAGTTAAATATTTTAATTATAAAGAAAAAAACAAGAACAGATTATGGCTAACAAAATATGACATTCTTGATTATTTCCATTGCTATTAATGGTAAAAAACGAAACTAGACCAGTCCTTTGAACGGGTGAATATACATGTATATCGACGTCGTTGCCTGAAAATATAAGAATGATACTAAAATAAATGAGCCGCGTCACGACAAAACCAACATAGTGGGTTTGCGACCAGCATGGATCCAGACCAGCCTGCGCATCCGCGCGGTCTGATCAGGATCCATGCTGTTCGCTATCAGTTTATCTACTTGTTATAGAGTTGGTAAGCGAACAGCATGGATCCTGATCAGACTGCGCGGATGCGCAGGCTGGTCTGGATCCATGCTGGTCGCAAACCCATTATGTTGGTTTTGTCGTGACGCGGCTCAAATGTATTTGCCTACGAAAGGTTTGAGTTAAAACTAGTATAAAGGATCACAATTTTTCTTTTTGAAACGGCAGCTGCTTATATGATTAAGTTTTACGTTTTGTGTGAAATTGGTTTCCGTTTTTACGAATTACTATTACGATTGTACGAAAAGATATTTGTTTTTACAAAATAAAACTTCCTTTTTTACGAAAAAAAGTAGTTTGTAATCTTAGAATATTACGTTTTCTTACGAAATGATACGAAATTAAAAAAATGTTTTTAAACGGATGTAACTATACGGGCTTCGTAAAATGTATTAATTTCTTTCATGAGTACATTTTGTTCGAATAAGGTAAGTTGCAAATCATGGTTTGATTAAACTCTAGCAATTTGATAATGTATTTATAACTGCTATAGGATTAAAACTCACATAACTTACATTTCAACAATAATTACAAGTTTTTCTACAGTTCGTTAAAGTCCAGCCCTTATATTCCGGAATAATACAATAGTTCAAAGTTGTGTTACATCCAACGGCAATGTCGTGACAGAAAAGGCTATGGGTATGGCCAGAAACCCCTGAAATATATAAATTCATTTTTTGTGGAAAGCAAACTGTTAGCGTATATTACATTAACTTTTGATTTGTTTAATAAAGTAGTAATAATATTCGATGTGTTCAAAGTTTTGTTGGTACATTCCGGACAAAAATTTTCATATGCTACCATGAACAAACGCTAAATTTTTCATATTTGCTAGATTTGATGAACATAACGACGTTCAACGTATTTCAAGCGCCGTGACCAAGATTTAAGGAGCAGGATAAACATCAGCATCAAATTTCAAATATTCTCCATTGTTTGTCATTGAATTAGTGAGAATTGAAATAGACTGTTTATGAAATTTTAGTATGCATTTCTTTTAATTTTACAAAATATTGTCATATTACAGTTGATCAAAATATTGATCTCGATCCTCAAATTGGGTCCGATTATTTGGGTCCGATTATTTCTGTAATTATTTTTGTTATTCGTCGATTTCATCCAAAAATAGGATTGTTTCACGCAAATCAACGATATTTTACATTTAGTTTATATATCATTTAATCCTAGCAAAATGCGATCAATTTTGGATCATCAAATAATCAAAATGAAATCAGGATCCTTTGATACCGATCCTAATCTTTCATTAGATAACAAGGAACCAGGTTATAAAATCAATCGATTAGAGTACCTGTGGTGCTTGTCGTTGATGGTCTAGAAGTGGTGGTAATCGTTGAAGGTGAAGTTGGTTTTGGTGTGGTTTTAGCAGCTACAAGAAAAGATTCTATAAGTATGCAAAATAACTCAGTTGCCATCTTTTATCAAAGTTAATAGCTTTAACCATTATTGTTCGAATCCAAACACCAGATAACAAGAGCCTGCGCCTAGCGGGGTCCGCGCTCGATTTTTGCTTATTTCCATAGTCAAACACATCAGAGGACAAGAGTACTTCCAAAAAAAAACATAATTTTCTTGTAAAAATTTAGATTCAAATTTCATATTTGACCTTAAAAGTGAAGATCATTCAAAGGTAAAAATAAAATTCATTTTATTAATCATCATGTCAGTTTTGTCTCTTTTTGCTCTTTCAGTTAAGTAAATTTCAATAATTTGACCTTGATACCCGCGTGCCATTGTTAAATAATTCAACGTGTCGATTTTGTGACATAATAAAAAATATTTAAAAAGTTAACCTTGAAGGTCAAGGTCACTTATAATTCAAGATTCAAGTTCAATCTAGTCTCCATAAACGTCTTGTTTTACAGGAATGTTGTTTCGAAGTATGATGACAAATAATTAAGAAATGGAAAATATAATGTTCAACGTCAACGAAAACCTGACTAAAGCAATGACTTGAAAATGTTCTTCGAAATGGTCGAGCAACAATGTTATTGTGTTTCTTTTGTTACAATATTAATTATTCTCACAACAGCAATCATTGCAAAATGGGAAAATGAAACACCTGACACTATATTTAAACTGTACATATTCTTATCTATTTTTTACAAATAATTCGAACATGATTACCAGGAATTCCTTTGAGTAAGATGATAATCCTGAAAAAGATGCTCTAAACGACATTAACGATTTTAAAGACCGAACCCTTTTTAATGATATTTGTCATCATTGTGAACTTAAGTTTTTATTTTTCAAACTTACAAATTAAATCTCTTATTCATTTTCTTGGCAATATTTAACAGAAAATTCACTCTACATGCATAGAAATTTGTTTACATACGGGTTGTTGCTTGAGGCGTTCCACAAAGATTACAAGTTTTTCGACAATTCACTTCAATATATTCATGCTTTGATATATTACAGGCAATGACGTAACACTTTGCTTTGTCTTCACAAACTGAAATTAAAAAGAAAATACAATGTCAATTAATTAAGTTAAAACGTCTTTTAAAAAAAAGTGTTCAATGGTTGGAAACAGAAATGTTTTATACATCTTTTGCAGTATTTTAAAACGCACGACTTTTTCATTCAGTTGCTCTCATTGTTTAATTTCGTTCATACACATATTTAGTAGCTATATCATTGTAGCGATAACTGTACTTGGGTTTACTCAAGAACAATTCAGAGCTTTTCATAATTTTATATACTATGGCATACTTGTACAATTGCGGTTACTCTGCACTTAATCATGTCAAAAATATATTAAGTAACAGCAGATAATGAATAAAAGCATACGTGGTATTGCAATAAAGGGATCCACTATGATTCGATCAGTTAATTTTTCAAATTAATCGAATAGATATTCCAATGTTTAATGACTTTCTATGATTAACAATATATATTCCAATTAGGACTTACAATATGAACGAGATCTGAGCTTAAACATGCTTGAACAAAGTGTTAAGCCTTTCCACGATAATAAAGCCATTACAGTGTAGTCTGAGCACGAGTCATAACATTGGTTGCGCTTTTGACGGTTTTTTTTCAGAGCGGTATTTTTTTAGATTTAAATCCCGTCAGTATCGTATCAAATGGACCGGTCTGAATTCATACAGGAAACAACCATGACATAAAAACAGCAATAAAGTGTTATAAAATACGATGTTCCGTTACCTTCCTGTGTGACAGGCGCAGTCGTAAAGCCATGTGCTGCCTTTGTCGTTGTTGCTGTTTTCGTGGTCGGCAACGTATATCTAGACGTTTCCATTACCGTAGACATTTTCGTAGACGGAGGAGATGATGATGATGATGATGTGGACATTATTGTATTAACTATTGGTGATGTCAATGACATTGGCTTTGCCGTCGTGGAAGATGGAACACAAGGTCTTGAATCGTAGTCATTGCACATTGTAGAATTACAACAAACGCTACAAGATGACCGTTTTCTGCCAACAATCATCGACGAGTCAATCTCGTCATGCGCTCCGCACATCTTTTTAATATAATTGCATGTAGTGTAATAACAAAACTTAAGACAATCTTACAATTTACTACTTAGAAAAAACTTAAGACAATCTTACAATTTACTACTTAGAAAAAAACTTTGTATGAATATAATTTTGTTAAAAGTTCTCTTTCATACAAGATTATCATATTTTCACAAATTATAACTTTTCAAAAATGATAACTAATTTTTTTTAAATGATCAATACAATAAAAGCGCGCTCTAAAACATTATTTTCAAATAGATTTAGAAAAACTTAGCAAAGTCTTAAATATCCAAAAAGATTTATCACAAAATAGTGCTACAAGTGTTCTTTCTAATGTATTTGTAACTTGATAATATCATTCTTAATTTCACAATAAAGGATAATATTTTACCCGGTCATTTCTTTCCACGCATTTGGTCTCAAACAAATTATCAGGCGCACCGACCCTTGACACAGGTTGAATTGAACAAACCTAAAGGGGAAATCAGAAGGTGTCATATCATTTAATAGAGTGAATGAACAATCTTTACTTTATTTTAAGATAATCAAAATATTAGATAACATTTCTGTTAACGGATTTGATTTAAGTGAAAAGGCAACTTTTTGGAACATGATTTATTTCACCTTTAGTAAGATTTTAAGAATTATAACGATGTTTTTTTCAAGTGGTAACTGATTTGTTTCCTAAGCCTGCTATTGATGGCAGGTTAATGCACACTTATTTGCAGTCCAAGCTTCATTTGGCCAGAAGTAATAAACAAACCAGAATAGTTGAACAAAATGACAAACAAAATGGAACAACAGTTCCTTCAACGATACAATAATTATGTATTTATTACAGAAGCTCTCACCTTGTCTCTGCCACATTGTTGAACTTTACCACAAGTGTTACTTCCAAGTTGTAACGGACAAACATAGCATAAAGGTCCATAGACGGGATCAAATCCTGAATATGTGTCAATGAAATCAGAGAACGAAGTTGAAAACGCTTAGACTAATGAAAAGGTCAGTCACGAATAGTATAATAACGACTTGCTTTTGTAAATATTATCTTTTGTGATATTGTTAGATTTTTATTGCAGATATACAATGAGTATAATTATATAAAACACTATCATAGTTAAAACTGTATGAAGAAAAGATCATTAGCTAAATCAGCTAAAATTGTCAAGAACAATATTACTTCACCAATAAATGTTTGAGAGCAATGCTTTTACCTGAGACTAGAGGCAGTAATTAATATAGAATAAAATAAAGAAAACAGATGGATTGTATTTAGATATATAAGATTGTGACCTTTCTGTCCACAACCTGCCACATTGCACAAATCGCCTTGGCAACACTCGGAACATGCCAAAAAGTCGTTTCTCTTCCCAATAACAGATTGCCTAGTTCCGCATTGCTAGAGAGAAAAACAATCGAACAGTTAACCATTTTTTTGGCAGTTATCGTACAAGTATTAAAGGATGATATTTTTCAACAAATAATTGTTCAGTTCTTTTCTCTTTTCTCTTCACAAGGACATTGAAACCTATACATGGTCTTCACCAGGGCAAGATAAACATAGATTATTTAAATTCTATACATGGACAAGTTTCATATACATAACATAATGTTGATAGATTTATTGATTATTTGTTTTTGTTTTAACTACGCCAAATTTTGCGACAATTTTTCCTAAGTTAAATCAATGGTACAGGAATGTTTGACGTCAGAAACAATTTTTCTTAGTTAAACCAATCACATCCTTAATAAAATTATGTAAGCTACATCAAGAACTTAAATTCATATTCATGTATACAAGTTTCTGCGTCCAAGTACATTTTATTTGACTATATCTTCTATTATTGAATTGTACATTATAATTTCATTCATCCTAGCTGTTATATTATTAAGAATTATTCTCAGTCAAAGTTTACAGTAATTTGTAGTTGAAATGTTATCCACCTTTTTGTCTCTGCACGATAGTTGATAACGAAAGCTTCCGGCTGCATTTACATACTGCTTTATTGCACAAAACTAAAAAAAAAAAATGAACACTGTCAGTTGCCTGGAATATCTCTGTTAAATTATTGATTAAAATATCTAAATAAATTGAATTAAGTTTTCTTTTAGATGCTAAAAAGTAGTGATTTCAATGGGATATTTGTTTTAAACAGTACAAATTGTTTGCCTTATCACCATAAAATGTGCAACTTAAGTGATGTAAGTACTCGGTGAGTGGCAAATACAGTATTTCGTGTGTGGTTTAAGTCATCGGTTAATAATTTAGGTAAGTTGTGTGTTTTAAGCGGTCCCATAAGTCAAACTAACTTAAATAAACTAAATAATAGCATTGTAAATAACGAACGGCGGAGGTCATGACTGGAAGAAGCATATGTTTAATTATTTCAACATTTTCAATTTTACAATATTTCTTATGCTTGTGTAATAACTATATATCATGAATTATTTTTTGTATGATTAGGAATAAAGCCTATATAAACTTGATTGCGTTGATCCATTGTTGTTTTACACGGAAGCATCACTTATGCAGTTTTGATTAAAGCTCCAATGTTTATATTTGGTATGATTACCTCGTGTTCACCACATTCACCAACCTCCTCGCACAAATTTGGCAAAGGTACATCATCACATTGTAAACATTTGTAACTAGTAACTAAAATTAAATCATATCATAAATGGCATTCATCATATAGGTCACACTGTGTCACAATTTATGTCCTTGAAAAGTGTTTACTTATATGATTGTTGTCCGTTTTTTTAAAAAAATATATGTTTTGGTTCTACGAAGCGTGGACGGTAACTTATACTTTCCAGTATCGTCCACGAATAGAGTCAATCGAACCGAGCCTGAAGCATTTTCAATTTTGTCAATTTGATCATTCTTTTGGGGTCCATTTTCTCTATACTGTCAATGTATTTGAAAAAGTTATTTTAAGAGCAAACTCAGCAGAGCAACACTCTTTTAATTTATATCATTTTCTTTTAAGTAAGCCTTCGAAAATATCTAATCTCACTAATGCATCATCTCCCAATAACAACTGAAATATATATCTTCTTAAGGGTGTCGCTCTGCAAAGGTTGTAATATGACTCGACTCATAGTTTGGACCTTTCGTTTGAAAATGACGTCAGCAGTTAAATCTATACACTATACATGCACCCTAGTGCGTCTAAACTGGAGTGCAGGTATTAGTTACCCTTACTCTAGAGCAGGCCCAATGATTGGCTCATTTTTTCTGGGGTTTATTTATTGTAACGACAGAGAAAGGGAAATCGATATAAATATTATATTCAGATGTTCGTTCATTGGTTACATTTTTTCTGGGGTTTCATAATGTGACAACATGAAACGTGTTTATATTTTAGCTATGATACAAAAGAGAAAGACCATATAAATGCTCGGCAATCTGATTAATACTCGGTGGCTATGCCCACTCGTACAAATCATATAGCATCGTGCTTCGATGTTCTTTCTTTTACTTTCTTTTACTTGTATTTGGTCCTTTACTTGTTTTGACTTTGTCTGAATTTTCTTAGCATCTATTCAAAGAAATAAAAAACATTTTAAACAAAACATTAGGCAAATAATTATATCTTATATATCATATGAATTAGATAAAGTCTTTAAAATATATATCTCACCAACAACTAGAAGATGGTGCAAAAACACCACAACAAATGCGAGCCTTTTCTGCACTGAAAATGACAAAAGTATTTATTTGAGATCAGTCATATGACATTTATATTACGATTATCATCAAACAATATAAAGTAATAGTTTACAAACACCATGAATACATGGCAACAGAAATTATCAAGTTAAAGCTCTCAGACATCGAAACATTGTACCTTAACTTAGTTGGTTCGAATACCGTCAGAGACTTTGGATTTTATCAAGAAGGGAAGCTATCCGGATAGTTTACGGAAAATCCATAGTTACATGTCTGTTTGTGCTTGTATTTGTGCACACGAAATGGCACATGAAGTGTTCCTCCAACATTAAAATGGAAATGTCGCCATATGACCTTTACAATACTTGTATAACTTAAACCCAACCAACAATGAAATTTCATCAAATGTTCACAATGGAATATGTGTCATACAGTCTAATATAATCATTACAATTATAAGGTACGAAAATTTAAAGTAAAAGACTAAAGAAACAAGGTTTTTGTATATATTTAACTTTCAAACATATATTTATTAAACAAATATGTAAACATTAGACTTACTTTATGCTATCTGTATGGACGAAAAGTGTGGAATTTATGGAATTTAAGACCAACTAAAGATAAGACAATATAACGATAGAGACGGGTTTAAATTTATCTAATATCTATTTAGTCCATGTACTAACTTATAACTGACTTGCGTAAACACAACATCTCGGAAGGATTGGTCTATTTGAAAATAGTTAAAATTAGCATCATTTGATTATATCATTTAATAACATAATTTAGTTAGAAAAAGATAGGATAGATATGATTTCGCACTTGATTTATTCAAGCGCAATAGTTGCGTTTTTTTAAAATTTAAATTTCAATTAAATTTATGTGTTGGCATTTTTTTATTTTAAAAAAATTGTTTCTATAGGGTATATAAAACTACTATTTATAAAATATTTTAAAACACGCTTACGAATCTAAGGGGATTTCACTTTTTTTTTTTTTTTTTTTTTTTTTTTGACATGACGGGACAGGAAATCTATTTTTGCGACATTTTTGTTTAACTTCATGCAGTTCTAGAGTAATAACTTTAGAGCAAAATTTCAAATCATTCCCTCTCTCTGTTATTCCAGAATAATTCTTCTAAACATTCTAATTTTGCAAATGAACACAGATTGAGGAGCGTTGTAGCCATTTTTCCTTGAAATTAGGTTAAGAGTAACACAAAAATACGATTTTCAACTTATTACCTTGTGCACATTTTTCTGTTTTAACTTCCTCAGTTGACCTATGTAAGAAATTCAAATTTTATGTTTGTAGGCTTTAGTATCTCAGTTATGTTCCTTTAATTAATCTATTGTTTTTATTTTTCTATTTATTTTATTTTAGTTTTTTGTTGTGTTTTGGTTATATCTTTATGTGTTGTTATTATTGAAACTTTTATTTTATATAATATTTATATATTTTCCATGTCGTTGGTCCTTTTTCTTTTTTATTGTTTAAAAGTTTCAAATCAAAAGAAAGGAAAAGCAATGATAGCATGTCAAAGGTAACTAATATTTATTTTCTTCCATTTATAGTTCTATTGACCTATAAAAAGTCAGTAAACAAACAATGAAAATATGGGTCAGTTTCATTTGTAGATCAAAACAGACATAAATAGTTTTGAGACGCAATCACGGACACAAACTCTGAAACGAGAACAAGAAGAGTATGAAATCATAATATTGCTCACATCCTGCAAAATGTTTCAGTTTCATTTCTTATTTAACTAAGGCACATAATATGTAACTGGTTATAACAACAAACAAACAGAAAAATAACAGTCAAAAATCACTAATATCATAATAAAAGAATACAATCATGACTAGTTAAAGAAACAAAAAGGAATCCATATTGTTCATTTCAACTACTGAATTCAATACTACATGCATTTTACATTGTAACAAATGGGAATTGAGAATGAGAAGTATTAATTATCTAAATTTTAACATAGTGTTTTTTACAAAATAAAGATAATTTTAGTAGAATTTTTTTAATCACAAATATTCTTTAATCTGTCAAGTTCAAAAATAATGGGATGAATATAAAAAACTGAGAAGAAGAGATTTAAGTCTTATGTCATGAAACTTCAACATGCAAATAAGTAGTGAAATTCATTACCAATAGCTTTATACGGACATTAGGAACAAAGCCAATTATTATTATCAATTGCCAAATGTTTGCCTTTTTCAATTGGAATTAGGTGATTCATTGTTCTACATTTGCATGAATATTTGCCTATGTCAGATGGAAACACATCTAGATATTTTTCAAAACAATGAGTATATTTATGTACGATATACTAAGCACTTAGAAGATGTCTCCTCGGTATCCCAGACTTACCGTATACCTGGCCCCGTGTTCACTAAGAAAAGATCAGGATCAAGTGATCCTGATTTTATTTTCATTGTTAAATATTACTAAAATTATTTGTGTTTTGTTGAATTAAATTGTAAATATTCAAAATGTAAAAATATGCTGATTTGCAAAGAAAACAAACTATTTTGGGATAAAATCAAGAAATAACAAAACAAATACAAAAATATTTGGATCAAAATAAGGATCAATTTTTGGATCAGGATCAATATTTGGATCAACTGTAAAATGACCATATCTTGCAAAATTAACAATTAATTTATTCTAAAATTTCAAATATTTGCTATTTCAAGTCCAGTTTTATCAAATTTATAATCAGATATTTATCTATGAGGATAAACAATGAAGAATATTAGGGTATCTAAATTTGATCCTGATCTTGAGCCTGATCCTTAAATCTTTGTGAACACGGGGCCAGTATATCTGTAAATATCCGCGCATTCTTGTCAGGATCAATGCTGTTCGCTATCAGTTTATCTACTTGTAATAGGGTTGGTTAAACAGCATGGATCCTGACCAGACTGCGCGGATGAAACAGTAATATAATGTGAATAAGGCCAAAGGCCGAATGCTTATACGACAGTCTAAAGCCCAATAACGTGGCCATTATGAAAACAATTATTGTCAATTTTATTTATTAGCTACACATAATCTAAAAAATTAAGTACAATGTACTTAGTGAACAAAAATAACTAATGTGGTATTCCGTTATTGTGAGGCATTGCAAATGAGATTTTTATCTTATAAATGTCACGGAGACCTACCTTGCAGCAATTCAAAATGGAGACTGTTTTCAATGAAAACAAAAAGCAAATTCATAACGGCCGAGCTGGAGAGCAAATCAAAATTCTCCAATCTCAAAATAGCCGAGTTTTCTTACAGTATGAAGGCCGTACTTTTTGCATAATGGCATTGTTTTATGTTCATAATGTGGTGAACTTCATATTAGCCTTATACTTGAAGTAAAAACGTGCTTAATATTGAAAAGTTAATTAATAATGTTACATATTTAGAGCTTGATGAATATTGCTTACAGTTTAACAATAATTGCATGTCCTTCTACAATTTACTAAAGCCCAAGACTTATATTCATCGAGCGTACAAAAAGCAGGCATGAAGTTACATCCAATGGCAATATCCTTGCAAAATATGCTGTGTGTATGCGTAGTGACTCCTAGAAAGAAATACGTACCCCTCTTTTAATTAATTGACAGCTTTTTTGTAATAAATTACATTTATTTGTTATTAAATCATATTTATTTATTAAAAAAAGTAACATAAAATCGTAATCTTTATTACATATTGGTCTGTTTGAATAATATCTTTTTTTTCAAAGTGCATCGAGTTTTGAAAACTATGATTCAGACAAAAATACATTCTGATAAGGTCCACAAAATATTTGTAATTTTAGTAAGGCGATTTTAATTATAGATCATAAAAATATAAGATACTACCGTTGTCTGTAGAAGAAGCTTGGATGGTCACTGGATTCAAACTGGTCAATTTTGCTGTTCCTGAACAATATAAAACCAAATGGAAAACAAAAAGAAAACATTTGTCAATGTATGTGCATTACTTAATATCACATTAAAGTGTTTGGTGTTTTTCTTTTACTTGAGGTCTATTTTATTTTTGTTAAAGCGGAAAATGCTTGCGAACAAGTAATTTCATCAAACTTTCGTGAGGTGTGATGTATTTATATATCTTAATGTTAAACATATCACGATCTGTGTCAATGTCGAGTTTTTACGCTGACTGGCAATCAAGTTGAAAGTAAATGAATAACATTTTTTGGAGGAAAATTGAAAATGATGAGAGAAATTTGAAAAGATCTTTGTCTTGTTTGATTTTTGATTCGTTGATATATTTAGAAAAAAGAGGTTTAGATCTATATCAATCAGAGGAGAAAAAAATAAATAAACAGACCACCGCAAAGTCCACATGTTTTTCGGCAGTTTTTGGTCAAGAAGTCAATAACTGAATATAAACAGGCTATTGTATGACAGACTACCTTGTCCTCACAACCTAAAAATGTATAACAACTGACCTCATTGTTCTTATTTGAAAATATCAAACATCAACATTAGTACAAAATGTATTTATATCTAGAGATAAAATACAAACTAATGAACAAAAATAACAATCAAACGAGAAGAGCTATCTAAAAATTATTTTCTTTTTAGATTTCAAATCTAAGAAAAATGTGCGTGCAGATCAGCAAATGAGCCGCGTCACGACAAAACAAACATAATAGGTTTGCGACCAGCATGGATCCAGACAAGCCTGCGCATCCGCAACACCTGATCAGAATCCATGCTGTTTGTTATCAGTTTCTCTACTTGTTAAGGGTTTGTAAGCGAACAGCGTGGATCCTGATCAGACTGCGCGGATGCGCAGGCTGGTCTGGATCCATGCTGGTCGCAAACGCACTATGTTGGTTTTGTCGTGACGCGGCTCCAATATTGTACATGTATTAGTACGACAGCAAATTCGACCTTTATACTATGTACAGGCATATATAAAATCTCGGGAAACGAATCGTTCGTCCTAATTAACAGAATGGACCGGTAGATTAGATGTATCGAAGGGTTCCTTTTTTGCTTATGATTTTAAATCGACGGGAAATTTCATTTTCCACCTAAATTCTTTTGATTTGACAATAATGAAACGTAGAAAAGCTGAAAATCACTTTTAAATTTTACCTTCAGATGTTGCAGATACTGTTATCGTGGCACTTGATGATGTCCTCACTGTGGTGGTTGGTGTATTAGCTAACATTGTTGGAGTTGCAAATGTTGATGGTGTTAAAAAATTTGCACATGCACGGTTGTCAAAGTTGTTACATAAAGTTGAATTGCAGCAAAACGCACAATTAGATCGTTTACGACCCACAAGCGTTGACGGTACTGCTTTTGAAGCAGTATCGCAAACCTGGGGAGACAAGATAATCCAAATAAAAATAATTATAAAAACTTCAAACGTTTACTGTTACAAATACAGTTTTATACATGTTTATTAAATAAGTAGTAATGCGGCTTTAATTTTTCTTTATTTGGAAAACACCAAATTATGAAAGAACACGTGGAATAAAAATTTATAGATTGTAAGTAAATGTATTTGTAAGTTTATGAAAAGCGAAAACAGACACTGTATATCTTAACGACATGTAGATTTGGTAAATGAATGTAATAAATACGTTTTTCCCTGTGCATTTTGTTTCAAATAGATCATCTGGTCCTCCAAGTCTGTAAACTGGACGAATTGAACATTCCTAGGAATTAGAAAAAGATTTGAGCCGTGTCACGACAAAACCAACATAGTGCGTTTGCGACTAGCATGGATCCAGACCAGCCTGCACATCCGTGCAGTCTGATCAGGATCCATGCTGTTCGCTAACCAACTTTATTACAATTAGAGGAACTGATAGCGAACAGCATGGATCCTGATCAATTGTTTGTTTCAGTTTTGACATTAACATGAACATATATTCTGCTTGTATCAATAAAATATTAAACATGCCTTGACTTTAACTTCTTATTGGTGTCATGATGGAGAATAAGGTTTCTTTAGGTTCAATTCATAAAAAACCTATAATTAAAATATTTTAAAGATAAATTCATACGATTCCTGATATGAACATGGTGATATAACCTGATCTCTGCCACACTGTTGAATCTTGCTGCAACTTCCGGCTCCAATCTGAAGATTACACGCGTAGCATATGGGCCCCAATATTGGATCAAAACCTTATCATTGGAAAAGAGCATAATTTATGAAAACTGTATGGAGTCTTTTGTAAACAACTTTCATAGAGCCATACCATTAATTGACTCTATGGCATTTCGACCCCTTGACCCCAAATACATCTCGACTCAATGGCATGATACTTAGAACCCTTAGACACTTAATTAGACCCCTTAATTTGACTGGAAATTTTGATCCCTTTCGGCATTAAATGATTTAAAAACAATGTTGCTTTATTGCTTTACATAAAGTTTTCAATTTTTTGTTTTGATATAGTGGTCGAAATGTCTTAACAACTAGGGGTCGAAAAATCACGTGAAAATGGGTCTAAGTGTCAATGGGTCTAGAAGTCATTTTAATATTCTAGGGGGTCGTGAAGTCAAGGGGTCTAAGTGTCTTACTTGCATTTAATTTAGTAATTAGATCTGACACAACCCTTTAATATACCTCTGTAGTGTTAGTTATGACTAATAATCTAGAGGTGTTTTGAAAATTGTTTAAATAGTGTGAAATTAGTGGCAAATTATTGTTATGAATACTAAATTTAAAAGTTGATTTTTATTCATATATTTTGGGTGCTAGCAAGGACAACAGGGGAGGTCAAGGGGACACACTCTGAGTAGTAGATAGTATCAGATCACAGTGTTTTGCCGCTGTTGAGCAAAACTAGAACAAAACAAAATAAAGAAACTGGTAGGAAGAAAGAGATTTTTAGCACAACATGTTAGAAAGTCCAACATTTTTTAATGTATACTTAATTAATTTGATCTACCATGAAAAACATGATGGGCAATAAAATTTAATCATTCAAAAGAATGTACAGCTTAGAGAAATTACTCAGTTTAATTTTCAAGTTAAGCGGGCAAAGTGAAATAAATAAAGACTAGGGTTTCTAGTGAGAATGTTAATTGTGTAATTGTAAAAAAATATTTTTCACGAGAAAGCAATTTCTGTACAATTCCCGACTTTCAGGACTGTACAACTCCCGACTTTTAGGACTTTTGTATGTTTATTGGAAAAAAATGTTGGGATTTACAAGAAAATAACAGGTCACAAGATTGAAATATTGCCTATTCAACCGCTGAATATGATGTGTAATAGTTTGATCTCGGTCATTTTTTTCCAGTTTATAACTTACCATACTCACCAGTTGAAAGTCCATATTTGTATATCATCATCATCATCATCATCATAATTATTATCATTATTATCGTTATTATTATTATTATTATTATTATTATTATTATTATTATTATTATTATTATTATTATTATATGGTTAACTGTAATATTTTACCTGGTGCCCCGCAGCCACCCGCGTTACATAGATCTCCACTACAACATTCACTGCAAGTTGTATTGGTTCCAAGATTGGGTGACACGGAACTACATTTCTAGACAATCAAAATAAGATATTTTCAAAGACAAACAGTTAGTACTATTACATTAAAACATAAAATATGTACGTGTGGTTAAAGAATTAATTACACAAACTATAGGATAAAAATATCAAAACCAACACAAGATATCAAAAAATGTTTCGCTTTAATAAGCTTCACCAGTTGATAAATATCAAAGGAAAATGAAACTATGGAATATATAATTAAAGTATCATGTATAAATTTGTGGATAAAGGTGTATAATATTACAGGCTGTACATTTATTTATAATGCTGAAAATGCTATAATAAATCGGCGTGGTGGTGGTGGTCATGGTAGTTTTCACTCCGGATCACGGAAGTTTAAGGCACATTGAATTTACCAGAGCACAGTTCAGTCACCACATCATTTGTGGGCAGACTGTCGGGCAGTTTACCAGTACTAGTTGCCTTAACTTTTGCAATGAACTTATAACTTCTGTATACACCAAAGCAAAGGTACAGTTGGTATAATTATAGTGAACTAGTATTTTGTATGGTAGTCAAAATACTGCTTTGTTCACATTTTGCTACCGGTATGATCTGATGATACATTGCTGAACGTTCAGCGCTACTTTCTTCAGTTGTCAAACATCTAACATGCTAAATTTTCAACACATGTTTGACATTTCTAAAGAAATGGTGGGAAAATGTGCTTTTTAAAAACCAATTGATCAGCTCGAAATATGGAAGTCTAGAAGGTTAATAAGGGTTAACATTCAAAGATGTATTACCAATATGTCCATACATGACTGTTGATATCGGTAGTTTCCGGAGGTCGTCGTATATCGCCGAACAGCACACACCTTAAACGATTTAAATATAATGTAGATACTTTCTTCTAATATAATATTTTCAAAATACACTGGTATTTATCTAATAATACAAGAGTTAACACTAAAAAATAACCCGGCAGACGACCGGGCGTCTTTTAATGACGTTGCGTTATTACTTTTGTTTTGTATGTATAATAAATGCCGCTGAAGAAGACTGAAGGGTCGAAAACTACGGCAATTCCAATATGCGTTTGTAAATATACTGCAAATAGGAGCTGTTGTCTAATAATACAAGTATATTTACAAAAAAAACTACACAATAAAAGAGATGCATTGCTTAACTGAGCCTATTTGACATTACATTTAACAATTATTATGTACTAATTAAGTGTCTTCGCAAAAAAGGTTTATCAAACAATAATTTTATCTGCAATGAAATTATTTTTTTCACCAGCAACAAACAACATTTCAACTGCAACCATGCAGTTTTTTTTCTAAGCTCGAGAGAAAAAAACAGCCCTTATCCAAATTCAAAGAAAATAATAACTTTTTTAAATCGGGTGATAGATTCGTATGTAAAATGCTTTTCAAACAAAAAACAAAAAATGCGAATCATACAGACCACCGGTGTCCTATGTAATTAAAATTTGAGAACCCGTTTCTAATTTACATACCAGTAATCTTTAGGCAATGGCTATGCAAATATAATTTAACTTGATAAAACAGGCATCAGTAATGCCATTAGAAATACTCGTAAATAGCTTATATAGCGTGCTCTTCAAATTGCACCAATTATAATGTCAATTGTGACGCATATCTTCCATTTACGATTTATCGAGAGGCGAGGAGAAAATCGAAATGGCTCATGGCAGCAAAATAAGAACACGTAAAACTCATATCAATCCATGTTTCAATAAAAAAAGTGTACAAACCTCATGTGGGCCACATTCTGCAACTTCCAGGCACAGGTTCGGTAATGGCACATCGTCACATTGTAAAAATTTGTAAATGAAAAATAAATCATGGGAAACATAAAACTAATACATGTTATTCAATTTAAAAACAAAAAATGACTCTTTAAAAAAAATCATGGTTTTTATAGCATATAGTTTTAAAAAAAACGAAAGTTTTTTATATAAAATTTAAAAATCTGGGTTAAATTTTTAAATAGCTTACATAAAGGGTTTTAAATAAGTGCAAACCCTTTTTTTTATTAAAAATTTCATAAGGTAATAAAAAAAACAGTTGGGAACTTTTTTTCCAAAAAATTTACATAGGGTAATAAATACAGTGCAACCTTTCCGATATATTTTACATCGGGTAATAAATAAAGTGCAACATGTCCCATATAATTAACATAAGGTAATAGAAACATTGCAAAATTTCCCATATAATTTACGTAGGGTAATAAATACAATGAACCTTATCCATATTATTTACGTAAGGTAATAAACACAGTGTAACCTTTTCCATACTATTTACATAAGGTAATAAATACAATGCAATTTTTTCCATATAATTTACATAAGCTAATAAATACAGTACAAACTTTTTCAATATAATTGACATTGGATAATAAAAACAGTGCAATTTTTTCTATAAAATTTACATAGGGTAATAAATACAGTGCATTTTTTTCCATTTAACTTACAAAGGGTAAGAAATAGAGTGAAACCTTTCTAAAAAAATTACATAAGGTAATAAATACAGTGCAACTTTTTCCATATAATTTGCATAAGGTTATACAGTGCAACTTTTTCAATATAATTTACATATAGGTAATAAATACAGTGCAACTTTTCAATATAATTTACATGAGGTAATTAATACAGTGCAACTTTTAAAAATAATTTACATAAGGTTATAAATACAGTACAACTTTTTTCAATATAATTTACATAGGGTTATAGATACAGTGCAACTTTTTCAATATAATTTACATAGGGTAATAAACACCGTACAACATTTTACATATAACTTGTTCAAAGTGGCACTCTGTGGAGCAATAACCATTTTACAACAACTGTACAGTAACAATTTTTTGAAAAGTAAAACTTCACACAGTAAATCTAACCACAGTAAAGTATCATTTTTCAGCACAAAAACCAAAATCTTTGTCTTCCAAAGGATGTTGCTCTTTAAAGGTTGCACTGTTTTTAAGAGAACAAAAAAAACTCTTTTTCCAATTAGTACATTTTAGGATATAGAAATGTAGATTTGCAAAAAAAGACTTTAGTCAATAAGCTTGGTCAGTTTATGAAAAGAAATAAAAATAAATAAATTAAAATTGAATTCACAAGAATAAGTCAGTATTATTGCAAATACATTAAAGCTGCGCGCCTCCTGATTAGTTATATTTTATTTTTAAATCTGAAGTGTTGAATAATCGTATTTAAGATGTTCATTATTCACATGACAATTGTCATGCTTTATATGTTTATCACTCTATTTACTATTTTCTATCGGTTAACTACTTCCACGTTGTGACCCATTACTTAGGGATAAGTTATTTTTGTATATTTTGACATATTACAGGTAATTTCTATAGAAGGTAAATACATGAGACCAAATTAATGTAAATATTTGGGCATAGTTAACATTATTTTTGCAATTTAATTGAGCATTTTTCAAAATTTTCAAAACTAGTGCTTATCTGAAAGCGTGTCGCTTTAAGGGTTAAAAACTAACCGACAACTAGGCACTTGTACAAGAAAATTGCGATGACAACGGCTCTCCTTGATTTATACACTGAAAAAGACAACAAAAAACAACATTTTAATACATTGGACATAGGATTGTTTCAGTTCATATGATTAATCTTTAATTCAAATTGCCATTAATAGTTTGTTTTGTTTGTTTGTTTGTTTGTTTGTTTGTTTGATTGCAACTTAACAAACGACTGAACAGAAAAATAACGGTTACAGAAGAATATCAACTAATATCACATATAAAAGAATATAATCATGACTAGGTAAAATGAACAAAGAAAAAGAGATCAATACATTTAATATATTTATTTACTATGAAGAATGAGAAGTATTATCTAAATCTTAATATAATATGTTGTTGTTTTTTACAAAATAGAGATACATGTACTTTAAGTAGTATTGTTTTATCACAAATTAATTTTCTTAATTTGTCAAGTTGTTATCATTATTTTTTATTATTTGATTAAAGTCTCATCAATATACATTCATACAAGTTACAATCAAGATATGAGCCGCGTCATGACAAAACCAACATAATGGGTTTGCGACCAGGATGGATCCAGACCAGCCTGCGCATCCGCGCAGTCTGATCAGGATCCATGGTGATCGCTATCAGTTTCTCTATTTGTAATAGGGTTTGTAAGCGAACAGCATGGATCCTGATCAGACTGCGCGGATGCGCAGGCTGGTCTGGATCCATGCTGGTCGCAAACCCATTATGTTGGTTTTGTCGTGACGCGGCTCATATAAAGTCATAATAAAAAGTATATTGCCACTTCATAGTGGAGTTATAAGAGACTGGGTCATATTATGTTACAAACATCATATACATATTACATGAAATCACAACAATAAATGATAATCAAAGGGCAGCAAGCTCTGTGGTATTTTCTGATCTTTGTACTAATATAAATCGTACTGTATATCTGTATGTATTATCCTGTATTTAAGTTTATTTTTATGTACTATAATTCAAGATAGCAAGGCACCAGAGTTTGATACATACGGAATTTTGCATAACTACAGTAGAGTTGCATCAAACATTCATTTATGTTCATTTTTTATGACAGCCACACTTTATCCTTGCATATCATGGCTACTTCCTTAACAAAGACACTTAGTTGCCTCGATTGAGTTCTGAACTCCAGACCTCTCACACACTAGACGAGCGCGTTACCCCTGCACCACGGAGAAGTTATATAAACGATGCCTGAATAAAATCTAGTCATTCTAAATATAGAACTTTCATTGCATTCCGGGTTTGTAATCCTTACTTATTTCGAGGTATTTTGTTCAGGATAAACCTGTTGTTTAAAATTGAAGTAAATAATTTAGCGAAAATCTTCCCGACATGTAGAATCTATATATTCCACTTCTCGGCAGTCAGATTTATTTGTGTAGTATTCGGTAATCGACATCGCTAAAAATAGCATTTTCATTGATTAAAATCAAATTCATCCGCGTAATTTGTAATTGTGCATTTATTGACAGTTCTATAAGAAAACGCTACTTTTAAACTTTGAATGCGTTGTAATTTGTTGGATACTTGTAACAAAATAAAAATATTTCTTTCTTTCAAATCGCTAGTTTTAAGCTGTTTTGAGAACTACTTGTTGTTAGGTTTGTCGTGAAATTCTGTATCAGAGATTGCATGTCAGCTATGTATTTACTGACCTTCGGTCAGAAAATACAAAAACTAAATGAACTATAGGAATAGGATAAATGAATTTATAAAAAATAATAAAAACGCATAAGAGAAAACTCATTAGAAACAGCTTAAGTAAGAAAAGTATATGTATCTATACATACAATCTAATTAAGAAAGATTATTTACAAATAAAAACTACCCGTCTTTGTAATATAAGATAGCAGGTTTTGTCACAGATTCTTATCATATCTGGGTTGGAAAACAAAAAATCAAATTTATTGGCATCAGATAGAGTTAAAAATAAGTCACTATGATCTATTGCACGATGAAACAATTTTTCTCTAATATCACAGTACACTGGACAATGAAACAATACATGATATTCATTTCGTGAAAGTCCCATATGTATTCAGCTTACTAAATAGTAAAACTTCTTTCTAACCAAACACAAAAATAAAAGGAATTTAACAAAAAAGTAAAACCTACTTGTTTCCGGAGAAATCAAAGTCTTATCTGGGACCTAGGTCTTATGTCTAATGTAAAGTTTGAGCAGTTATAACTAGGGATAGCTTTCCCAAAATGTGTATAAAATTACACGTCTTATAGATAAGATTTTAGTATGTCATCTTATAAATCGCTGTTGTTCTGTTTATAGATCAATTATCTTATAATGCAACAAAACAAGAGGTCAACGGTGGACCTTATACGCCCTCCTGATAATAGTTATGAGTTGTTGTTCATTTCTGTTCTGTTAACTGAGTCACGAAAGACAACTCTGCTTGTATTGGGGTCAGGTAAAATGCATCCCCAGTAACCCAGGCTATTTACCGTGCTAATGATGCGTGAAGTTGGCGGCCTAGCGCCCCGGCGGCCTGGCGGTCCAGCGGCCTTGCGACGTGAAGTTGGCTGTCTAGCGGCGTAAATTGCATCAAATCAAACTAAATTAAACTTAAATACTTAACATATAAAAGCGAGTATGAAATACGATGATCCCTTTCGTATGGAATATTCGTATCGTAAAACGGCCTTAATGCTCTGTTAAAATTCGTATGATTAGAATCTTGTATAAAGTAAGGTGAGAAAATAAATTTCAGGGTGGTTAAACAAGGAGATATATGTTGATTTTGAGTGAACTGTGCTATAATATAACACGGTATGGATTTCAGATGTGCAGTTATATAATCACAAAGGTAGTAGCCCTACGGAAGCGTGCTATATGTAAAATACAGAGATCTTTTCCATTCTAAAACGTCAAGAAAACTATAGTTGGACCATATTTGTGGTGGTTAAATTTGTTCTCGCCTCAATGTCTCTAAAATAAACGTTCTTTAAAGGCTTTTTAGTCGGTTGATGCACTCATTCAATATCCTCTATTTATCACATAACCATGCTGCTTTTGCGTCTCCGTAAAAAATGGAATTGCACGGCCGTGAATATATTTTGACGTAATGTCATATGCGTTAAAATGAACACGACCGTGCAATACCATTTTACGGAGACGCAAAAGCGACACGGATATGTGATAAACATGTTAAATTTAATACTGAATTTCTTGAACGAGTTGAATAAGATTATATTATGCGAGCTTCTGGCGAGCATAATATTATTTTATTCAACGAGTTCAATATATTTAGTATTAAACTTACACGACTTTAATATTCTATTTATCATATACCAAAAATAGAGACCTTTTGAAATGAATAAGAGCCATTATTCATGAACGCGCTTATAGTATATCGCTAACATTTAACCTAACCTTTTCCCTTATATAAGCGTGTTTCGACGGCTTTTTGTCCCCCCCCCTTTTTGAGGCCTCAAACAGTGGGAAATGCCCTATTTAGGCCCCAAACACTGTTTTTCGTTTAAGAAATGTTGTTCAAAAAAGTGACCACTTTTTCGGCGCCGTCCCCCATCCAAATATTACATCAGGGGGTTGCCAGGGGGTTTGAAGGGGGGCGGAGTCCCCCTCATCTCCAAGAAAATTTTGGACATGTGACAGGCTAAAAATGGCCTCAGGTCGAACCTAGGGTAGCTAGTAACCGACGCTGAAAAGCCTTTTACTCTATCTCAATTCATTGAGAAGTTGCAGCACTTTGAAATCAGTTTTGATGGAAAAAAACAATGCAAAATAGTGATTTTTGGCAATTTTGAGACGTCCCCCCGTTGCCATGGTAACAGGAAATTTACCATTGAGCATGCTGTTACAGAGGCTATGGTGTAGTCAACATTTGTGCCAAGTTTCATTAGTATTGAAGCATTTTTCATACTTTCATAGCAGTTTGAACTTGTTACAGGAGGCTTTTCAGTGAAAATGGCCATTTTTCGCAATATGATCATGGGGTAAAAGGTTAAGGTAGACCACCACTAAAGCATTAACTCCACTCTGAAGCGTTCAAATAGGCTAAAATCAATGTCAATTGCATTGAAACTGAGGGGGGGGGGTCAAATCTCATTAGGGGCAACTTTTCTTCTTTCTTTTTTTTTATTTTTAACAGTATTTATGTATCTCTTAGATCCCCAATAATATAAAATAAAAAAGGGTTTGATTTTTATTATATCATTATTGTAGGTATAAATTTGCTAAATTATGCCAAATTTAATAGCAAATAGGATATCAGATATTTCAAAGTTTAATAAAATAAAAACTACACGGTAAAGTTCAACTAATATACTTTAAAAAAGAATTTAGGCAAATTTTGAAAACAGCCCCACCTTGTGGTCAATTTTATGGATATTTTGAATAAGGCTTTTTACATAGTGAAATGGCCAAATAAATGCTAAAGGTGGGTGGGGTAGGTTAACATTTTTATACATATTTAAAAGATTTTGTTAAGAAACAATCAGTTTTCTTGTGTAATTTATTATCTGAATGTAATTATTTGTTTCTTAACAATGAGCAATAGGAAAACGTTTGTTATAAAAATGATATTAAAGATTACTTAGTTTCCTCGTTCCTGAAAAAGCATAGTTTTAGTTCAGAAAAATATCCATCCATAACGTATAAACCACACGGTAAATTATGTTTAAGTTTTTTGACGTGTTAGAATGGAAAAATAGATTTTGTTTGCTCTGTGTTATACATAATTATAGCATGATGAGTCGTTCAGATGCCCGTTGGCATACGGCCTTTGTGGTTATATCACTGCACATCTATATTTTTAAGGGAGCATACTTTATCACAGGATTTGAATCTTATTTTTTTTTATTCGTCTTTTTATTTTTCTATTCTTTCTCTTTTTTTTGCTCGTCAGTGTTATCCATTTGATCCCATTATGATTTTAGATTGCTTCGAAGAAAGTGTAAATAAATGGTTGGCAGTATCTTGAATTTTTGAACGTGTACGAAGTATCATAATGTCTATTTCCTGTAAAAAGTTAGTTTTAAGACATTTTTCGTACAGAGGAAAAATAACAAAAGATTGAAAATATATTAAGGAAACGGGTTCTACAATAAAAATAACTTCCAGCTGTGTGAAACTTTCAGTTTAATCGACAAGTCCTCAATTTCTTTAACATTTCAACGCCGGATGAACGCAGTATCCAGACTCAAAATTGCATTCAACGCGAAATACTGACAAGAAAGGGAAGACTTGTGTCAAGGCATTTGGAATATAAAAACTAGAAGTAAGGACATCTTCTTTGCAAAAGAAATTAAATTCAAATCTATTCTGATTGCTTTACATTACTCGTTTTTGTTCAAAATACCGGTTGAAAAAGTGTTCACGGTATCAGAATCTTGAGGATATGCGCGCGGATGGTAGGACCCCTTGTATTTGTGTTTTAATGTAATATTTGCTTTGATTTGCTTTGTCCCTTAATTAGAGTCATTTGCTTTTTCTATGAAAAATGGAGACATTAGTGAACGTGCTAAACTGTCTTGAATCATAATGTTGCAGCAGACGACAAGTAGTGGTAAACCAGGCAACAGTTCACGTCCCCTTGCACCAGCCTAGGAAAGAAAAAATAATCATTTAAACAAAAGATGGTAAAAGTTTAACACAATCACATAAACATGTGTTCATACAAAGGTTATTGTAGAATATATGCATCATACTTTCAAAAGAAGAGCTCTACGGTCACCAAGTAAATAATGCATCGTACGGAACTTGGAAATGGTTATAAGCCTAGTACTGATATCAAAAGTAAATTTTAAAAAAAAGTTGCATATATTCTAAAGCTGGCTGAATATACAGGTATAGTTCATGTATATTCAAATAGAAAATTTGTATTCACTCAACAAGAAAATAATTTAAAGGCCCATTATGCCTAAAAAATGTGTTCTTTTTTTTATTTCTCAAAAGTATTTTAATTTTGGTTTTAATTTCATATTAATTATTCAAAAAGTTATCAAAATGCCAATTACCTTAACCATATTATTTAGCTTTGCTTTTTGGCAATAGTTGTACATAGTGAATAAGTATTTTGTATAGAAGTCAAAATACTACTATGTTTACATTTTGCTACCTTTAGGACAAATTATTTCACATCTAGCTGTCGCTAATTTCTTCAGCTAACAATTAATTTAAGCATCTAACATTCTCTTCAACCATTACTTAAAACATTATAAAATTCATATTTGCCATTTCTTATGAAGTGAAAATTTATACGAAAATTATATGAACCTACCGTGAAAAAATATTTGCATTTTAAAAATCTGAATTTGAAATTTATCATAAAAGTCCGTGAACAAGTATTATACCGTACAATATAAGTCACGTGATGTAGTAAAGGAACGGAGTTAACGGGTTTTAAAGATTCCAGAACGATCGACAAAGTTATCTGCCCTTGTTTACGGATTGCATTTCATTTCCTGGTTCATCAAAATATAAAATGTATTGATTTAAAGGCTTTGAACAAGATGTCATCTCATGCAGTACTTTCGTCTCATTTGACAACATTAATGAAAGATGTCTCTGAGGCATTGAAGTTTGACAGACAAGACAAAAATGAGGTAATATCGGTTTTAGTACAGTGTTTACAAATTATCTTGTTAAACACATGTGAAGTCAACTACTGATAAATTTATGCCACTCCATTTGAAACAGAAGGGTTGATGCCAGGCTGCTGATGTTTTATGGTTGCAGTACCTATGCCTCCTTGTATTACAACTGCTACTCCTTGTACCCGACTCACTGCAACATATGCATTCGACCAATTAATGTTGCACAACCCCATTCCCAAACCTGTATCTATCAGGTACGTATATTAATATATATACCTGGTATCTATTTAGGTAACATGGTCCCCCCCCCCTATATTGCTGTTTAAAGTCACCTTCCCTAAAAAATCTTTAAAGTCAGTTTTCCCAAAAATTGAATTTACATCAAGTTTTTTCTTTCCCTTTTGCAAATATTAACCACCTATTGTAAAATCTTATCATACTAACGTCCACAGTTAGAAATAAAATCTGTTTCCATGGAAATAAGTCAATAATAATTATGTAACTTTGAAGATTTTTAAGTGTCTATGTCAATTATATAATTATTAACAAACATTGAATTATAGTTATAATAGATATATTAAAACTTTGTATGTTACAGGATGCTTACAAAAAATACCTGGAATGTGTACTAAGAGTTTCAACAGGGCTTTTAAAAACACTTTATGCAGATGGTAAATATTTACATATATTTAACCTAAAATGATTGATCGCATGACTTCTCCAGGCCACCCTGCTCTTTTCTATTGTCTGAACAGACTTTTTACTTTTGACTATTTATAATGATAGATTTTTATATAAAATTTATACATGTGATATAATGTTATCAGAAGAGAGCAGAAGGTATATTTTATTTTGAATTGAGCATATAACAAGTACATCTCTTTTTCATTAAACAGCAATATATTGGTGCATGAATATATTTTAAAATTACCTGTGGACTTGACCAAACCCCAAATAAGGTGACTCTATAATTTGAAATTGTTGAATCCTACAAAAAATGTTGTCTGATCTTTGACAGCACTGTCACATGGGTACATGTATATTCAGTTGCCAGCAGAAGGCTGACTGTAAAAGTACTTTTTTATGTTTATCAATGCATTGTATAAGTATCTTTTTGATTTCATTCTTTTATAGAGGGCCATGTGTTTGTTACTAAAGATGTTGTCAAAATGGTGAAACTAGGCCAACAATGTATGGATCGGGTTGCCAGTATTGTAAATGGACGTTTAGGTACTGTATTATGTGATTTAGAGTTAATGGTGACATTTCTTTTACAGTTACCACAATATCTTTGTATTAGAGTTTAATGTTGATAACAAGATTCATAGACTGTTCTACTATTTATGAAGACTAGTTTATACATGTTGTTAAGACCAGAGCTCAAGTGAGAATGCCCAGGTATCAGAGAGGCATGATCATATATATAACACAGCATTAAATAAATATCAAGTAAATGGAAGTAATACAATTAACTGTACCAATAAACATGTAAAAGTTAGCTGATCTTGATATCAAAACACAGCTGATCTTGATATCAAAACACAGAGTAAACGATTTTTAGACTAACATGCAAATTATTTTCACAGTTGTAAATGCTTATCTTATTAATGCAAGTATTGCAATATATCTTCACAGCCATTGTAATTATTGTAAATAAAACTAAATTTCATGCTGTGTACTTTATCAGACATAACATTATGGCAAACAAGTTACATTAATATCCTTATTGCACAGTAAAAATCTTTTTTTTATTTGGAAAAGAAAAATCAAGAGAGTCCAAAGTGCAAGCCCCTACAAGTTTGCCTATAAGCACAGGTCCAGGATCCTATCGAAGTTTGTCTCAAACCACACCCACAACACCAGGATCAAGGGAAACAACTCCACTTTCACCAAATAAACCAATTAGCATGATAGACAAATCTTCTCCCGTACAAAAAGTTATAACTTCTGATAGTTTCTCCAGTAGTACCAAGTAAGTAACACAGGTGTTGTATCATTTATTTCACATTAAGCTAACTCTATTTATAACTTGCCCTAGCTTCCAGTTTAGATGGAGAGCCAAAAAAGTTTATGTCTAATAGCTTTGTAACAGTAACATTTAATGTAATTTACATTTGAAATAATTGCCACCCTTTTCTATTTAATTCTGTATGCAGCAAACATTTTCTGGTTCATGAACATTAAAGTCATCACAGTGAATAGGCAGAATCTAATATCATCTCCACTAATACTGTTCTATACCTTGATATATAAAATTTGTTCGTACAAATTCACTGTATGTTTCATGAACTGGACTTACCTTGGAATTTGTAACCTTTATATTTATATATTGTATTGTTAATTTGAAGTGACCAGGGACTTTCAATTTTTTCATGTGAAGGAGCTAGCCAGTTAGCTTACAGAAGGCCAGTGGTTCTACTAAAGAAATGTGCTCACTTGTGCCTGAAATAATGCCATTAAGGGCACCTGAGGTCTATCTGCACCAGTTAAGCTGGAAAGTGTCCGAGTGACATAAAATCCTAATGACTGTAACATATAAAAATTGGTCATATGTGCCATCATATGCACGTGATTGTTCTATAAATAGAATTTATGTATTTTGCGGGTTTAACCCAAGGTTTATATTTACAAATGGCAGGAAACTTGGACCAATGGAGATGGCAATAAGAAATAACCAATATCTACTGATTGATCTGAGGAAGAGACAAGCCAAGGCTAAAAACAAGTCGGCTAGCACCAATCTTGTAAATATTACTTTCTCATTCCTTTGTATTTCTGTTGTATTAAACATTGTTTTGTTGTAAGGAGCTTTTAAGCAGCACAACTCGAGATCCATGCTAATTTTTTATTGAAATTTTGAAAATGTATCTAAAAGTAAAATATTGTAAAGTGTACAAAGAAAGTAATTAACACTTTGCACACGGAACTTGAATTTCCTAAAAGAGCTCAAAATATGCAAAAGAAGCTTTTATTGCATTAGTCACACAGAAGAAATATGGTGATAAATACTGAAAAAAGTCAGTCATTGGCATTAATTCTGTTTGTAGTTCATCCCATACATTAATGTTTGCTTTTCTTTTCAGAGTTTGACTCTACAAAGAAGAATGGCAGAGAACTTAGCTATAGCCAGGGCCCAAGAAGAAGCTGTATCTTTTGTTTGATTTTACAAACATTAAAACATAAACTTCATTATTTCATATAAAGGAACTATAAGGCTGACTGGTAAAAGCCACTGATTATAAATCTTTTGTCTTTGAACACTTTAGTTTAGTTTAAACAATATTATTATCTCAAATTGTACAATAATAATATAAACAATAAACATATACAACAAACACTGAAAAATTTTGTGGATTGGAAAACAAGTAATGAGTGACTTATGTAAATTTGTTTCCACATGTAAGGAAGTTGCAATAGAAAATTACGAGTATGCACATATTTGGTTTGGTGTAAGGCACTAAATTAAGCCTATAGGCCCACACAGGAATCAATTCCTGGAACTAACCAGTAACTGAGTAATGTGTGTAAAATTCATTGCTCAAGAAACAATGGCTTGCCCCTGATGAGGTTTAAACCCAAACTGCAAGTAATCCATGTGGCCGTTACCTTGTGCAAGAAAATCAAAACTCATTGCTTTTAAGTTCTGATTGGGTTCAGGAACCCATTTGTGAGTGTATCTATAAGTTTAAAACACCTTACACAATCAAACTAAAATTAATTGAGGTAAAATTTCGTTTATACTCTCTTGTTTGAAGCAATGATATTAGTATTTGACAAAATTTGAGTGAAATGTGTTTTTTTCTTAACCAATAATCAGTTAGCAAAGAAAATGAGAGAGAGACAGCAAAGATTAGAAGAACAGGCACAAAGGTATGTTTAATTTTAAAGTGATGAAAATAGGTCAATTAAATAGAAGTGTTTTATTTAGGTAGTTCTTGATACTGGTTATGATTTTGTCATTTTGGGTTTACACTCAATGTTTAAGTTCCAAACCCTTTTTTTGCAGACATAATTCATTGGATTTATTTTGTGTTACAAATTAAAGGCACAGAATGCCCCACAAAACTTTTATTTGAATGTTCTAAAACCCATGTTTGCCATTTCTTAAGATGGAACATTTTATACCTTTCTGATTCATAATGTGCCTTAAATGTACTTTGGAATATTTATTAATCATTATTTGTCATGTAATACATGTGTAATTGTTTATTTTGCAAGAATATTCACATCCCTTTTGGACATTGATTCAATATAATTGTTGTATTTTCTATATTAGAAACCCTGTAGACATCAATAATTAAAGTATGACTGGAGTATTTTTATATCTTGGTAAATTTCACACCCCTGTGGAATTGTTTCTTGTTTAATAAATGATTTTGCTGTTATGCAGGAGATTCCATACCCCTGTGGGTCTGTCTGAGGAGGAACAACAACAAAGACAGGTGTACAAGAAAGCATTAGAATTTGAACAAGAAAATGTAAGTGGAAATTTTTTTATTGGTACATGATACACAAGACAATTCTAACCAAGACATTCACATCACAGGAAAATAGAGAAACTTTGACTTTTGAATTATCAAATTTGTGGAGCATTATTCTGAAATCTATATTTTTGGAGTATCTTTAACATAAACTTTTTTTTATTAAAATTGGTTATTGATAGTCGATGCCCTTAATAAACGAGCGTTTACACCGCATACGTTACTCTTGTTCATATGTGTGATTATTTGATATTCTAGTTATGGATGATGGAGTTACGAAGGAAGTTTGAAGAATCACCTTCAGATCTGTATGTCATAAGTGAGCTTGTCACAGCTATTCTGAGGTTGGTTTGATGGAGTATGATTTAAAACAGATTTATTGTAATGCTAATAATTGTAAAATTGTCATTTTTAGTTTTTTTACGGTTTAGTGAATTGTTGTAAGTTTTGATGCAGAATCTTCAAATACTATTCAGATATTCCATATATGTACAAGGTACATGTCATTGAAATTAAATGAACCAGATAAAATTCAAGTTATTAAAAGAAGTCTTAATTGCTGCCATCCAAAGATGTTTTATTTGCTCTCATCACACTTTGGTTAAGTTTTTTTCGTGCAAGTTGATATCAAGAAATGGGTTGAAACTTCACACACCTGTTCTTTGTGAATATCTGAGATGGCAAGCACAAGTCCAATAACTACGAGTTACCTTTTTACAAAGTTATGCCCCTTTCCTTACTGTTAAGTACTGAGAATAGTTGAGCATGCTGTCTTATAGACAGCTCTTGTTTTATTCATGTAATACTACATGTAGTGAAGGTTTAAATATCTTGAAACATTATAGCTGCATCATGACAAAACCAACATAATGGGTTTGCAACCAGCATTGATCTGTCATGATGCGGCTCATTACAATTTTTCAGTTGTGATGCTCATCCACTTACTATTGAATTACAACAGCACCAAAGAAACTTGCTAGACAAACTTGTACCTATTGTGGAGAAAAATTTAAACAAATTAGAAAATCTCAAAGTGCCGTTACCAAAAGATGTATATGAACAGTCCAATATAAAAGATCTTTTATCATCATTAAGAAAAGTAAAATCAGCTACTAAGCTTAGCCAATCAGAATCTGTGTTAGAAAGTGTAGATGAGGCTGACTCAACATATGGATCCTGTATATCACATGACATTTGTGACCAATCAAAAGAGAGTGGTAGAACTATAGATAGTTCAAATAATTCACTGGAAGATAAGGTTGAGAAAGAAAGAGGTGAAATCAAAAGTTCAGTATTCAAGAAAGCTGCAGACAACAATGATATTGAAGGTAAGGGCAGTGTCATAAAACAAACAAGAGATTTCGGTGACAGAGATTTAGCAGATGTTTCTTTAGAAATCAAAAACGATTTAGAGAAAGCCATTACTGATGGCACAAAATTAAAAATTAGACTCGAAGAAGAAAATCAGAGATTAAAAATGTTTTCAAGACAAGCAACAGAAGAGTATGAAAAATATAACCAAGAAAACATGGATGATCTTTTTGATGATGATGATGATAGTGATACAGAAGTAGACATCAGTAATGTTGGTGGTGAAAGTGTTGCCAATGAAAAAGAAGCAGATGGAAATAAAACCTCTAGTAATGACAGAAAATCTATTGAAACTAGTTCAAAATTAACTGAAAATCTTGATGTAGAAGAGGCAGAAAAAAGTAAAGAAATAAGATCTCCGAGAGGCTTAAGAAAAAATCCAAGTTTTGAAAATCTTGATGATAAAATTGCTCTTCTTAAGAATGAAGCTTGTCATAGACATTTGAAAGGTATTACTGAAGATGTTTTAACTAGTGTGGAACAACTACAAGTGTTGTTTGTGATTGTGTTTGAACAGTTAGATAGTGCAGATGGGCGGGATCAGTGCAATGTGTTACTAGAAAGATACTTCTTTAAACCTGTCTGGAATTACCTACTCGCTCTATTCAGGTAAAGATGGTCATGGTTTTATTTAAAGTTCTATATTATTTTTTAATTTTATCTAAAAGCAGCAGTTTTATGGATAAGTGATAAAGATTTTTTGTCCATTTTTTGTTATTCATGATTTGTCCAAAGTATAAGAATATTGAGATTCAGGTAAAGATGGTCATGGTTTTATTTAAAGTTCTTATTTATTTGTATCTATTTTTATTGGCACAAAAAGCAGTAGTTTTAATTATGGATAAGTGATAAAGATTTTTCGTTGCTTTTCTTATTGATGATTGATTCAAAATATAAGAAATGTGGAGTTTAATGATGTTTAATGATAAGATCTTTTAAAAATATATTCTCCTTACTTTTATTTTACCATTTTATTTATTTTTTTTGGCATATGTGTCGGCAATGATTAAGGTATGAAATCGAAGAGGAAAAAATT